TCTTGAAAAAATCTTAGGCGTCAATTACTTCATCTTCTTTTCATGCGTTGTGTCACTCGTCCAAGGTACTTTCTGCAGCTTTCAGACGTGCTTAAAAGTGCTTACGTCTTAACTTTTCGTGCACTTGCACCGCCCCCAACTTTTATTTCATGAATTTGACGCTCCGTGTGTCTCAGCGCCTCGCGGATGGACGATTTTAACGCCTCTTCGCCCGCTTTATGCGCACTTATTTTCTTTTATTGCCACTCTGCCGTGCAATGGCGTCGGCCAACGATGCTGCGCTTTTGTTTCGCTTTGTTTCAGCTTTGTTTCAGCTTCTTTTGTTTTTTAATTTAATTTAGCTCGGTCCATCTTGCCGCTTTTATATTTTTTATTTTTTTATTTTTTACTTCTTCATGCCTTGTGACCTTTTTCATTTTTTGTTTTAATATTTATACAAGAAAAACTCACCTAACGTGAAATTATTCAATTCATATCTATTATTTAAAACATTTTATGAGTGTTATTATTATTTCTAAATGTTTCAAACGATTAAGTTTGCGTTTTATTTCTTTTATTTGCTTATTTAAACGATCCGCACTCTCTCATTTTTCGTATCATCTTCTCGAGCTCTCTGGGGTTGCGTAATCAACGTCGAGGCGTTCGTAGGGTCGTTAAAAATCGCCAGATTCCAACTTGGAGATCCGGGCACCGCGTCGTTTAAGAGAAACGAAATATTACGCTTGCTTTTATTTTATGTGTGCCTTTTTCTGCGAAACAGGAAGCGAGATTCTGCCCGCGCGCGGACTCGTTTCCTCTTTTAAGTTGGCAGGAGTTTTCGCCCACATTTACCGCGCGCGTTTGCTATTCTTTTCTGTTTGTCTTTTTTTGCGCTCCTTATTCTTTATTCCGTGTGTTTTGGTTCACGTTTGAGTGCGCGGAAAAGCGGGCGTGAAATTTAACGCTCATTAAAGCGGGCGCAAACAGTGCGCGCCCAGCGCATGGAATGTTTATATAACTGCGAAAACCAAGTAAAAAACTTCCAACGAGGGCATCAAGGCATCAATTTAATGATGTTATAATGATGGGCGTAAAACATTTCACAGATATGTGTAAATCCCGAAAGGTTGACCTTGGAACAGGTACGTGAGGGCAAATGTCAAGGGTCAAATTATATTGAAAAATTACACAATTTAAACAAAAATAAAAGGTCATCTCTATCCCTACTATTATTTTAAATGCGAAAGTCCTGATGTTTGTTACACTTTCACTCAAAAACTACTTAACCGATCATCATGAAAATTTGTACACATATTCTTAGTGGTCCCCGAATGGTTATATGCTACTTTTTATTTAATAAAAAAAATATTTTAAAAATAAAATAAAGAAATTGTTAAGCCAATAATACCTCTGCATCTGGCTATTTGACTACTTTAACGCCATCTAGCATTCCAGCAATTAAGCTCAAACCTAAGTACTATAGTACCATCACACTGTATTATTACACTGTATTACCGACAGCTACGTCAACATCAAATCCAATTGACTACCCTATGGAGACTGTACACTATACTTCCATAGACTATACTTTCAGCCATTTTAAACTTCCCGCCAATCTACTTCATTGTTACTTCTTCTGAGACTACAGACGCGTACGGAAGCAACTTCATTATTTTAGATATTCGCGAGCGAAGCCAAGGGTTAAAGCTAGTATAATATAAAAATGAATCGAAAAGCTGTTGGTAAGCGCATAACTCAACAACGCTTAGACCAATGTGGCCAATTCTTTTTTTAAAATGTTCGTTAAAGTCCAAGGATGGTTTTTACGTCGAGAAAATTTTGAATAATTGCCGGGAAAACCCTAAAGAAGCCCTTTTCTATAAGATAAATGTTGGCATTGAAATTCAATCATAGTTATAGTTAAATAGTTGAATCCCAGATGGCGCGCTGAAATGCATTATTAGCAATTCTTTATATAATTAATTTCGCAAACAAAATTGTGAATCTTATTGATTGAATTGACACATTCTATGTATAGAACAAGAAAGTAAAAATGAATTACATTTTTGTTAAACACTAGCGGGACGAAGTCGCGGGCGAAAGCTAGTTTTTATACAAAACGTAATGCAACACATTATGCAATTCAACAAGTCAAGAAAAATTAAGATTACTACAAAAGGATTTCATGAATTTCACAACAGACAGTTGCCTGATGCTAATGCAACCTGTTACTTTTGAGATATTTAAATCCTTCTATAATAAATGTGCAATTATAAAACAATTTCTGTTATTTTACATTTTTCACAACACAAATATGATAAAAAGTGAAAATAAATAAAACTCAACATCATAATGTAAATATTCTTTATTATGCAAATTATTTTATTTTTATTTTTTGATTATTTATGTTTACGATTGCCAAATATAATTCATTTGTCGTGTCTGGCTCACGTAAACCAACGAAACTATTATGTTGGATGTCATCGTAAAGCTCGTAAATAATTTGATTTGCCCGCGACATGCAAACGCGCTTCATAATGAGTAGGTCGAACTAATAACAATATTTAATCCATATGCCAGTTGGAATATATATCAAATTTTGTTGTTTCTATTCATCGGAGCTTGGGGAATCTATTGTTTGCATGTTTTCTGCCTTCTGTTATACTATAATACATTCTATGGCATATTTTTATATGTAGGTATATATATACAGATGCATTATAATTTATTCGACCGGGAAGAATTATTACCATTGAGCAGTGTATTAATAAGCATCAAATGTTAACAATATGAATAAAAACACGTACTTTGTTTGCTTTGTGTGCTTGTATGGTTTTATTTATTATGGTATTGTGTAGGTATTGTGTAGGCGTGACAAGTTTCATTAATTCAAATATTTTAACAAAAGCATCTTTTGGGAAACATTAAATTTTAACTTCCTGGTTGTTTATCTGTAAACTAGGAAACAGTTAAGATATCGGGGGTGTAACTCAGTGGTAGAGTGTCTGCTTCGCATGCTGAAAGTCCTGGGTTCAAATCCCAGCTCCTCCAAAATTGTTTTTACATTTTTTACATTTTTGCTATAAAACAAGTATACTCTGACTTTATAATTGTTTTTATTTCTAAATTAAAATATTTATAAGGTAAATTTAATATTTTACGAGAAATACCTTATTTTGAGTTATTATGCTTTTCATTATTGTTATTTTACTGCAAGAGAGATACTTACTTCATTTCAACGTCATTTTCATGCTCATCAACCCTTTATTCAAGCAGGTTGTTAGCAAAGCAGTCGGACCCTTGATAATCGTCATATTCGTCATCATATTCATCAAACCTTCACGCGTTTCACTCATTTAACCTGAACGAACACCGAAAGCGGTGTGATAAAGCACCGGAAAGCACTTTCATTCTGATTGGGTGGTTTGTCAAGATTTTATTGTAGAAAACTTGTTATATACTGAATGTTTCAATCAATTAAATTAATAAAAAACAATTTTTTTAAATTTTATTTTAAAAATGATTTGCAACAAAATACAAAACAGAAATGCATTTATTTAGTTATTTTAGTACAGCGAGTGCCATCTGTAAGACAAAAACTACAACTAGTTAAGCACTAAGCGCATGATCAGCTGAGTCAACTTAATTTACATTTTAGACCGTTTTTCGTTGAATATATCTCAGTATATTATCTTGAAATCTGAATAATTAGCGTAACCTGCGGTTTCAGCAAGATTTCCAACATGTGTGAGTTGCTTGCCTGGTTCGTGAATGAGGAATGTGTGCGTGCATCCGAGTGGAAAAGCCGTCGACTTGTCGACGATTATAATACGCGACTCTCGAATGCGCCCGCTAATGCCCCTCGTACTTTCGCACCATTAACCTCTCACGCTCCCCTTGTACCACAGCCTTTGCAGCTCTCTTCATGCGGCTGAAGAAGAGATAAAAATATGTCGGCGAGGATTCAACCCCAAACGCACACAGTCCCCGACAGCCGGAAAACCGACAAACCGACTTAAGTATGATTTATAATCGCCTTGCGACGCATACATAAACACATAAACCCCAAGGTCAGGCCACATCACGCACATTGTGCACAAAATACACAGCATTGGGATCAGTTTAATGTAGACTTCGCGAAAAACGTTTTTGTGTGTTGTGTGCAGTGTGGGCTGCCGACAAGACACCAAATTAACAAAGATGCTCATGGCGGGCGGAGGTTTTGATGATGAGCGCAGTGGCGAAACTCTTGATGAGGGAAACCTAACGCCTCAATTAAGTACGGTTTTTATTAACAAAGACATTAACCTACACACACGTGGCAGGCGGCGAAGACAACGAAAGGGAGTCACGAGAGGAGGCCACATGTGTCTGCACAACGCGCGCACAAATCACGCGAACCCACAAAGCGATGATTTAATATTCTGCTAACGAGCGACGGAGTAATGAGTCAGGTGTTGAGATAAATACATTTGAATTCATTAAGAAATTGCAAGTCAGCGTAGTTTTTGTTTGGGAAAATGTGTTACGCAGCATTATATTATAATAAATTAATTTACATTTTCATTCTTATCATAAAAAACAAATTAAAAAAGAAAAAGTTAGCAGAGCGTGGTTTCGATCCACGGACCTCTGGGTTATGGGCCCAGCACGCTTCCACTGCGCCACTCTGCTCTTGCATAATACCTGATACAATAGTGCATATAAAACTCACCTTGGTGTTACCACGTAAAATATAATTTATTCAATTATAATTTTAAAATAAAATAAGTTTAATAATTTGCAGATTTAAGCATTTATCTCTAAATAATATGTTTCATTGACTAATATTTAGTGCAAATGCTTACTTAGTAGAGTGTTATGTATCGGCTCGTTGGTCTAGGGGTATGATTTTCGCTTAGGGTGCGAGAGGTCCCGGGTTCAAATCCCGGACGAGCCCACGCTTTTTGCTTTTTTCATCACAATTACTTTAATTTTATTTAAGAACACAAGAAATAACTATTAAAATAAAACAATAAAAATACCTAATGTACATATGATTTTATTGGTCAAGCAGATATTCTAAAACATAATTCTACAGAATCTCCAGTTACAATTTGATGACACTTGCTTTATAACTGGCAATCTCGTCCAAATGCATCTGCTTGTTACCAGTAGCCGGTGACGCAGACCCAGCTCTACCCAAATATTCGCAAGCAATTTTATTCTCCATAGAACCATTGATTCTTTCATGCATATAATACCATCCGCCTTGATTCCGGTGTTCCTCTTGCGCCCAATACACCTTAGCATTTTTATATTTATTAATCTCAGCTGAGACCAAATCGTACGGAAACGGGGCCAACTGTTCCGTACGTGAGACTGCAATCTGAGACTCCAGTTTAGCTTCTGCTATCCATTCCAAAATATCATAATAAGTGTGACCACAACAAAATATGAGTTTCTTCACTTGGTCTGGTGCCTGGGAGGCTGGTCCTGCTTCCGGAAGTACTCGGATAAACTTCCTACCATCTAGGAATTCATCAAAGGAGCTTCTGGCTAAAGGATGACGAAGTAGAGACTTCGGGGTCATAAGAATACAAGGTTTCCGGAATGGTAGCAAAACTTGTCTTCTTAGCAGATGGAAAAGTGAAGCAGGAGTGCTACAGTTGGCTACGAACCAATTACAATGCTCATGTTGATGTAGAACGAATTTTTCATCAAAAGGTCCTTTGGAGGTGACATCATCAGCACACATTTGAAGAAAACGTTCTAATCTCCCACTGGAATGTTCAGGACCAGCCCCTTCTAGGGCATGAGGTAATTGCACCACTAGACCACATTGCCTGAACCACTTGGACTGACCACTTGATAAAACTGATCAAAAACCACCTGACCACCATTCGCAAAGTCTCCAAACTGACCTTCCCACATACACAAAGTATAAGGACTGACCAGACTGTATCCCACTTCAAAACCCAGAACCCCAAACTCACTCAGGGAACTATTACAGACTGAATACGGCGCTTGGTTGGGAAATATATTCTCTAGGATGTTAAAAGTTTTCTTATCTTCAGTCTGGTGGTGCATAACATGATGACGATGTCCAAAGGTACCACGTTCTACATCTTGACCTGATAGTCTTACATGGTAGCCATCTTTCATAAGCGATGCATATGCAAAGGCTTCACCTAAAGACCAATCCGTCATGCGTTGCTCGACCATTTTAGCGCGACCCTTCAATATTCTTGTTATACCTCGATGGACTGTAAAATTCGGAGGAGGTGTTGAAAATGCTTTTCCAATCTGTTGAAGCACATCTTCTTGTATCCCAGTGTTAGGCATCTCATTGAATTTGTATTTTTTGAAGAAACCTTTCCAGGGACAATCCAACCAATCACTGTACTTGATCTGTTTCTCATCCTTAGCTCTAGCAAAATCCTTCTCGCAAATATCTTCATATTCTTTAATATAGGAATCAACCTCAACTTGTTGAATTAACCCTTCTTTGATTAATTTATCCGCGTAGATTTTAGCAATGTTTGGATGTTTCTTGATAATTTGATACATCAATGGTTGTGTGAACATAGGTTCATCCAATTCGTTATGACCATTGCGCCGGTAACCCACTATATCTATCACGACATCTTCTCGGAATTTTTGTCTCCATTCCGCTGCAATTCGAGAAACTTGAACGACGGCTTCCGGGTCATCACCATGCACGTGAAAAATAGGTGCTAGGACCACTCTGGCAACATCTGTAGAGTATAAAGAAGATCTTGAAAATCTTGGATCTGTTGTAAACCCAACTTGGTTATTGACCACTATGTGAATTGTTCCTTTTGTTGTATAACATGGTAGGTTACTCAAGTGTATAGATTCGTAGACTACACCTTGACCGCAGAACGCTGCATCACCATGAATGAATATACTCATGATGGTGGTACCATCTCTATCACCAGCCATGAATTGTTCACATCTTGTTTTGCCTAGGCACACTGGTCCGGATGCTTCTAAATGAGATGGATTAGCAACTACGGAAAGTCTAACCTTTTTCTTGTTTGAACTGTTTTCTCTGGTTGTGACCGTGCCAAGATGGTATTTTACATCACCTGAACCTTCGTCTACAGCTGCAAGCCCAGCAAAAGTAGTAAAAATGTCTTTTAGGGATTTTCTGCAAACATTTGCTAAAACATTCAATCTCCCACGATGGGCCATGTTGATATTGATACCTTCAACACCCAAATCAGTACTGGTATCAATAATTTGTTTAATGCATGGAATCATTGTCTCACCACCTTCTAAACCAAACCTCTTTTCGGATGAGTATTTTTTCGCTAGGAATGATTCGAAATGTACTGCTCGTATTAACCTTTTGAGGGTTTTAATTTTGAGGTCATTGTTTATGGCTAGTATCTTAGGTGATTCCATTTTTCACGTATCCAAAGTGATTTAGCCATGTCTTGTATGTACATAAACTCAACACCTATATGTTGTCCATAGGCTTGCTCTAGTCTCCTAATAATTTCCTTCAAAGGTAAAGATTTTTCGCCTTCTCCTACAAAGGTAGTTTCTGGAAGTTGGAACGAAGTGTTCAAGTCTATACCTTCAAGAGCTGTGTGTTGACGGGTGATTTGTTTGGGTGGAAGGCCATTACGTTGTTCTAGCGTTGTTTTCTCTCTATCAAGAATACCAAGTGGGTCTAAGGTGGTTATAAGATGACCACGTACTTGGTAACTTCTAATGACACCTTGAACAGCTAAATGTTGTTGGATAACGTTGATATCCACTCCTCCTCCACCACCAGCTGCGGTGGCGGATCTTGTATTCATAGAAGGATTGCTTCCACTACCACCGGGATTAATGGCAGAGTTAGAAATTGGTGCATTTTGGGATGGCGGTTTATTGGTTGCTGATGCTCCAGGTTGTACCTTAATATTTGGAGTGTTTTGTGTAGCAATTGTACTGGACATGGTTTGAGAAGGTGTTGATGTACCTAATTTAGGCTTTGGTGTTGCTTGCGTTGTTTTTGTCATTTGAAGTTTAGGATCAGTTCTTGCTATTACCGAGGTTGCTACAGGAAGATTTTTGGTACTTTGGGATCTATTCAAAACAGGAGTATTTGATTGTTTCTGCTCAGAATTATGTACTTTAATGTTTGGAGAAGAAGAAGTTTTTGGTGTTACTGCAGTAATTATTGGGTCAGTTTTAAGTGAGGGTGTTTGTAAATATTTGGAACTCCTTTGATCGTTTTCCTTGGTAGGACGTAGATATGACCGCATAAATTCGTCCACATGTTGCTGCCAACTTTCAAATTGCTTGGGAGGAGCTGATATACCACTTTTAGCAGAATCTATAGACTTCTTGGGAGGATGAATTATTCTTGGACTACTTTTAGATTGGGTACTACTACTTTGTTCGGTTTTAATTGCCGGTGGAACCGGTATCTTTGGATTATTCACAAAAGGTGGTTTAGGTGCTACTTCTTGAGATGAAGATTGTTTTGGATCACTTTTAACTGCAGATGAAGTAGATCCTTTTTGTTGAACAGGTGGAAGAGGAATTATTTTAGGATGAGTCAACTTTGGAGGGCTTTTTGGTGGTGTCCCACTAGATTTCTCTTCTTTGGCTTTGGGTGAAGCTGATTTATTTAAACTTTTTTCAGTAGAAGTTGGTTTAGATGGACTTTGTTGTTGAGGTAATTTTAAAACTGGAGGGGAATCTAACCAATTTGTAGTGGTTTTTGATGGTGTATTCTTATATATGTCTTCTTTGGGTTTTGCAGGGCTGCTTACAACTGTAGCTGGTTTGGTTGGTGGTTTTTGTTGCCCCGATTGATGAGAAGTAGATGAAGGTTGTATTCTTTGCGGATCGTTTTTAAGAGGGGTACCAATAGTTTTATCTGCTTTTATCGCAGGATCAGCAGGTTTTTCCGGTTTGTTTACAACTGTATATGGTTTAGGAGGTGTTTGTTGTTGCCCAGATTGTTTAGAAGCTGATAGTGGTTGTACCTTTGGTGGATCGTTTTTAAAAGGTGTACCACTTGTTTCATTAGCTTTGACTGCAGGTGCAGCAGGTTTTCCTGGTTTGTTTCCAACTGTAGATGGTTTAAGAGATGTTTGTTGTTGCCCAGATTGATTAGAAGCTGCCAAAGGTTGTATTTTTGGTGGATCATTTTTAAAGGGTGAACCAATAGTTTTATCTGCTTTAACTGCCGGTGAAATTGTTTTTTCAGGTCTATTCACAACCGTAGATGGTTTAGGTGATGTTTTTTGTGGATCAGATTGATTGGGAACTGTTGGAGGTTGCAGCTTCTGTGGATCATTTTTAAAAGGTGTACCACTTGTTTCATTAGCTTTTATCGCAGGATCAGCAGGTTGTTCCCCTTTGTTTCCAACTGTTGATGGTTTAAGAGATGTTTGCTGTTGCTTAGACTGATTAGAAGCTGCCAAAGGTTGTATTCTTGGTGGATCATTTTTAAATGGTGTACCAATAGTTTTATCTGCTTTAACTGCCGGTGAAATTGTTTTTCAGGTCTATTCACAACCGTAGATGGTTTAGGTGATGTTTTTTGTGGATCAGATTGATTGGGAACTGTTGGAGGTTGCAGCTTCTGTGGATCATTTTTAAAAGGTGTACCACTAGTTTCATTTGCTTTAACAGCAGCTGAAGCTGGCTTTTCTGGTCTGTTTATAGCTGCAGATTGTTTAGGAGGGGATTTTTGTTGCCCAGATTGATTTGAAACTGACTGAGGTTGCATCCATTGTGGGTTGTTTTTAAGAGGTGTACCACTAGTTTTATCTGTTTTAACTGCAGGTGCGACAGGTTTTTCAGGTCTTTTTACAAATACAGGTGGTTTTGGAAGAGCTCTTTGTTGATCAGATTGATTAGAAGATGATTGTTGTTGTATCTTTTGTGGATCGTTTTTAGGAGGTACGCCGGTAGGTTGATCTGCTTTAATTGCCGGGGCTGTAGGTCTTTCAGGTTTCTTTACATTTGTGGGAGACTTAGGAGGCGTTTTTGATTGTCCTGGTTGATCAGAATCAGATGGAGCTTTCATCCATTGATTACTCTTAACAGGAGCACCACCAGTCTGTTCTACTTGAATTACAGTTGTCGCAGGTCTATCAAGATTGTTTACAATATGTGGTTGTGGTGGTGATGGTAATCCTTGCTTGACAGGCTGTTTTATTTCTACTGCCTTCATACCTCCTGCAGACTTAATACTAACAGTATCATTTGCAATCCTCTCATTAATAATATCAATCTTAATCACAATAGGGTCATCATCATCTCGAATTGTCACTTGCCTTGTAGACACCTCATTCGCCTGCGAATTCGATTGTTTCGGACTGATAAACTGAACGAGCCGACGTTTATCAATCTGATTCACGCTCACATTGGGCCCACTGGAGTGCGTACTCTGTTGATCCGAAAACTGTGAGTTGCTGAAGTACCGATCCCACGAAGAATGCACAGAGGTCTTGTCTTTCAACCACAACTTATACATGTCTTCGGCGTATGTACTCGGACCGCTCATTACGGGATTTGCCACTGTTGCAGATCCGCGATTACTCCCAGTACTAGCAGAATCATCACTCGATTTTTTTGCTATCCAACGCTTGGTGGTACAATCTCCAAATTTTGATGCGCCATCTTTCACCGCTTGTGCGGTGAAAAGTTTACTCATGATATGATTTGGAATCATGATGCTACCAGAATTTTCAAAAACTTGAATTCAATTTTGCTCTTAATGATATCATATTGCCCACATGAGATTTGAAAAATTCACTGTTTGACATAAAAATAAAATTAAATGAATATTGTTATAGAAACAGTTAAAAAACTTTTCGCGAATAAAAATTATAGTTCATTGATAAAACCCAGTAAGCTATAAACTTAATTTATTCCCGGTTACGTAGGTACTGCTTCTTTAACTGATGGCAAATTCAAGCTATAACTCGCACTCATCCAGCGCCTTCAATTTCGTTTAAGTCCAAATCCAGCATTCGAGGCTTTCGCACGTAAACTTTAAAGTATCGGTCCTCGTACGTAGCAAGCAGTTACCTACATTTTATGCCACGACGATTACGCGCATTTTATTACCGCGACTCACCTCCTGATAAGAACCTATCTCATTGCCGTTTACGTGATCCCGAACTGATGCGATCGGAATTAAATATCGCCGGATTTGTGGCAATAGTCGCCGGAAAAAACGTGCAAATCGTACGATTTATTGCAACCAACTTCTGCAGCAAGTAAATAATCGCCTCGAATGGCCCAGAGGACGTTTGCACGTGCACGCCAAAGTGCAAAGTTCAATTTGTATATTTCACTATCCGGGGAAACTCTAGATTCCATACAGTCTATACTCTGGATGTAGACATTCGCGAAATGTAAATGGAATAAACAGAGTTTGATGCGCCCCGCGGTAAAATCGAATGTAGCAGATGCTGGATACTGCGGTTAAACGCGAGGGGTTGATGGAGACGGAGAGGATATGAAAAGATCTTAAAAGATTGCTTCAAAGAAATGCGAGCGCATCCGAATGGAATGCGGCAGGCGAGGAGATTGGTTCCGAGCCACTCAAGCGTGGAAAGTGTGGCAGGGCGGTAATAAAATGATCGAACTGATTGAAAAATATGCACTAAAGCAACTTCAAAACCAAGCACACAACAAACACGCATGTAAATTGAATTTTCTTAAGTAACTCGATAAAAAACTACAAAAAAACGTTATATTATTACTTATTACGATTGATTTTTGCTTAATATAAGCTTTTCAACGTTTCCTTTATCCGATTACATTAATTTACTTTGTTTGTTTGCTCTTTATCCTTTTATCCGATATAATTTCTATTATTTATTGATGAGATATTCGTAACTCAGTGGCGTAGCAATCATAGAGCAAGAATATGTAATGCGTTGATTTTTCTTGTTTAAAAAAACAGAAAATAACTCTTATTTCTACTTCCATCTTTAAAGCACCAGTGTTTCCACGGTTTTAAGAAACAACAAGTGGTACTTTAAACACGAATAGTCAAGGCCGTGACTAAAGTACTCAAAATATGCAACTTTTGTTGCCTGAAAATATTAACAGTGCAATATGTCAAATTTATAATAACAATCAACAAAATAAAACTAAACATGTCAATAAAAAGGAAAAGAATACATTTTGTTAATTTTATTGCACAAATATTTGTGATATTCGAACATGAATAAAACAATAACCTCCCTTGAGGATTCATTAGTGAATAATATACTTATTCAGTTGTAACAAGACTCTTTGCTTGATCACTTGGTATGTTTCTACCTATATACTCATAAATAAATGGAATGCCGAAGGGATGGGATTAGATATAATTGAATTGTATCCCTGAATGCGCAGATAATTTACTGGACCTTTTAGTTTTTGTTATTCCGCAGGGCGAACGACTTCATCTCTCTGCGGTCTTAACTTGCAATATAAGCACCGCCTAATTCTGAAAGCTACAGTACAAAGCTTTACTACACGTACAACAAACATTCATTATCGCGATGGCGAAACGAGTAGGTTTTGAATTTGAAATCAAAACGGTGTAGAAAGTTTCACAACCGCAATAAAAACTTTGAGTAATGCCCACGAGGAAAATTAATGAGTTATGAGCTGAATTATTGAGCAAATATAACAAGTATTTAATTAATAACTTGTGATAAATTAAAATTAAAAAAAAAGGCAAAAAAAATTTAAACGTAATTTTCTATATGTAATATAAAAATGAATCGCAAAATCTGTTGGTAAGCGTATAACTCAGCAACGCCTTGACCAATTCAACCAATTCTTTTTTTAAAATGTATGTTAAAGTCCAAGGATGGTTTTTACAGCAAGAAAAATTCGAGTAATTGCCGGGAAAATCCTTAATACAACCTTTTTCTATAGGATAAAAGTTGGCACTGAGATTCAATCATAGTTATAGTTAAATAGTTGAAAATTGCAAATCTTATTAATAGAATTGACACATACTATGTCAAGAACAAGAGAGTATATACAAATTACATTTTTATTAAACACTACCGGGACGAAGTCACTGGAAAAACTAGTTGTAAATAAAAATATCATAAAAACTTTGGAGGAGCTGGGATTTGAACCCAGGACTTTCAGCATGCGAAGCAGACACTCTACCACTGAGTTACACCCCCGATGAACACTTACAAATTTTTTCTGCATAAATGTAACACGTATTTAAAAATTTAATGATTTTAATTTTAAAAATATATCCCAATATATTAAGTTTAAATAACTATTACAACAGACTATTCGTATATTAATGTTTACTGATGATTACTGTATATTTAATTAAAATCAGAGTACATATTCATCGTTCATTAAAACCATACCATAGTATGAAACTACTGCAACATTTACGCATACAATTAAATAAACCCAACTCGGCGAAACTGCATGCAAAGTAAATAATTACAAATGTTCTATATGTACATTCATATAAAACACGCCTACGTTCCAATTTTGACCGGTGACCAGTGGCTGCAAATTAAGCGCTTGCTTCTGATAGTCAAGCGGAAAGTTAGTCGTTAGTCGTGGTCCATCGTTAACAGTTAGCCATGAGCAGTAAACTTGTTGTCATTTTAGTTATTTCGTTTCAGCGCATAAACGAATTTGATTCTCCACGTGCATATGTCCCACAAACTTACACGGCGTATACTCATGATGTACACACGTTAACATATAACATATTTGACCGAAGCGAGAGTCTCAGTTTCATTTCAACTCGCTGTGGTTGTACAGTTGTAACTTCCGAGTAAACAGGCGCGAACGGACAACGCATGCAAATGCAAATGTCCACGACACGCTTTCGAACTTTCGCAGAGTCAGCGCGAACTGAGAATGGAATAAAATGTTTGAATCGCCGTGTTAATTACGAATAATGCACGTATTTACTCATAAAGCACTCGCTGAAATTAATTAATATACTTATATTGAAATGCTTTATAATAAATTGTGAAATATTCAACGGGGCGTGTGACTAAGTGCATTTTGCTTTTATCATTATTAATTCATTCTTAATCCTCATGTGTACTCTATTTTTCTTTGCTTAAAAGGAAAACAACGATTCTATAGTAATGAAAAAATGCTTTTAAACTTTTTCACTTTAAGTTTTATGCTTAAAACAAGTCAAAATCGCAACAATGTTTCATAACTTTCATCTTCTGTGTTACGTTTACATCCAAAACAATTGAAACAGTCAAATAAATTATATTTCTTCATTTTTACTAAATCACTGAAATGTCTGTTGAAAAAGTTGAATTTCGCGGGTTTTTGTGATACTGTTTGAGTATTGTCACAAATCATAACCTCACTTGACATAAAAGTTTCTTCATTTTGTGTTTTAGATGCGTCGAAGGCATTAGCATCGACCTCAACTAATTTACCCACTTTATCATCGCACTCTAGCTGGACTGTATCCGGCATAAAGTGGACAAAATGGCCACCGGAATGATGGCCGCCACTTCTTAAACAATCACACGGACGGCAACTAATGGTGTCGCTGACAAGCATCACGCATAGTTTTTGCGCTTTCTGTCCTTCGTTTCAATTTCGAATTCGGTTTTGTCTTTCTTTGTCTCTGCTGTACGGGGTTTGAGAGTCATCACGTTGGGAATAAATCGTTTCCATTTGCGTCGCTCTCGGATTTCCATTTTCGTTCGCACAGTTGTGTTTTCCGGTGCGCAGCAAGCCGTAACGATTCGACACTGGCAAGAGGAGCAAATCGTTGCAATTCATCAATTGTGCTCTCAAAATAGACCCGAAAGCGTTTTTTGCGACCTGGTTTACATTAGGTAGATTCAACGTGTCAATTGGGTTGCATATTTTTGGCATAAAGTGTTCTTCATATATATTACGTGGAATGTGAAGATTTATGTTACTACGATGTACTTTTGGATGAAAATTGCGTTGTTTTTTGTTGCACGATAAAGTTTTATTGCTGGTGGATGTAATATCGATGTCGAAGTCGATTATTCTCGGTGCGCCGATGGTCAGAATGCTCGAATAGTTGCTTCGGGTGGAGATTAACGATAGCATCGTGGTGTGGCCAGGCACAACTCGATCGGTTTCCTTCCGGTGGTGATAACAATGAAACATGATGTGTAGACGCAGACGCAATAACAGCCGATACAGAAAATGTGTTTTGTTGATTGTTTCATTCATTGTTTCATTTTGTAAATTTATGCTAAAATATAATAAAATTATTAAAATTTCAATGCAAACATTAAAATATTTAAGGTTAAAATAAAAATAAACCAAAATTATGTAATTTACTTACAATTGTATGTAGTTTTAATTAATTTTAAGTTTAAAACGATGTAATTGGCAAGTTGTGATTAAATGTTGTAATTTTTCGTGAGTGTTTTGCTGTTTTGAGGTAATTTCATGTGTGTTTGGCCTAAAATAAAACTAAATCAAAAGTAAACAAATAAATGAGGGTCAAATGTATTTCATGGCAGTAGAACTTATTATTTGTTTATGATTCATAGAGGGCATTGTTCCATTTTCATCTATAAATCTATAAATGTATAATATTCGAGCTGTTTATTATATTAGAATATGTTCCGGGACGGTCCCAATAATCAACAGCTCGAACTCTGTAGAACACCATTGAATTTTTCATCTTTTCGATTTTCTTTCCAAAGTCTGAAAATAATCCGACAACGTAATTAACAGCATTTTGACGAACAAAAGTTTAAAAACTTGTAAGACTTGATTACATGACAGAATATTTAATGATCAAATATTAAATACCGATAAAATTAATAAAATTAATTAACATTTTATGCTCGCGAATCCCCGTCGAGCGATCGTTTTGTCTAATAAGGAATTTTCTACGAAACTTTTTTGTTACACAACTCTCTTTATCTTTGCAACTTTTTTTATTTGATTTTTTCGCGATAAACTTTTTGCTCATTAATTTCATCCGCACTCACTTTTTTTCAACTTTTCAGCGCGCATTCCACGCTTCTGTGAGCTGGCGCGCTTTTTATGATTCGATCTGATGATAAGATTGACAACGAAAACAAAAAGGACTTAATGACAAGCAGTAAATGGCGATGGGCCACTCAAATCTCGGCAAACGAAATGGCAGGCGGCAAGCTTTGAACCGGAACAAAAAACTTTACTCAAGAGGCATTAGGAAAACATTGCTAAAAGAAGTTGAACGGTGAAGAAACCATGTAAAAACTAATCGGCTAAAGGGAAAAAATTGCTAAAAGTAACGCGATTGGAAGAAGTTTTACGGCAACACTTTACACCTAGCGAAGGTGTAAAGCTGAGTTAATACGGGGAAAATTGTTTGAGAAAAGTTGATTTAAGTATAAGTAACACAATTTAAAGTTACAACACATAATGCATCATTAGTTGCACTTAATTAATGCATAGGCAACCAAATACACACCTAAATACTGTTCACTGATAAAATTTAACCAAAAAGCGAAAATTTTAATACAAACCTGAAGAATAATTGCTCTCATCATGTTGATAACTCAGTAAAATCAAGTCTTCCGTATTAATGCGTTCAAAAGTATTATTTTCAGATGCTTGATATTCAACTTCGTAAGTTTTGACACATCTACAACCAAAAAATGAACAATATTTACTTATTACCCTTTTTGATAAGATAAAACCGTCAAGTAAAAAGCACAAACCTTGATCGTACTTTCTTATCGCTCCAAGTTAACAATACTTCATTATTCGTCACGTAATATCCTCTCAAATCTACGACTTCGCCGGGAAGCGCGTTCAATGTCGAATCAACACAAATATTGATTAAATGAATGGATGGAATCTTCACAGAAAGATTCAGTTTTAATGAATGTAACTTCTGTAAATTTTTATTCCATTTTAAAGTTTTGTATTCCACTTTTTCTCTAACAGGACCCTAGAAATATTTTTAATATTTAAATTAATTTGTGTTGAATAATTTTAACTTTAAAAATACAAACCTCGTGTTTCCTTAAAAGATTTCTCAGTGTTTTGTCAGGAAAATCAGGACTTTTGTGGTCCTTCCATATTTGATAAGGATTTGTTTGATCATTATCCAGTGCATAAGTTATCATATAACTAGATGGATCATGCACATTTTTATTTTTAGCAAATTTATTGCATTTTAGAAGTAAATTGTTTACATCTACTTTAAGAGTTATATTTTTTGCTTTGATATTTTTATTCTTTAATTTTAAATTGTTTATTGCTTTATCGTTCACTGCAACAATTAAAACAGTCAAAACATTGGAATATTTTGATGTTCTTTTCGTGTATAACACACTAATATTTGAATCAGATAATTTATAACTAATTAAATTATCATTATCAATGATTTTGTAATTGTCAGTAGGTAAAAATTCATCTCCAAGCATTGATAACAAACCCATTGCTATATAAACAGGTTTTTTGATGAATTGCACATGCGCTGGAGTTGTATTATTCATCTGAAACCTACAAAAATAAAAAACATAACCATAAATAAATATTTAATAGGTTACATTAAATTAGGTTAGGATACCTTGCAAGTAGAGTACGTTGTGTGAAATAATACGGACTATAATTCATAAATGCATTGTCATTACTCAAAACCTCAATTGAAATATTCCGTTTCAAAATGATTTCTTTATAATGATCTACAATAACTTTCGACATCAGCGCCGCATACCAAACATCCGCCCGCCACTCTTCATTCAGCGACCAGTTGGTTAAAATGTCCGCTTCACTATGAATCAAAATGGCGTTTAAAAAAATACATTCACAATTCATGCTGGAAATAAAATGCTTACTCATTCGCAATCGGCAATCCTTTCGTAAAGTCATACTTTTGAAGCACGTCCAACATGTCCAGATCTTCGCTCAGGACTTGATCGGCACTCCCCCCGCCCTTTTTATGAAACGATACATAATGCAAGTGACACGCAGTGCGGTTGCACATGTCCAGCGCACCCCAGCATAACGGGTGGCGCTCGCGTCGCTTGAACAATCCTGCTGGGCCGCCCACCCTCAAACTCGACACTTTCTTTCTTCGTGGCCTGCTTTCGACGTGCGCATTACTGGTGGTGACTGTTGCTTCTCGTGCTTGCTCGAGCAAGGATGGAATTAGTTCATTTTCATCATGCGCGTTTACCACCCGAAGTTTTTCATCACTTTTCGTGGTTACTGAAGTGTAAATTACGCTGACATTGTGCAGCGCATGCGTACAAGCTTTAAAATACTCTAGATATTCTAAAAATATTTTGTTTTGTTTTATTTTTTGTGAAATTCGATGTTAATATTGAATACCTTGTAAAGTAAAGTTTAAAAAATTGTATTGTTTTAAATCAGGTTCGTTCATTGTTTCAAATCGCCATTTTTGCACTTCATCATAACCATATCGTGCTAAAAGCATAAAAATTTGTTTTTATAAACAAATAAACACATTTTTTATTACAAATGTCCTCAGAAAAGCAACTTTTAATATAATTTTCCTTGATATTAGTGTTGTTGTGTACTAAGAGTAACCAATACTTACAAATATAACGTGTAGATATGGCTTCCGTCAATTCATACCAAAAGTTATAAATATTCTTTTTTATAACCTCAAGTTTTATGTTTAAAGGTAACCCCATCAATTCAAAACCTGGCCGTAGATTATTTGCTTGCATTAAATCCAATAAAATGTCTAAATTAGTGAAATTATACGTTTTTTCACTTTCTTCGTATCTAAATTGAAAAAAATAATTCAAAAATCAAAAAAGTTGTTCTCCCCGTGACAATGCTATTAACATTGCCGTGACCAGGATTCGAACCTGGGTTACTACGGCCACAACGTAGGGTCCTAACCACTAGACGATCACGGCTACGGAGAACTTGCAAGCGTTGCTTATAGCAAGGCATGTAGCTAGTAAGCTAAATATAGCACACTAAACTAGGCAACTGAATATACATTAAACCATTGTCGCAAAATATTACTTACGTTATCAAGTTCAACAACCAATGTATTCTAACTTGACGAATTCCATGATGAGGTAAAGCACCAATTAATATTAAATTAAATTTTTCATCTGGTTCAAGCAAATATTTATACGCATTATTCGAATCTGGAGGCCTTGAAGGATTATATAAAAAATTATTAGTTTTGTGTTGAAAGAGTAAAAATATTTATAACAAACGAAACGTACGATAGGCCAGTACTCTTCCAAAAATGTCCCAGCGGTATATCCTTCGTGTATGTACAAGCTGTGTTGTCATTCCGCATTGGCAGCGCAACGTTATCACAAAAACTCACAAGTTGCATAACAATAAACAGATAAACAAATACAAACACTATTCTCAATGAAAACTGCATTGTTACGCGTACATTTCACTAATTGAACAATCTTCAACCGGGATAAACGCACACTGATAACATTATGCATAATAATCAACCATTTCCTGGTTTGCTCCAACTCTACAACGCAATATAAACATAAGTAGTAATTTAATGCGGTGTAGACATTAGCTTATCAACGCTATGTTTCCTCACTGGCATTATAAAAACAAAGTAACAAGAAACTAATTATAATGATGATTCATAGTGGCGATAAAACAAAGTAAGTACATAAAATTGATAATCATTAACACAGTTTTAAAGAGTAAGCATGAATAAATAAACGCAAACAGTAATCGAAACGCCTGTTTACTGATAATACATCTTGCGTTGCCTATTTATGGGCGCTTAAATATTGATCGATGTGTTTCAGCGTGTCATCGAGGGTTTTCGCAAAGCCGTAGAATGTTTCCTCCTTGTCGACATTGAAAGTGACCGAGTAACAAAACTTATAAAGATTCGCGAACTTTGGCGTCTCCTTGTTAATGGGCGGCTTCTGGAGGCACACTTTGATCAAATTCTTCAGCACGTGCTGCAGCCGTTGCTTGACCAGAATCAATAGCGAACTGCACGATTTGTAATTTTCGGCGCTCTTCTTGCGTTTCACGTCGAAATCTCGTACGTCTTCAGCGGGCACGTCCACATTCTGCTCGACTATTTGATGGATCATCTCGCCGATTTCGATTACAATCTCCAGGCATTGTTGTAGATGCTTGTATTTCATTTGAGCATTAATTGCAGCTGAAATAGAAAAAATAGTAAATACAAAAACAAATTTGGAAAATTTGGAAAAACTTACTTCCTGCTATGTATTCAGTCAAAGCAAATCGTTGCATTTGTGCAGTGAGATAATTAATACAATCCATCGATAGGAAAAACATTTTTGCTGCTTTCTCATAGTTGAGCTTTGACAGTTGAATAATATTCTTGCGCTTGGCTTCATTGCAGTTAGCCACAGTCCAAATATGTCTGTGGTATAAACTTCCAAGGCGATAATATATTGTGGCAGCTCGATATTGATATAAAGGATATTTCGGATTGTTCTCATCAAAATCGCAGGCATTCAACGCGCGTTGAAACACTTCAATCACTTCTTTCTCGGCTTCATGAATATTCTAAACACAAGAGATCATATATAAGGTTAGAATAAAGTAATTTATATATAATTTGTGTTAGTTTAAACTCACATCACCAGAGGGATTTTCATGCAAAATGGTTGCCATGGTAAACAATGCCGTCGATAATTCCCACTTGACTGCATCCCAAATATTCGCACAATGCTTCCGCTCGCCAATAACTTGCAGCGCTTTGTTATAATTAGCAAACGCTTTGTTGTAGTGAAACTTCTCCTTTGTGGTAAGTTCACCGCGTTCATTCGGAGTACTTGCATGTGCGAGTAATCTATGCAGGTGTCCGATATTCGTGTAGACCAAAGCAATATTTGCATCATCTTTGATCCGCTCGAAGATCTCCACGGAGCGTTTCAAATAGGGTTCGCTCTTTTTACAAAACTCCACCACTGCGTCTTCCTTGGTGGTCGTCTTGGCTTTGTTGAGATAGAACGAGCCAACTTCGTTGAGGCTATTCGCCAATCTTCTTAGCAAACATTCGGAGTTTGACAACTTCAAAGCCTCCTCATAACATTCGACAGCTTTGAGCAGAATTTGCTCGATTGTTCGAATATCGTAGATTAATACACACTTTGTCCTGCATTCAGCTAGCTGAATATTGAATATCTGTTCATCTTTTTCGATTTTATCCAGCATTTTGAGATCCTCGTCGGTGTGTGTATGGAATTGATTGCGGTATTCTTCGCCTTTGTCCCAAGACTGCGCAATCATGACACAACAATCACCACCGCGTCCCAAAATGCAGCTTTCCTTCAATGTACACACGGAGTATTTTAATTTGGACATGACTTGTAAGGTGCGAACAAGCAGACCTAAATATCGTAGACTACTGCCGTAGTTTTTCGCACCGTAGTGGTTTTCAGAGAGAATAGCATAAACTAATACAGCTTTTTCATATAATAAAGTTTTAAGATGTTCCTTCCAGGATAATTGACCTTTGGGAGGTCCTTGCCATGTTGGTAGTGGTTGAGCTTCGGTTGCATTTTTTAAAAGCAGAGCATGTTTAGATTTACTTGCATTTCCAACACAGAGTTCATCATAGGCATCTTTTTCGACTTTCTTTTTCTTGCCTTTTTTCTTTGGTTTGTGAGGTTCTTCTTCTTTCTGCTTCCGAATGCTATCTGAATTTGTGTCCTCCGCCTGTAATTTTTCATATGGCATCGGGATTGGTTCATCTTGTTTCGCCATTTTGATATTTGCTTCCTCATTCATTTGCTTCTCCTTTTCAAAATCCATTTTAAAATACTGTAAGCAGTTGATTCCTGCCTGAATATGAAGTAATGCTTGTAGACTACGTTCTTCAACACTGCCAGCTATCGGTGGTGGATGTTTATAACCTATATCAGAATCTTCTAATTTTGCACAAGAGTCCGATAGTGATAATGTTTTTATATCTTCTTCTTGATCGCCATTTTGATTTCCATCTGAATTACTCTTAAAAGTATCCGCATCTGGCCCATTGTAATTCCAGAAATCATCGTTTGACAGTTCATCTTCCGGAGAGTCTAATTTTGGATTTTCTGGATTAGTATCCGCAGGCACGTATAAATCGCTAAGCATATAATGTGAAGAAGTGACAATCTCCGGATATTTCTCTTCGTCTAACAGTTTAACACAGTTTTTCAACAGCATGCGAATTGTACCAGGTTGGCGAGACTCACGAGAATGTTTCATATTCCTCGCTACACGATATAGTAATAAAGCGACAGGTACTGTGAATGGATTTTGCTCAGAATCATCATTATCGTTGGAGCAGAGTGATGTTAAATCATACAACTTGACTACATCTTCATCTTTGCCTTTGAATAACCAATATGTGTGTCCTGCTTTCGTTGCGTTACTCTTCAAGAACGATAAAATACTCTGTGCCACATCACGGATTAATTCCGGGTTGAATTTCGAATCCTTTAGACTCGGTAGATCTTCAGTCTTGATCAGCTCGTATTTTTGCACAATGCCATCCAAATGATAGCACATGACAACCTCAGGCACATTCGACATCAAATTATCCAGCCAATAATCAATGCCGGTCAAAACATTGATTGGTTTTTCATATCTCTCAAACGTAAAGAAATACAGGGATGTGTTCCACCGCCGAATATGGGCATATCAGTGCCGATGAACATTTCTATGTCTTCGAAAGTCCACACCACGTTGCGGTTGTATTTGTGTTCGAAACTATTTGAATCTGGTGTTTCCTCATCTGGTGGTGGTTCAGGCAGTGATGGACCTTGCACTTGTTGTCGATTCACGTTGAATTCCTCAACGTCAGTCGCATCGTCTTGCACTAGACTATGATAGAGGAACTTCGACACCAGATGTTTTTGTTTCAGCGCTTTCTGCCGCTTGTTTTTGATGTATAACATGCGCTCCTCGTCGAGAATGTCACTCTCTACATTTTCATTGAAAAATTTGCGTAACCATTCCCATTCGGATTCGGCAGTGCGTAGTAAATGCTTGTACATGTCGAAATCATCGAGTAGTAAGGTGTTTTCTACTCGATGTACCATCATGCTGACTATGTGGCCTTTATTGTAAGGAATTTTCAAGAGATTTTTGATGTTTTCCGAATCGGAAACGACGTCAACTTCGCCGACACAGTCGGGAAACATATGTGCCATACGGAAACTTGAGAAGCCTTTATGAGAGTATAATACATGCTGTAATCCATAGGATTCTGTGGAATTTGTGAGCCAATTTGATGGTGGAACCTTCAAATCTGTATTGCATTGGAGCTGTAAGAAGTTAGCAGGTTTTGGAACTGAATATTTAACTACTGCTGTTGATTTAACTCCTTCTGATGATGATGATGATGATATTCCACTGGTGCTTTCACTATTTGTGATTGAAGTCATTTTATTTTTGTCTGGTTCAATTTTAGATTTTGAATTTTTCTGTGTAACCTCCTGCAGAACAGTAAATCAAATTAATTTATACTTTTAACACAATGAAACTGTAACTGAACTGATGTTTCAGTGATGAACTAACTGAATTATCAACACACACTAACCATTTGTTGTTTCGTTCCCGAGTTTTGTTCTGGAACCTTGAGTATTTGAGACTTTTCTAGAAGAACTTGAAGGAATGGTGTGAGAACATTGCACGATCCTGATGGCAACCGGTCACGACCGTTGGAAATTAATTGTATTTACTAGGAATTTGTCATTTCTGGCATTTTATAATTAGTGTGCGATTAATTATTGAATGTTCAGAAAAACTAGAACTTATTATTAATACGAAAGTGAAAAGAAAATGAAAGGTAGGTTAAATTTTTGACATGTTATAACAAAATTAGCAAAAATTACCTGGGTACGTTTGGTGTATTTGTCAGTGACCTGATTGTTTATTAAAATAATTTCAACAATGCAGATTTTATTATTTTAAAATACTAAAGGAATAAAATACTAATTTGTTAAATGAAGTGTAATATCATAATTAAAGCGCCATCTACTGCTGAGTGTAATAACACATAATAAATCAGAACAGTGAGATTCGGAGTTTTCAAAGCATAAGAACATCTACAATTTTGTTTTTGTTAATTTTGTATTTTAAATGGGAAATATAAGACAGTAGCAGCGCATAATGGGAGGCGAAAGTTCCATCCCGTAACTAAAGTCCATGACTAATTGACCGTTGACTCCATTGACCGTCCATGTATCTCATGGCTAAACGTTGTTAAACATTCGATTGATTAAACGCTCGCTACTCTCTTAATCAATCTCGTGATAAAAATGACCGTTTTGCTACTTGATACTTAATATACTATTAACTCTTACTCTATGCCATTAGTGCATATTATGCACGGAGGTCTAAAAGACATCGGAGTTTTTATTTTTCATTTGTTTCAATTGTTCAAATAAAATGCTCGGCGAATAACTCACTGTCGCATAACTGTGATGCAATTCGGCGTTTTCACGGTCTTGGACCTACTCCATTCAAACTACCGTCACTTCTTGCTCATTGAGACCGATTGGCGGCGCGCATCGGCGAATCAACTCAAACGTCAATAACAGTTTCACGTCGGCATATTTACTTAATTTGCACCGAAACAAACAAAAATATTGCGAATCAATGAATTATAAACTGATGGTATGTATGCACACACTTCCAACTCTGAACCGCAAGTAATTTGCTATTATTTCAGATGAAACAATCGATTTTCCCGCACACATAACCCCGAAATACTTTTCGCCTGTAAATAAATACAAGTTTCGTTCAAAAGTATCTCGCAAAAATGTGGGACTCAGCGATGTTCCTGAGTAGTCTCACGCCGAAATTCTACGTGGCGTTAACAGGCACATCATCGCTAATTTCCGGCTTAATACTCATCTTCGAATGGTGGTATTTCCGGAAATATGGCACTTCATTCATTGAACAAGTTTCTTTGAACCACATAAGCCCATGGATAAGTGGAGTGGAAAACCCGCCAGATACAACCAACGGCAACAACAACACAAACGGCAGCACGCAACAGAATAACGTACCAGAGTGTAAAGTGTGGCGGAATCCGTTGAATCTCTACCGCGGCGCAGAATATCAACGGTTTTATTGGGCCACCAACAAGGAACCTTTAACTTATTATGACATGAATCTATCCGCACAGGATCATCAGACGTTTTTCACTTGTGAGGCAGATGCAGGTAAAGCAGAGTATGAAATCATGCAAACAGCATGGAGGGAAAGAAATCCAGTGGTAAGAATCAAAGCAGCTCATAGCGCTGTTGAAGCAAACACAGAATGTGCACCAGCTTATATTCTCCTAGCTGAAGAAGAAGCCACAACCATAACAGAAGCCGAGAAGATCTTAAAAACCGCGTTGAAAGTCGCAGAAGCGAATTATCGCAAATCTCAAAACTCACAACATCAAGGTACACTCATGGAAGGTTTACACCGGCGAGACACCAACGTGTTAATCTACATAAAACGTAGACTAGCGATGTGTGCGCGAAAGTTGGGTAAGTTAAAAGAAGCAGTGAAGATATTCCGCGATTTGACCAAAGAAGTCCCGCCGATTATGAACGTGCTGAACATTCACGAGAATCTCATCGAATGTCTGCTTGAAATGCAAGCATATGCAGATGTGCAGGCAGTACTGGCGAAATATGATGATATTTCCCTGCCAAAATCAGCGACGATTTGCTACACGGCCGCTTTGTTAAAAGCACGCGCGGTAGCTGATAAATTCTCACCGGATATCGCGAGTAAACGAGGATTGACACCGGCTGAAATGACTGCAGTCGAGGCAATCCACCGTGCAGTTGAGTTCAACCCGCATGTACCGAAGTATTTATTGGAGATGAAGCCGTTGATTTTACCGCCTGAGCATGTGTTGAAACGCGGTGATTCCGAAGCGATAGCGTATGCGTTCTTCCACTTGCCGCATTGGAAAAACATGGAGGGTGCGTTGAATCTCTTGCACTGCACCTGGGAGGGCACATTTCGCATGCTTCCGTATCCGTTGGAACGTGGTCATCTCTTCTATCCGTATCCCACGTGCACAGAGTGCGCGGATCGGGAGTTATTACCAGCGTTTCACGATGTATCGGTTTATCCAAAAAAAGAGCTGCCGTTCTTTATTATTTTCACGGCTGGCTTGTGCTCGTTCACGGCGCTGCTGGCGCTGTTGACGCATCAGTATCCCGAACCGATGGGATACATCGCCAGGTCGATCTTCAACGGCATGTCATTACCATTGTATTATTTATATGAGAAGGTCGAAGGCATGTTGCCGTCGAACTTACTGCAACAACTTTCTAGAATTTAGATGCGCACATCAAATCATTTTTAAGTATTATCCATGTTGATGTTTTGCTACTTCGTGACAAACTGACTTCAATTTGATCTAGCGATAAGTTTACGTTGTGAATGGACTTTCGTTGAGAATTGTGGGTCTGTGGTAAGAGTTGTTAAATTATTATTTTAAATTTAAGTTAAGTGTTCATCGATGGAGCGATGTAAAATCGACGAATTCATGAACGTGCGCGTATTTCTCGTGGATTATTTTGAGTGTTTAATGTGGAGCGCATGAGGGGGAATAGAGATGTTTCCAACTATACTATACGCATGCGTACTGATGATGAAATGTGAACAAAGTCAAGAGTAAACCTGAAAGGATGATTAACAAGTACAAATGACTACATCTCTATTCATTTTATGTGTATGTAATTTAAAACAAATTGTGAGCATGAAGGCATATGAGAAGACAAATGTACTGAATATTAAACGATGATCATTGTACTCAATTTTATCAGTGTCTAAATTTTGCTTTAAAATTTGTTTTATTTTTAATTATATTTCATCATTATTTCAAATCGTTAATCCCAGTATTTAATGAGGCCATCCCAACCGGCCGTGACCAACTTACTGGGTTCATGCGGATGCCACAATGTACTAATGCACACATTCTCGTGCGCCTTCCACTTCTTGTAGAGTTTAGTCGTCTTCCAGTCCCAGATGTAACACTTACCGTCAGCATCTCCTGACACCAGATAACTCATATCCGGAGAAAAGTCCAAGGAGCACGCGTATCCAGCGACCATATGACCCGTGAACGTCTTCTTTCGATTCATTTTGAAGCGATTCAACGCCGAGAAGATGACGATTTTGTTATCCATGCTCTGACAAGCCATCCATTTGCCATTCGGTGCGAGTGATACAGATGGCATTGAGTGCATCGTGGGATCAGCAATGTACTTCATATCAACAGGTATGTCCCACTCCCAAACCCTCAGACTCTTATCGTCTGAAGTAGTCACAAAACGGCGGTTGTCATCAACGAATGTGATTGAATTAACAGCGCCCAAATGTCGATCGTATTCTTGAACAATGTCACCACTTCTAACATCCCACTATATAAATTTAAAAATATATAAGAATTTAATTATGAAGACGTAAAAAATCAGTGAAATAAAATACTTACACAAATAATTTTCTTGTCACTGGTGCCAGCAACAAACAAATGTTGTTTGCTATTGTCCGGATTGAATTTCACACAATAGGGAATTTTCCTACTTGTGAATCGTGAAACAACTCGCCCGGTTTCCGTGTCCCAAAGTTTAATATATCGGTCATAGCCGGCCGACAAGAATTGATTCCCTGAATTGTTGAAGTTTATATCCCGCACTGCTTGCCTATGGCCGTTGTACGTTCGTATGCAACGTCTGTCGTTATACACTTCCCAAATCTATACAAACAAAATAAATATATAAATGTTTTGTTTTAGAGATTAATTTGAAAGTTTTATTACCTTAATTCGACAATCCATGCCACCGGAGAGGAGCAAATGCGCTGTTTTGGGAAACCATCGCACCGCAGCGATGCCCTTCGTGTGCCCGGACCATGTGTGAACATGTGCTTTTGGCAGGAAGCACTTTTCGGGAGGCACGTCGGATCGTAGATTCACACCCACATCGTGTGGAGCATGTAAGAAAGACCTTCCTTGATAATCCAAAGGATCATCAACTGAAATGAAACAAAATGTGTATTGGGTTGTCTATCACTCAGGAAAAATAAGGTAAGTTTTAAAAATTGTGAGAAAACAAAAAACTTACTGTGAAGTGTTGTCTTGTCTTCAAATGTCTTCTCTTCAACAACCTTGCCTCTCTTGTGTTTCTTGGATACCAACTCCTCCAATTCAGCCTGCTCTTCCTCAGTAGGTTTAGATATTCTTTCTTCATCCTGAAAACCACCCCATGGCCCCAGGAAGCCTTCAATATCATCTGCTGAATCATTCTTTTTCCTTTTCCTTTTATCCAACATTCGTAACTTTGTGCTCTCAAACACAGTCTTGCCTTTTGCTTCCTCTGCCATTTCAGTGGAACCAATCACTTTGCTGCCAGCTGCACCTTCATCTATAGAAGGATCCAATGCATAACCATAGCTGTTGAATGTTCTTCGCTGATTTTCAAACTGAAAGGGGCTCATAAATGCTGGTTCCACATAGCCAGACAACATGTTCCTATTTGCTTCCATTTGTTTTGTCCTGCTGGGGTTGACTGGACCAAGCATTGGGGCAAATAGTTGTTCATACTTGGGATTGTAGGCTATTTCTTTGGCAGTTGGATCAATGTGTGGCATACATTCCTCACCTCCCTAAATATAATTGCAAAAATTGCATTTGTTTTATATATTTGTATATATTATGTTATTTTAAAAGGTATTTACCGTTGGTAACACTATTGGCGCTGCACATATCTGGAGTTGTTTTTGAACTGAATATGCTGGATTGATAGGTTTGCTAAAATCAGCAGCAGCAGCAGCAGTCTCCGAGTTTGTTTCCTGGGTTTCCTGAGTTTTTGTCTCTCCTGCGCCGTCATCACTGTTGTCTGAATTGTTCTCATCGTCACTGCTAGCGTAAGCTCGTAATGCTAACATTTTGCTATTATTTATTCTGTAATAAATTTAAAACCACTTGCTTAGCTTTCATGAAGTAATACGCAAATAAAAACAAGCTTAACCTACAAATAAGTTTACTTTTACAACGTTTAAAGTTGGTTCATAAAATAAATATAGTTGGCACCACTTGTTTCAAAAAAAACTCGAATTTAAACTTTATTCGTATAGGAAATTAAATAATTTTATTATCAAGTCTTAGTAAGTTAAGAAAATTAGACAGGAAATTATAAGAATATTTTAAAAATAGTTTATTTAAACAAAACAAAGTTGTATTAAAAGCACGAACGAAGCACCTCTACAGGAAAAATTCAAAAGTATATGTTTAGAGCGCGGTTTTAACCTTGTTCGTTTTGTTTTGATGCTTCAATCCGCTGATGAATAAAAATTAAACTCCAGCCGTGTTCTTAAGGATATAATTATGAAAGATAAGCTGAAGACACAAATGAAGGACGATATATCATACCTTAGTGACTCTGGTGAAGATGTAATTCATATAATTCCGCAATAAATGTTCAAACAATCATTCTGTTTTACATTCTTGTTTTTAGGATGAAACCAGTTCAGTTGGAAGCACATCAAACACCGACAATACTTCCAGAAGTGCCACACCAACCAACAGGCTCCGAAAAGGCAAAAAGGGCAAGAAGAAATTGTCACTCAACAAACCAACTAAGTCAATATACAAATACACGTAAGTAATTAAAATATTTTTATTTTATATCTCAGACTCTTACTAATCAAATAATATGATGGTATTAGGTGTTTTATTAAAGAAGATCATGGTCAGCCCCTGTTTGGTGCACAATTCAATCATCATTTGAAAGAAGGCCAACCATTAATATTTGCTGCAGTTGGCTGCAACAGAGTTTCAATTTATGAGTGTCCTGAAGGAAGTGGAATCAAACTACTACAGTGTTATGCAGACCCAGATGTAAGCTAAACTTATTTTTAACTAATATATTTTATGTAAAATAATTTCATTTCTAATTTTTGCAGCTGGATGAAAACTTTTACACATGTGCATGGTCCTATGAAGAAGAAACAGGAAAACCTCTCCTGGCAGTGGCAGGAGCAAGAGGTATAGTAAGAATATTAAATCCAGCCACAATGATCTGCATTAGGCACTACATTGGTCATGGTCATGCCATCAATGAACTCAAGTTCCACCCAAAAGACCCCAATTTATTACTGTCTGTGTCCAAGGACCATGCCCTAAGACTGTGGAATATAAAGACTGATGTTTGTATCGCCATTTTCGGCGGAGTGGAAGGCCATCGTGATGAAGTACTAAGCGCCGTAAGTTTTTCCAATTAATTTTATAATCAATGACCTAAATTTAAAAAAATATATTCAAGGACTTTGATCTGTTGGGAAATCGAATAATCTCATGCGGAATGGATCACTCACTGAAACTCTGGCGACTGGATAAAGACTGCATGCATGCTGCCATTAAACATTCATATCACTGGACACCAAATCGCAACGCACGCCCCTTCGACTCGCTGAAGGAACATTTTCCTGACTTCTCAACGCGTGATATCCACCGTAACTATGTCGACTGCGTGTGGTGGTTCGGCGACTTTATCCTGAGCAAATCATGTGAGAATCGTATCGTGTGTTGGAAACCTGGTCGATTAGAGGATGAAACACTCCGACCGGGCGATACTACTTCAACTGTTATCCATTGCTTTGAATTCAAAGAGTGTGAAATTTGGTTTATACGCTTTGCGATGGATTTCTGGCGGAAGATTCTTGCGTTAGGCAACCAGTCGGGCAAAGTCTTCGTGTGGGATTTGGATGTTTCAGACCCAAGCCTCGCTAAGTGTTACACTCTTCAGCATCCACGATGTGTCACAGCTATCCGCCAGACAAGTTTAAGCCGTGATGCATCTGTACTTTTATGCGTTTGCGATGACGGCACGATTTGGCGATGGGATAAAATCGCTTGAATCTTAATCTACTCCACAACATTCCGTTTACTTTTATTAAGTAAGTCTATAATTAACTAATACATTTAATTGAGTTACGTCGCGGTGTCTTTCTTGCCTTCGGGAAGCTGCGGGCGTGGAATCTTTTTTCGCGTTGTTCGGGGCAGGCTTGGACCGGCGAATGTCGCCTTGGTTTTGTTATCTGGTATATACACTTCGAATGCTCTTACATATTTTAAAATTTTTGCTACAAATAAAGACAGAATCTCATATCAGACAAATATTAAATTAATATTAGCAATATTCACTTACAAACTTTATCAACATCTAAGTCATATTCAGTTGCAATTTTCTCTGCTGTGTTGTGCCTTGGATTATTCTGATGCATTCCAATGAATCTCATTACAGTCCTCAGTGATGCTTTGCCTATTGGCACCTGGGCTGATTCCTTGAAGCCTAATTCATAATCCTCCACTATTCCCCTACTTTCTGGAAGTGGTCTGTCACCCTTTGGATCTGAGTTGATCATTGGTTGAGGATCAGATGATGTCACAAACACATTCTTTAGATGTTTGTCTAGTGTTTCATGCTTTTTAAGAGTTTCTTCTACTATCTCCGGATGTTCTGTAAAGGATTTAATGTGGTAAGATGTGATGTGAACTTGAGGGTTGTATAAACAAACCTTTTAATACCCTTTCATATTCAGCGACATCTGCGGCAAACTTTGGTGCCGCAATTGGTTTGTCTCGCGATATTGCTTTGTGAGCTCTTTCCTCGATGTTGAAATTCCTAAGCGGGTTTCGGACTGTTGATAAAGCTTTACCCATTTTAAATGATTTTGAAAATGCAGGTTATTTCACTGCACACTGACATAATTCAAATTGTAACCCAGCAATTTTCAGAATCATATCTATGACATGTTTAATGAGTTGATAATAGTTATTGTTTTTATGAAATGTTATAAATATACCGGCAGGAGTATATTAAATTTTTTACCAATTTAAGTATTTATTTTTAATTATATTGTAATTGTTCAATGTTAACCTAAGATCTAAAGTCTTAGGCTATGTATGTTTAAATATTTGTAAAAAACATGTAATATATATGATCCTAGTGAGATCTTTGGTGAGGCATAGGGAAAGTCTGCCTTTGCAGTTGGCAGTTTCTGGAATTTGACACTCTAAGATGGCCGCCACATAATTCATTCAAGAAATTTTCTTTGTTTTCGTTTAAGTTTTCCCCGTGCAAATCGCCCGAGAATCCACCCGTAGCGCGTCCGGCGGAGTCCCCGAGGTGCGCGCCCAACCAGCGGCAGTTCGAGAGCACGCGTGTGCATCTCGCCGCCGCCGTGTAGCATCGCGTCGGTGCGAAAAAAAGAGTGTGTGCGAGTGCGGAGTGTCGGTGGTGTTCGTCGGGTCTAGAATGAGACGCGGCGAGCGCTCGAATCTGCCAGAGGAGGAATCTCGAGGAATTGTCGCATTCGGGTTGCGCTGCATAAATAAGGTAACGACACGTCCACGGCGCGGGGCCGCGCGTTATAAATACACGCCGCCAGCCTTTGTGGTGCGTGCGCTCGCGCGACACCCCGCGAACGTGTGTCACAATGCCAAAGAATGCGAATGGCATGCCATTAGAGTGAGACGTTTGATCGTAATTTGGCACACACCACTACGCACGCCCGCGGGCGTTTGTCCGTGCGTGCGCCGTGCGCCGTGTGCGTGTGAATAGGCCGCCTGCGCGTGTATATATCGTCGTGTGTGCATGCTCCGTGCGTCTCGTAATACACATCAACAACATTCCAGCAGGAGAGCGTGCCCGAGCGGCCGCGCATCGGATTGATATTTATTTTTCTCCTCGATCGGATTCGTGTGCGCGCGTTGACTTGCATGCGCCTATGCAAAATAAATGCGAAACGTTTGTAAAACATTGGCTCAATTTCGATCAAATCATATCTACTAGCGCTGTCAATCATCAATTTGTATTAAAAGTGGCGTTTTGTTTTAGGTGTCAATTCACCTTTACGTATCCGCACTGTGTGTTTGAGCATCCAATTGGATAAGAGAGTGTAGAAACGACTCTATCGCCTGCTATGTGCGCTTCCGGCAAAAGTGGTCGAAGTTGGATAATTGCGATGTGAAGTAGGACCATGGGCCAGCAGCCCGGCCTAATCATCATGAACAACAGTGCACCAGCCCGGTCTTCGGGCTACCATCAGAAGGCGATGGAAGAGATCCACAACTCGCTGCAGCCATTCGCCAAGATTGGCGGCGGCGGCGAGGGTTCGTCCGCCGCCAGCACCATCAGTAATCTATCGACGACCAGCGGCGTAAGTTCGCTGAGCTCAGCTTCCGGTTCAAACGGCGCCGATAAGGAACTGCATCAACTGCGGCAAGTACTCGCACAATTGCTAGCGATGGGATTTGCCGAGGAGCAGTCGGTGCGCGCCTTGCAGGCGTCCGGCGGACGGCTGGACGGCGCCATCGACTATTTAAACAAGCAGCAGGCGGAAGGCGGTAAAATCAAATTGATGCGTAAGCCCAGTATTGATCGCGAGATAAGTATGCATCGCGGTAGTCCGGCGTTGGATAGCGGTGCCGGCAGTTCACGCTCCGATAGCCCACGACTCACGGATTTACATCCGCCTGTGAGTCGACAGTATTCGCCGAGTAACTTTAATGAACCACCGCCGCCTCCCCCGCCACGTAACACGCCTCCGCCGCCACCACCGCACGGACCGTATCAGTCTGTGCCGAATAATGTGCAGCAAATGTTGAAGCGGATGTCACCGGCGCCGGTGGTGCCGGCCAGGGCACCGCCAGCCGTACCGGTTTATAATTCGCCCGCCTCATCGCAGCGAGGCACTAGTCCCGTCTCGAATATCCCCAATTCGAGGCAGCCGATGGTCGTTCAGAACGGTCCGCAGGTGCAGCAGCAACTCTCGCAGCAAATGCAAGCGCTTAGTTTGTATCCAACCGGCGGTAGTGCTTCCGCTGAGCCACCACCTCCGTATCCTCTCATGACGAAGTCGCAATCGACGCCACCACCACCGCCGTCATACGCTGCGTCGATACAGAATCGTCACTCCCCGACGCAGGACTTTCGAAAATCGCCGTCGTCGGGAATCTATTCCGGTTCAACTTCAGCGGGGTCTCCCAGCCCTATACCGGTATCGACTACGACGCCTACATCCATGACGCGGCCAACGCCTGTACCTGCATGGGGTGCGCGGCAGACGAAAACCCAACCGCCTATTATTATGCAATCGGTGAAGAGTACCCAGGTACAGAAACCGGTGTTACAAACTGCCATTGCGCCGACGACGCCCATCTCACCAACGAGCACGACGCCACCAGCTACGCAACCACCACCGCCTTCTTACAACGCGTCGATTCAACAGAAACAATACGCGAGTAAACCGGCAGCGCCTTTGCCGCAAACTCAGCCGGCGACGAAGACGACTAATAATGTGATCGTGCCAACTACGGAACCGCCAAGTTATGCTAGTACAATGCAGGCGAAGGCGAAAGCTGTGCGTGTTAAAGGCCACTCACCATTGCAACCTCCGCCATACGGTGAGGAACAATACGGCGCGCAGGTTGCAAGTGTTGAGAGCACGGTGTCTCCGAGGGCTTCCTCGCAGTTACATCAACCGCTACAGCGGAAGTATTCACCGATTGTTGATCGATCGGATAGTCCACAATCAACGACGTCTTCCACTGAGGGGCGGCATAATTATCCCGAGGCTGCGCCACCTCTTCCACCAACAGGTAAAATAAATATATGCACAATAATGCACATTCATTAAATGATTTGTTTGATATTCTAGCTTCCTCATCTGTAAAAAGCAATAATAACCATGCAACTAACGGAAATGGGAATCCAAGTGATATACCGCCACAACTGCCACCACACACGAAAATCAAGCATCAATCACCCATTCCCGAACGTAAGAAAATCAGCAAAGAGAAAGAGGATGAACGCCGCGATGGTAAAGTCAAAAACTACTCACCGCAAGCGTTCAAATTCTTCATGGAACAACACATTGAGAATGTTATCAAATCCTACCGCCAGAGGGTGTATCGAAGGATGCAACTCGAGACGGAAATGAATAAAATCGGTTTATCTCCAGAGGCGCAGTGTCAAATGCGTAAAATGCTCTCGCAGAAAGAATCCAACTATATTAGGCTAAAACGCGCAAAGATGGACAAGACGATGTTCCGGAAAATTCAACCGATTGGTGTTGGTGCCTTCGGAGAGGTGACGCTAGTAAGCAAGATTGATACAAATCATTTGTATGCAATGAAAACACTGCGGAAGGCAGACGTGCTGAAACGAAATCAAGTCGCGCATGTGAAAGCCGAAAGAGATATTCTTGCCGAGGCTGATAACGAATGGGTGGTAAAGTTGTACTACTCCTTCCAGGATAGTGATATATTGTATTTTGTCATGGATTACATCCCGGGCGGTGATTTGATGTCGCTGTTGATTAAGCGAGGGATTTTTGAAGAACCTTTGGCGAGGTTTTACATCGCGGAGTTGACTTGTGCGGTGGAGAGTGTGCATAAGATGGGATTTATTCATCGCGATATCAAACCGGATAACATTTTGATTGATAGGGATGGACATATCAAACTGACAGACTTTGGTTTGTGTACTGGGTTTAGATGGACGCATAATTCGAAATATTATCAACCAAATGGTAATTTTAGTTGATATTTTAATGTAATAGTTTTAAATTTACGTATTAACTTATAGAACACGCGAGGCAAGACTCCATGGAACCTATGGAGGATTGGAACGAAGAGTGTCGGTGTAAATTGTTGGAAAGACGACGACAGATTGAGCATCAACGCTGTTTGGCGCATTCATTGGTTGGTACACCTAATTATATCGCCCCAGAAGTCCTACAGCGTACGGGGTATACTCAATTGTGCGATTGGTGGAGTGTTGGTGTCATTTTGTATGAGATGTTGGTGGGTAGTCCGCCATTTTCAGCGAATACTTCAGCAGAAACACAATATAAAGTAAGTTATTGAATTAATTTTAGTTTTATCTGTATATAAATATAAATATCACTGAAATTTTTAGGTTATCCATTGGGAAACGACACTGCACATACCGAAAGAAGCCAATCTGACGAAAGAGGCGACCGACCTGATCTTAAAACTGTGTTGTAGTGCGGAGAAGCGGATAGGTAAAAACGCTAGTGAAGTGAAATCGCATCCGTTCTTCAAAGAAATCGACTTCGAGAAAGGTCTACGCCGCCAGCAAGCGCCATACATCCCGCGCATAGATTACGACACGGACACGTCCAACTTTGACCCGATAGATCCGGACAAGTTGCGCAATTCGACGTCGATGGACAGCACGAATTCGGACGACTTCATCGACAACTCGCGTCCGTTCCACGGCTTCTTCGAGTTTACATTTCGTCGTTTTTTTGACGACGGTGGCGGGCCCGCCTTCAATCGCATTAATCTAGACGACAATGACAATCAGGGACCCGTCTATGTATAATTAACAGTATGTCGCAATCTGACGTTAAACACGAAGTGAGCGTATGACGTAAAACGAGAAACAAGTGGAGCGTCGCAGGTAACATGGCGGCCGTTTTTCTTGCCTAGCTAAGAGAGGAATCCGATGAATATTTTCGAAAAATTTGAGCTCGAGCGGATTTAAACTGGGGAGGGGGGCTATGAATGTAAATTGCATACTTACAGGCGTTGCGCACTTGGATTGAATTGTAAATTCGATTGGATTGCGCGTCGGTTGTGCGTTCGAATTGGTACAATCGTAAACAGGGTAAATTCTAATTGGAACAGATGCATTGTGTTATATTTTTATACGAAATTTTACGAGTTATGTGATAAGGGGAATACATTGGAAGTGTATACGAATTAGGAAGATGTAATTCTATTAGCCAAAATGGTGGAACAAAACGACAGCCCCGAAGTGTAATTGAAAAAAAGCTCTAAACGTGCCTTATTTACTCTAAATCGAAATCAATCATCAAAAACAAACATAAAGCAACTCTGAGGCCTTACACACGCGTACGAAAGATGAAAATTGAAAAAAACTTATTCGCACATGATGGCGACTTGTTTATTAACTTTACTATAAATATTAATATTTATTGCTCAATGATTATGATAAGAATCGACAGTTGACTATAAACATGTAAAAAGTACAATACTTATGATTAATTGATCATTAATAATGTTATGTTTAGTTGTTTTAGATAGAGCGTATTATGTTGCTATTCGAATATTAATTAATCTACGATTATTGCTGTTACAAACGAAACAAGATATTCTCTGAGAGTTTTTTTTTGCTCGAACGTCATGTTTAACTATCTATTGATATACAAATATCTTCCAACTATTCAAAGTGAAGAAAACGAGCATGCAGTATGATATGATTTAAGAATGGTGCTAATTTATTACTATATTACGATTGTAGGTAATATTCGCGAGGTTCAACTAGGAAGAAAAACTTTAGAAACTGAGATGATCGTACAGTAATGTGATAAAAGTACTGGATGTCGATGGGGGAGTCCTTGATATTGTACGCGTAATTCCCACCTTGTTTAGTAGTACGTTTTTATTTTGTTTTTTACATATTTAATTCTCTTCTTTGATTCTTCGATTTGTTGTTTTCTCTTGTCCTATTTTATATTCGTGTCCGTATTCAACGCAAACCAGTCTTAATTTAACGGTAGTTAGGTTCTAGCGAGCGCTGAAAATTGAATATTACGTGTATGTTGTGTGCGTGCGTTTGTTATTTGCGAAAAATCGATTTTATGTTGAGGATGACAAGCTGATGATGAAGCTCATAGCTCTGGATGCGCACAGCACTGGATCTTCGAGTCAAAGAATGCCTAGTTAGCTTGTAACTTGTAATTGTTTCAGGATCAGTAGATGATCATCTAATTTAATTTAACAATTTAGCTACATACTTAGGTTTTATTCATTGAGATACGGACAATACTATGTTATTTATAAATTATTTAAGTCGGTATGTAATTACAGTTAAATTAACACTAGCTAGCCGTACGAAGGAGCGCGAATTGGGTTGAATTTTAAATTTAATCGGACTAGAGGAGAAACAGCCATCAAGCACAGCACGAGGAATTTGTATATTATGTATAATACTCTATTATTTTTTTGTAAATAGTAAATATTATCTTAAAAATAAACTATTGTATATTAATATTATTAAAATGGAAAAAAGTGAAGTAAAGAATACATTTTACTTGATTTATTCACAATTTATGGCAAAAATTACCAAATTAAATCTGTTTTTGGTAAACGCCATGTTTTTTCGCCCTCTGGCGTTGTTTTCTTAAACAATTTACTTGGGAAACAAAATTAAACACTGCTAACAAGAGAACAACGGTAATTCCTGCTGTTAAAATGTCAACGCGCCCAAAATAAGAAATAAAATGCGGGGTTGTTGATCAAGGTTGAATTAATCATCAAGTATATATAATGAAAGTGCAAACATGGAAAATTCTTGCTACATTAACATACTGGTCGGATGTTTTTCTGTTTAATTTGTCAATTGATCTCAATTGCGACCTAAGCGCCTTCGTTTATGTACCCACAATCAATTATTATTGATTCCTGATTACTGTGTTAATGAACTGTAACTTTTTTTTGCTTCGATGCGGGTTTACATAAGTTTATTTTAAGTCGACTATCGTTTGGCACGCATAATATAAACCACATAAAGCTTGCAGTCCATTTTCCACTCCGTGAAGGTAAACTTTGCAATACGTATCGCGTAATTTACGTATTATTACTCGTGAAATATTTATATTCCACACGGAAACAAAAAAGTTGAAACAAAATAAACGCATTGGTTGATGCGCACGCCGTCGCTGGTCGCCACCGTCGCGGTCCCGTAACAGAAAGGCGTCCGCAGGCGTCGCCATTTTGTCGTGTCGGGTTTATTTGTGCGCCAGGCCAACCAGGCGATAAACGGCGATTAGATTGAGAAGTTTCGAAGCGCACGCGATCCTCGTACGAAAACACCTATCGCCGTCAGCGAGTCCAGCGATCGGCCGATGTGTCTGTGATATGTCCAATTGAAACGCAATTACTACCATTGTGTTCGCACCGAGCGAACTCGAATCCTAATCGCAATCGCACTCGCGTAGTGCCAGTGTGCCAGTGCGTAGTGCTTGCTGTGTGTGATGCTGGCGTAAGCAAAACCGAGACAAACGACGAGATTCGTGACTCCAGCAGGTTCCTCGCCGAGTGCGTCGTCGTGTCGCACGATCCGGTTCCCCACCGAAAGGAGAGGCCAGCAGCGGCTTCGACTCGTCATCTCTAATTGAACACACAACCACAAGCGTACGCAAGTGTGATTTCAAGCGGCGTCAATTTCGGCACTTCGGCGTTTTCCAAACGGCAGCGAGATGAGTTCCAGAGACGACGAGTATGATTACCTGTTCAAAGGTGAGATAAGTGTGGCGGCGGCGCGCCGCCGGGGGGCGATTCAGCCCGAGACAGAAATGTAACATCAGTGTCTGTGTGTGTATGTGTATTGGTGAGCGACCAGTTGTTCATATTGACAAGTCACCAGCACCAGTGTCAAGGGTCATACAACGTGTAATCTGTTTTTGTTCCCGACTTGCAGTGATCGATTACGATTCAAAAATCGGTTGCCACCGCCGCCGGCGGCTTGTAAAACAGATTGATTATGCAAACGCAGGACATACCGCCTTTGCCTTATCAATTCGAGGTCTGAGTCATTGTTATCAGTAACAATGCACGGTGTCAATGTTAAACGCGCTAAAGCGTGGAAATTAAATACTAGGCGTTTTATTTTTGTCACACTCCTACAACAAAACATGTTAATTCATAAAAAAACATTTGTGTGTTTTAGTGGTGCTGATTGGAGATTCCGGTGTGGGCAAGAGTAACCTCCTGTCGAGATTCACTAGGAATGAATTCAATTTGGAATCGAAGTCAACGATTGGCGTCGAGTTCGCGACGCGTAGCATACAGGTAAGGCGAACGGTGTTGGTTTTAATTTATGCTATTGTGTGGCGCGCAATTGGCCTACTTATTGTTTGTATTAGTTGCGTTTTTCACATGCTAACTGTGCGCCGTGCCAGTTATTCCGGCGCACTCCGAATTAATAAGTCATGTGTTAGTCAATCAATAGGAATGGGGGGAAGGTGGGAATGACTAAGCTCAGCAAAAATAGTATGACTTGTTGCTGGTGATGCTGATCGTGCACTGTTTTGTGTTTTAGGTTGATGGCAAGACAATAAAAGCACAAATATGGGACACGGCTGGTCAGGAGCGGTATCGAGCGATCACGGCGGCGTATTATCGTGGTGCAGTCGGCGCATTGTTGGTGTACGACATCGCCAAGCATTTGACCTACGAGAATGTCGAGCGCTGGCTGCGCGAGCTGCGTGATCACGCCGACCAGAACATTGTCATTATGTTGGTCGGAAACAAGTCTGATTTGCGTCATCTGCGCGCTGTCCTCACCGAGGAGGCGAAGGTGTTTGCCGAGCGCAATGGACTCAGCTTCATTGAGACCTCAGCGCTGGATTCCACCAATGTTGATAATGCTTTTCAAAATATACTCACAGGTATAATTTTTATATGAAAAAATTTACATCTATTGACATTTTTATTGTTGATTTTCCGCAGAGATATATAGAATTGTTTCGCAAAAGCAAATTCGTGATCCACCAGAAGGTGATACAATCCGACCACACAACGTAGAGCAAATAGATGTGAAACCGACGATGGGTAGCGATAGTGTGCGCAAGCAGTGCTGTCAGTAATGTAATGTGAATAAGTATATTTATTATTATTACAATTATCAGCAAAAACAACAACCTACCAACAGCAGAGGGCGACTTTGAACCTCGCCGCACATAACGCAGGTTTAGTACAATTCTCGGCAACCGTCTGTCTAGCAACTTCAGCAGGACCAGTGAAAAATTAACTTAAAATTTCCATTTCAATCAAAAGAAGCAAGCAAAGCATAAACAAAAATAACTAGTTACATGAGAAGAGCATTGCCTAACAAAACAATATTGGAACTATGTGTGTATTATACTTCTATTTTAGACACGTCTTCAAGCTTTAAGTTTTACATATATTGTTGAGGTTATAGTTTTGCGCCGTGGACATCCATCGTCTTGATTGATGCTCTGACAAATTGTTGATATTGTTTTGCAATCACACATGCACTCTTCAACTTGATCATCAACCATCCGGAGAAGGCTCATTTCTTTGGCATGCCGTTTGCAGAAACATTCTAATTTTTTGCTTAAAATATTTGATTATGAACGTTTTCAAACTAAAAATTGTTTTTCTATGTTTATTATAATATTGTAGGAGGTACTATTATTATTATACCATATAAAGTAAATATTATAAATACATTTATCATATTATATTTACATGCATAGTTGAGATTGTAATAGATTGATCAATTATTACCGACCGCAGCAGGTAGGCAGTGTGTGGCCGTGTGCATCTCGCACCTCTGTTGACTTTCGTTAACTCTTGCGTTTTGTTAACTTCTTCATCCTTTGCGTTCCATCCGAATACCTACTTGTACTATACTTAACATAAATGTGCGTGTTTTAACCTCTTTAATATTAATGGCAACAATGTGTGCATATAACGACAGAGTTTAAGGCAATAACAAACGGAACTAGATTTAATGAAATTACTGATTGGTTAGGGGAATTGATTATTATCAAATTGTGGAGCGATGCCACTTCATTTGACATTCGTGAGTACCAAGTAGATAATGAAATCAATTGCATACATAGTCTATGAACTAAACGCAAAAACAATGAAACTATAAATACTAGTGGTGAATGATGATATATAAATATTTAAAAAGTTGTATGTTTATTAATAACTGAAATGGGATCGAAAGCGAGGAGAATAGTTTTGTTTTGTTTCCGTTTGAAGGGATAAACTCCAATGTTTTTAATCGCATCAGCTGCTGCACGAGATTCGTCTCGTTTACTAGATGTACTTACAAGTTTTACACTTGCTGCAGACTGCACTCGCAGGTTTCTTTGATTTTGCGACATTATTTGAGCTGTACATATTAATGAAATTCGATTATTTATTAATAAAAAAGGTTTCTTAATATTTATTCGCTTATTCAGGATAAAGTGCATATCATCGCCGGATCCAACGCTAAGAATGTTTCTTTTGTAATTGAAATTTTTATCATGAACAACATTCCACTGCTATCACCACCTATGCATTCTGAGTGTGGTTAGGGGGCGCTATGTTAGGTTGACATGGCAACCTCTAATTCACGAGTGTATTTCTGATATTCTTGTTCTGTAGGCTATGATAAAACTTGATAACCAGTGAAAACTACTCGGATAGTGCCTATGTTTGTTTTCTGTTGGTTTACGAGGCTCAGAACAATTATCTTGTCTTTTTGAACAACTATACAATGGATTTTGTCACGTTTGACCCATTAAATCCATATTTCAAACACGAAGTGGATAAACTATGTGCAGTTTGTTCTAAAAAGTTAGAAAAAGGCAAAACACACTCATTAAATACCAATGTAGACAAGGAAACAATCAAAGTATATCAAGTTTTGGAATCAATCTCAAAAGTATGTATCTGGAACATAGCATTATAATTTGTATGAGTAATATTGATATTCTAATTGAAATTCTATTTAGTTTAAGCTTTCTGATGATGGCCCTCAACTCCTTTGCTTTCCTTGTTATCACAACACTGCATCCGCATACAAATTTCAACAGATTTGCAACAACTCACAAGGCTTTTATGAACAGTATATGAAACATCAACAGATTTTAGTGGAACAGAAAAAATCAGATGATAAAACAGAAGAAATTGAAATACAAATTAGTCCACCAAATGAACAGCAGGATATTAATAAGGAAAAGAAGGCTGTGAAAGCATGTGCAAGAAGGATTCAATGTAAAGTGTGTCATACATTTCACAGGGCTGATAATTTAAAAGCTCATATGAGAATACACACTGGAGAGAAACCTTACAAGTGTAAATTGTGTGATGCCAGTTTTACGTAATTACATAAACCAACTTTGGTTATATTTAATATTATAACTAATTTAGTGTTTTATAGGCAATGGTCTTCTTTGAAGTATCATACAGAAGCACATGAAAACAAGCGACATTATGTTTGTAGATTTTGTGGCAAAGCATACAACACAAATAGTCAAGTTAGACAACATGAAATGACACATACTGGAGAAAGGCCACATCAATGCAAGTAAGTTAGTTTAGAGTTATTTAGATAATTTGATTTTAATTTTTTTGATTGCAGGCAATGTGATTTGTCCTTCAGGACGAAACAAGATTTCCGACGACATTCTGTTGTTCACACTGACGAGAAACCTTTCACATGCGAATACTGCGCGAAAAGTTACAATCGAAACAGTACACTCAGAGTACACCTGAAAATCCACACAGGAGAAAAATCGCATGAGTGTGAATGGTGTGGGAAACGTTTTATTCAACTATCATCATTAAAAAGTCATCTTCAAACTCATGCAAAGAAACATATTCAAGAAGCAGTGAAAGAACAAAGTATGCATGATATTCATACTGAAGAAATTGTATTGCAAATATCTGAAGATGATAGTATGACAGAAACATATGTAATAGAAGAGTTCAGTTAAAATAGTAGGAAAATAGTTAAATAGTAAAAATGTTAAATTTGCAACTCTTTTTTGTTTCATGCGCGTTGGGTTGCGTGCATTTAGGGTATTCCTACAACGCCCAAACATGACAGATTTATTGATAAGATAAAAATGTTATTTGTACACTAACACTCCTTCCGAACTTTTTAAGCGCTCGCAACATGCGTACATAATTGTACATTTCCGCTTTATCATTAACTTATGAAACACGTACTTGCTTTGCTCATGTATGAGTTGGTGACATGATTGGGGTGTTGCCGGCCGTTGAGTATTTACTATTTACGTGCGTTGCAAGCCACTTTGAACAAATTTACAATGATTCATCCTTTTAATGCGTTGTAAAGTGAGTGTATTGTTAAAGTCGATTTTGTATTGAGATAAATACAAAGAAGAAAATTGCGCATTGCCAAATTTGAGACATTTACATAACCTTCAAGGAAACAAGATGTGGAAAGCCGCCGTTGGTACAAACGTAAATCTTTCTGCTCAGAATGATGGTGATGATGATTGGGAAACTGATCCAGATTTTGTTAATAATGTTACTGAGCAAGAGCAGCGATGGGGATCGACTACTATTGAAGGCTCTGGGAGAACAGCAGGTTCAATCAAGTACGAAAAACATTTGTTTTTGAAATTGCTTAAAATTTAATATAAATTTTCATTCTTGTAGTATGGAACAGCTGAGGAGGGAAACAGAAGCTGCAGATGCTGTAAAAAAGAAGAAGGATATGGATGAAGGGCCTAATGCTTCCTTTGGCTATGGTGGCAAATTTGGAGTAGAAAAAGACAGGATGGATAAGTCTGCAGTAGGTCATGATCATATCGAAAAACTACAGAAACATGCATCTCAAAAGGACTATGCCACTGGTTTTGGTGGAAAATTTGGTGTGCAAACAGACAGAGTTGATAAGGTATGTTTTATCAATCACTGTTTATATCTTATATTGATTTTTATTGAATTTAGAGTGCTGTAAATTGGGACCACAAAGAAAAAATAGAAAAACATGCTTCTCAAAAAGATTATGCTGCTGGATTTGGAGGTAAATTTGGTGTGGAAACAGACAGGCAAGATAAATCAGCAGTTGGTTGGGACCATGTTGAAAAAGTTGACAAACATGAGTCACAAAAAGGTACAATAATCATAAAATACTTTTCAAATTACGAAAATTTAATAAATACTGTTATAGATTATAGCGTTGGTTTTGGTGGGAAGTTTGGCGTGCAAAAAGACAGACAAGACAAATCTGCAGTTGGTTGGGATCATCATGAAGCCCCACAGAAGCACGAGAGTCAAGTCGATCACAAAGTTGGTTTCGGTGGAAAGTTTGGTGTACAAACTGACCGAATGGATAAATCTGCTGAGAGTTTTGGTTCGCAACCCGCTAAAATCGGGACAAATTATGATCGTGTAAAGCCTGACATTGCCGGTGCAAAACCTTCTGAAATGCGGGCGAAATTTGAATCAATGGTTAGTATTCCATTAAAAAACTGCATTTTATTTATTAATTTAATATTATACTTGTATTTAGAATTCCCAGGAAGGCAGTAAGCCGCCATCTTTAACATCATCCCCAGCACCTCGGAAAGTGCATGCGAAAGCAGCGGCATTCACCGAACAACCGAAAGCAAGCGAGAATTTTGAACGCGCTGCACCTAAACAACTAGACCAGACGAAAATGGCCTTCTTGCACAATCAACCCGAAACTGCCAGTGTTCCCACAACCGAAAAACAACCAGGCCAACTTGATAAATCCAAATTTGCGCAATTTAATAGTCCCACTCCCGAGACAACGTCGAACAGTACTAATCGCGTAGCTGAAGAAATCCAGCAATTGCGACAAGCTGCGCAGTCTCAGGCTGCATACCAAGAAGAGGAAATCTATCCGGAAGAAACGCAGACAATGCAACAACCAGAAGAACATGCTGAAGTGATACCAGAAGAAGTTCACACTCAACAAATCTATGATGACGTGCCCGGTGAAGAAATGCAGCCTGAGCAATATGATGAGTATCAGGATGAAATTGTTGATACAATGCGCACGGCTATCGCTTTATACGATTATGCGGCTGCCGCTGAAGATGAGATATCGTTTGATCCGGAAGATATTATCACGCATGTGGAACTTGTAAGTATAAAGAAGACAATAACTGAATTAATGTTGTGTTGGGTTATGTGTTATGTTTTTTTTTCTAACGTCTAATTGTGTGTTTTTTACTCTCAGATTGATGAAGGTTGGTGGAGAGGAATGTGCAAAGGACGCTACGGCTTATTTCCAGCCAACTATGTGAAGCTTCAGGAGTAATCCTATTTACTTTTTATATCGAAGTATTTATACGCATTATTGTATTAATTCATGTTTTCCATTAATTACTGCTCAATCAGGTGAGATGAATGTGCGATAATAACGCATTCTTTTAATTCTAATCGTACTTAGAGAAGATATTTTTAATCATATAATTGTATTTTTTATTTAAACACGAAGTATTCTTCATTTTTGATGATTATATTTTTAATATTGAGTAAAAAACGCTGGAGAATTAATATATTTCTGTTTGTACAGAAAAACATCCTCAATAATGAATTAAAATGAGCCTTTATCGGAGAAAATAACATTTTATTGTTGTAGAAGCGAATTTTTCATATGAAAATGGCGTACAATTTACGTTCGTAATACATAGGCAACCAAATATGCACTAACGTTCACAAAATGAGTAACAGATGCAGCTGCATGCTACGCAATGGAATATTTTACGTCTGGGCGAACGCGAACCTGTCAGCCGCATGCAACCGGTTCGGCGTATTCGCTGTGCCGCTGCTCGCCAACCGTGCGCTGAATCGCTTACCGCGTTAGTCGGTTTCACCTTGATCGAATGCGCGGTGCGTTGATGCAGCGCTCCGCAACTGCCACTAGACGCCAGCGAAACCGCGCCACTTGTTTGTGCCAGAGTCGCCGCGCGCGCCGTGTGTCGTGCCCACGAGCCGAAGAGCACACATCAGTTTAGTGAAGCCATGTTGGGTGGCGGTGAGTTGTGACCGCGAGGCGCAGCAGCAGCAGGAGCGAATTTGTTGAACGGCAATACCCGCGAATCCGTGAATATTGTGTGAGATAAAACGCAGGTGCAAACGCAGTGTAAAAGGAGTAACATCACGAGTAAAGAGTGCGGGCGTGCAGCGCAGTGCTAAATGCATTTGGATTAAATGACATAGGCGGTGCAGCAGCGGGGATCAATCGCAAGGGTGGTTCACGATGACGGCCACCACGGATGCCAATTGGGGCACGGAACTATGGGTGAGTGTGCACACAAACACCACATTCACGCTCGCATATATCGTCATGGTTACGGCAATAACTTGTTATGCAATTTTGCAACGATTGCAAGAGAATTTCAAGTCGGCGGTGGCTGACTACGCACATTCCTATTGTGTCGCAACGAATACACACGGAGAATGTGCGAGTTTTGTCAGTTCAACGAGCTGTGAGATAAAGATGAACCGCAGGATGAGTGTGCGGAGTGGCGAGGTCGAAATGTCAAACGGTTTTTTCCTGCGTCTCTTCGCAGGCTCGCCGCGGTCGTCGTCGCGGGCCGGCGAGGTGGAAGAAGCGAGTTGACTGGAGTTGAGGCTAAGCAGAACCGGATTCATACAATCTTCCACGTACCTATTTTATTATATTTAACGCAAAAATTTCCATTATGTTTTTCCAGCGACATCAGTTTGAGTCATCAACACATTTTGAAATTCTTTTGACCAACATTACAAACACAGACTGTGTTTATGTTTAAATTTTGTTTCTACCTGCTTGGTTATTTAGTAGGTTTAGTTGGTTTAGTTTCCTGCCTTTTGATAATCCGACCAGCCGAGGTAAACAGCTTGCTTGCACGAAGCAAGCAACGAAATATCGTGCGTTTTGAGTTTTGTGTCTCGATGTGCCCACGAAAATATACCTACTATAAATGTTGTACGAGTACGTTAGCGTGTTGTAGATGTGGATTTAAGACAGGTGTGCGCAACGTTCCGGTGAGATTAACACACTAGACAACGTGAAGTCTAAAATTTACTAAATATTGATTCATATTACTGCTTGTTTTTGTTGTACGTATATGCTCAGATTGGTTCTAAATTAATATTACATATTTATGTGTACCAATAGTGGTTTCTGGTTTATTGCTTTCGAGAAATTACATTAGAAGTATTTTATATTTATAACACTGGTAAACCAAAATATTTCATATTTTATTTTGATATTCAAAATTTGTCTTAAAATTACTGTTTTTACTTATTATTTCTTGAACGAACAATAGTTTTATTAATAACTTGTGTATTATTATTATTTTTTACTAAAAAATATTTTAGTATCAAGCATTTAGAGAATTTAAATTTATTTCATTTAAAAATTAATAAAAACAGCTGTAATGATACAGATATTCATAAAAAATATATTTTCGTGATTCATGTGAGGGTTTTTTTCAACTTCATTCATCATACAGTAAATATTACTCATTATATGATATTTTACATAATTTTTTTATTACTGTGACAATTAAATAACTAAGGCGTGAATTTCATGTTTCCCGGTGTAATTTTGTAAATGCAAAAATACATGTAAATGGCATGGTTTGTAAAGTAATGTGTGTCATAATGAAATTCTCGACCGAAGCAGTGAAGTGTTACGATGTAATTGTATGTGCTTGATTGGTTCGACTTTAGCTGGTACTGGTACTGAGACAATAAACAACCTTGAACATTATTGCAAATTGCGCAAGGCGCACAGATTGTACGCTTAATGTTTATAAAACGACGTAATTCGTGCACAAAACTAGATAGTTTTGCTAAAGAAGGACTATATTTCATCACTAATATTCGCAATTAATAAAAATTTGCTATTTTGCTGGTGCTTTAAACGAGATAATCGATATTTTTTTATTGACACTGCACCTGCCAGTGTAGGTACATATTTTGTAATGTTTCCACATTGATAAATCATAAAAAAGTAAGTCCTGATAAGATTAGAGCTTATTGAACTGTGTGCAATATTAATATCAATATCTACCCTTTATATAAATATTTTTTTCTGAGTAATCTACAAGTATGAAGTTTGGTACTTCAAAAGTTGTATGTACGTTCGTATTGTGAGTATATTTGTACAATGTAAGAAAATGCAATAAAGGGTGGGTGTTCTATGAGTAAAACGATGTTCGCCTTCGTCCACGAAAATGAAGGGGACTCGTTGATTGTAGGAAATGCAGACGGTTGAATGCATTAGCGTATACTTTCGGAGTAGGTGCACCCTGAGTTATTCCGCTTTCAGGGGTAACACGCAAACCACCCTCGTGCTGCAATAACGCATTTACAGAAACACGCGCCCGGTGAATGTGAGTCATTCCGGTCACACTGATTCACCCACACATTGACGCACAGAGTGGTGTAGTGTGTATCATCATCCGACGTCTGTCGATTGATGACTGGTTCAGGAAGAATTGGAATTTTGGAGTTTACTATCAATCGATAATTCCGGCCAGACGAGGAGTACTAGACGTAAATAGTGGGTATTAATAAGTTACCACCGCACCATGAAGATATGAGTGTAATTCGAGAGGTGGTTGTGGTCGTGTATCGCTACTTGTTGCGATAATTTACGTCAGATTGTTTCAAAGAGTGAGTCATTGTTTAATATATGATGTATTGGATAAGTCATGTATTTAGTATACGTTTATTATGCAGATAAGGGTGTTTTGACGAGAAAAATTCACATGCACCTTACTATTTATTCATTTTTCATCTTTTTATCTTGTAGGGTGAGATTGGTCATGTCCATTGTTTTTGAATTTCACTTTTTTTGTGGTTATTTATTTAAATATGATTTTAATTAGCTTTAACTCCATAACTTGCAATATTTGTTGAAATGGGTTTTGATTTGAAGTTGGCATCTGTGCAGTAAGCACTAAGGCTTTGTTGGTATCTCTTGGAGGAAGCGAAGAAGGAAGCAAGAGTTGTGCACAAATACAAAGCGCTGCATGCAGAAGCACGCTAGGAATTAGTTAATTACACAGCTGCGGCGTACTCAGACACGCCAGCGCATTAGATTATGGTCGGTTGAGGTGCGCACTGCTGCCAAGAAAGTTGATTCTACGGTGTGTTTATAAAGGAACGAGTTGCAAGACAAATATAGGTACCATGATAAAACGCCGCGCCGCGATGCATTACATTCAGTTAGTTACGTATGAGAATTGTGATAGAGGACCGCGACTAGAACAGGAACGGAAGAGCCGATGAGAGAAGAGACTTAAAATCCTGCACTTTGGGCTCTTATATCTGCGGAGTACCCGCGTGAAGTGGTGGGGGTAGGTGCGCCGACTCAATATTTGGGAATTTGTGTGGGGGAGTTTAAACCACTACATCCTTGCGATTGCAGGTAAAGTCCAATAAGGAGGAGGTCCTTGTTTTAATTAATTTTATTTTGGTAACATGTTTACTGAACTGTTTTCTAATATTGTAGGTTGCTAAGTAGGTTGGTAATTGATTCATGAACTAGTCCTACTCCTCTATAGTCTATATTCTAATTTATTAAATTGAATTAAAGGATTGACGTCGAGGCCTACTTTTTTTTCTTAATCTAGCATTTATTTTTGTTTAGGTAGGCACTCGCCATTTTTATACGCTTCACTACACGGCAATTACCGGTTGATTGGTATAATACTACCAATTTTTATTTTTGGCCGAAATCCTTAACCAACTGGAACCAAATTATTGGAATTTAATTTGCTATATAATTTATATTTATATGAATTCTAGATAGGTGCGAGTAACATACACTTTTTATATTTCTTATCTTTATCTAATGCAGAACCTAATGCCAGATAACAAATTTTACCTACTTGTCTTGCTAAATATTATCTATTTGTAAATATTACTTGATTATTGTCATATCACTGCACCAATTTAATATTTTAGCAAAACAATTTGTTTCTAAATCGCAAATGTTTTTTCAATTTAATAACACTATTTCTTAAACTACAGCTTTTATTCAATGTTTGTCACGAGAAAAAAAATATAAACACGCCTCGAACGCAACAGATGGAAAACAATAAAGAAAACAACGATTATAACGCAAAACGAAAACCAAACACAAGCGTAATGCTTTACATGGACGCAAAGACCCACTTCGACATAATGTTTACAACGATTAAACATACACATTGTTTATAATAACAATAATATTATTAAGTTTTACATACAATCAAAAAACGACAATGTTTACAACTATAATTTGTTATAATAATATAACCTTTAAAAGTTAAAAACATTGATGTCATTTTAAGTCGGTAATGTAAAAAAGTCAGAAAATATAAACACGCGTCTAATGTACGTGTTAACGCAGGGCGCATGGTATATAAATATAACTTTCCTGCTGATTGCCTGCGCCCAACGGTAATAATACACCGACCAACACAATGTTTAGGTAGGTACTGCGTGTGCGCAAACCAACCGACGGCGCATTCATAGTCACAAACACAAGAAACGCATTTTGTGGCGTGCGTTTCGATGAAAAACGAGAAATCTATCCTCTATCCTGCCGGGGTTTCGCTGTTTGCTGCCTGCTTGGCGTGTTGGTTCGCGGTTCGCTTGAGCGTTGACCTCCATTGTGTCTGCGCTGCTGGCGGCTGGCGACACTTGGTCGTCCTGTCGTCGTCATTGTAATGCTAATCGTAATAACAATAATACCACTCGGCCAGTGATCGTTAATGTCGGAAACGCGCCGACAACGATAGCGAATCGTCCTCTCTGGTAATTGTTTTCTGATATTCCATATAGTTAAACATATTTTTAATCTTAAATTAATACTTGCGTTTTACGAGGGCGATAAAACATAGAATTTTATTATGATATTACTTGAATGAACTTTATGTTTGTCTTTCGGATAGAAATTGCTTGTGTTGTTACACAGGACGTCGTTAGCGTCACCGGAACGTCGTTTTGTGTCGCCGCGGTGTCATGACATTCGAGGAGTCGGGCATAGGTTGGTTTTTCTACATGTGGATCTTTGCGGCTTTCCAACGCACTTAGTTTGATTAGTTTGCCGGTAGTTGTATAATCGCGGAAGTGGCTCATCATTGGATGAAATTGTTTTTTTTTTCACACAAACATCTTGAAATTTAATCTTGTTTTGAAAATGAAAGGTAGGAGACATAATTTCTCGTCTCACTTTAGGTTAAATCACCTTACTTTTAAGGTTGTAAATACCATAAAACGCATATTTTTATTGATGTAATGTTTTTATCACTCTTGGACATTATTATGAGCTGTTTCTGCCTTCCATAAATAACGGTTCGTGTTTATTGTCACTTGGAGTGCTGGTTGGTCGGATACTTGAGTTGTGTGTTGTTGTTGTTGGGTTTGCGGTCGGTGTGCAACGCCATGCCATGCATGCCGTGTCGATGGAGTAGAGTAGCTGCTTGCATGAATACCATCATTGTGCGTTATTATGCATCGCTCGTAAACTCGGTAACAAAATCGAATTGTTGCACGTTTGTTGCACGCGTTCGATTGCTACGAACAGGCAACACTCGTCGGAATGCCGCCTCAGTGCGCGTAGTATTCGATATATTTATATTTATAGAGTTATCTTCGTTTTGTATTAAATTTTCTACTTATTTGTATGTGTATAGAGTTCAAAAATTTAGTTTTTGGTATTTTTAGGGCAAGAATTTGTTTAGAATGATTTGGAAACGGTAAATTTAGGGAAATGCCAGTTATAAATCCACATTTTTTGCAAAATTTAATTTTTCAAGTTATAATTACAAAATTTTAATTTTTTTTGTTTTTACAAGTTATGGAGCAGAATAGTTAAAAAAAAATTTTCCAATTTTAAGGGCGCGAATTTGCTTAAATATTTTAACTTCTCTTAAATTGTGTTGAAATTTTGTTTTATTCCTGCCTAAGTTGTAATTTTATTGAAATAACGGCCATAAATCAACATATTAAGGCAGTAGTTAGGTACTAATATTATGAATGTTGGTTCTCCGTTGATTTTTCGCACGCAACATGCAAATGGCTTGCGCTGTTCACTTACAAGATATCCATTTTCCAATAGTCTATTTGTAGCCGCTCGTTCGTTGTTTCAAGGTCAAGGCGAATTTGTTTATGCATGGCGCACGTGAAAAGCGCGAATAAAAATAAAAATTCAGCCGCTGCGCACGAACATTCCTCCCATTCAATGAATTAATCAGTAAAGTGTGTGTGAGTTTGCAAATTTGCGAATGATTCAACTCACCTTCGCTACCATCACCATCATCTACCTTCTTTCACTTTGAATCTTGTTTTTATGATGGAAATCTTTAAATATAACTTAATATAAAATGATTAAAATGTTTTATTGAGGTGAAAAACCTTTTAATATTTCTTATTTATTTCTTCTTTACATTGATTATTCTAATTTATTCGAAATTGGAATATTTATCGCTCTAAATGAGTGATTAATACGTTGAATTCCGCTCATTTGATTGAATTTTAACCGATTAAATGTCCCGTTAAGATTTATTACCTACAGAATAAACTGTTGATAAAACGCGATTTTTATTTCATGCCTGGTACTAATGTTTACATTATTTTATTATACATGCTTTATGAATAATAAAGTTAGTTGTTAGCAACAAAGCTAAAAATGTATCAGTTTTCAATTGGTATTGGTTTATGTATTTAAAATGCCAAGAACAAAGCAAGAAGTGAGAAGTCAAGGGCATATATTGCAAAATAAAGTTTGCAACAAAATTAATCGCTGGAGTATTTTTTTCCACTGCTGACATAGGTATTCTTAAGATAAATCTTAAAAAAGTAAAACGTTGAGTAAAATCTCTGTTTTTTGCGTTTATATTAGAATATTCTACGAGGTTGTCAACTAGGCGTTTCTAAACCGTTTATTGTCTGATTGTAAGCTTATTTATCATTTAACAATGATCGTCGTTGTGTTTCTCTAGCCGTCTGTCAGTCTACTTCGTCTAGTAACTCCTCAACTACCACATACATACAAACAATCAACGTTGTATGACTTTATTCAATTGGAAGCTGTATGCCGCCGGTTTCCCTTCACAAGTTTGTTTGATAAAGTAGATATGAATTTTGCATTGCAAACTTCTGTTATCATATACCTATTATTTTGTTAGTATTTAGGTTTTTATCCTGAAAATAAGTGAATCTTCAAACTTTACAAAAACGTTTTATTTGCTAACAGATTAAAACTGCAATGTGATAAGATAACAAAAGTGTTGTGTTGATTTTTGTAACAAAATCAACACTAGATAAACATCCACGTTAATTATTTATAATAATTATGCGTTATTAACGAGTAAGATTTGTCGGACAGCCAATTATCAGGCTGCTATAATCCTGGGAAGAAGTTTAATCGTTGTGAAATCGTAAAAATGTAAAATTTGTTTCCCACCGGTTTGTTGTAGGCTGGTATGTGTATTGCGTGATTGTCTCAGGAGGAATTAATGTGTTGCATTGCTTTATTTCTCTCGTAGACTACCACTACGAGTATAGTAAATGTAGATTTGTAGATATCTACTTGTTTGTCGTTACGTTTGTGAATACACTACGCATAGACCATGGACCCGGAGAAACATGATTTCATTGCGCCTAGAAATACCGCTTGTACATAGTCATAATGCGGCTGGCTCACCATTTCAATTCATAATCGTTTGTTATTTGTGTGTACGCAGTGATTTAATGGGTAATAAATGTAATGGTCAATTGAAATGCAAATGTGAATTGTAATACAAGTCAGTTCGAAGAGTAAGCAGGAATTCTTTTTGAATTGATTAGAATAGTAGTTATTGTTTATTATGAACAAAAAATGAATATTTTGCAAACAATGTTTTTTTTTTTGGAGTGTTGGGTCCCAGATTAATTTATTTTGCGATAATTACATCAAGAACATATTTTTTCTTTAAATTTAATATTTTTAGTGAGTTCTGATTGAATTTCTGATTTTTGGCATTTTTGATATCAGTGAATCTGTGGGGATCTTTACCCAAAGCTTATTTCTGTATTTCAAAACTTTATAACTTTCTTCATCTTTATTGTATACCGTAATTCTTCATCCAAAATTCCCAAATTTCCTAATATCTTTTATTACCTTGAAAAACCTAATCCCCGAGTCGGACGGTTTGGCACGACTCGGATTCCCAGAATCCAATGGTCAGCTTTCCCTCTCTTCAATGTCATACACTTTCTTCTACCAATCCAATCTATTACTTTCTTCCTACTTCCAAATTTCTTGTCACCACCCATCAACCTGAAGGGTTGCTGGTGGGTGACAAGGGTTTAGGAAGGACAGTTCTTCACATTACTTCAAACACTACAGTTCTTAACTATTCTTCTCTACAATACTTCTTAACTATACTTCTTCAAGACTTCTTAATAAACATTGTTCGTGATAATAAACATCGTGTCCTTTACTCACTCATCAATTATAACATTTGCACTCACTCACCGATCCCACAAATTGGTGACCCCGACGTGATATTTGCGAACATTAAACACACGTTAGTTTTTATTTTGTGGGTATCTGGTGAGTCAATATCTGAGTGCAACACAACAATGTCTACGACGAACGCAACATCAACCGCTACCAAGGACTCAATCTTCGATGCCTCTTCAGCTACAACTTCCACCGCAGAAGGCATCATTCCATACTTCTGCACCTACGATGCATCAACCGCACGTTCCGAGTTATCACCCAGGACGTCCAACATCGCCGCACCAGGTGCCGCCTCATCCTGGTATGCCTAGTATGCAGTTGTTTTCCACTGCCAGGCATGTGTCCACATGGTGGTCCACCACCGCACATGCCGCCGCATCTTAAACTCCCATCACATACTTTTCCTCCGCATTCTATACCACTTCATTCTCACCCACAAGGGTAGGTCTAACTCTAATAACCCACCGCCTTCTCAACCACACTCTGGAGTACCATCATCACAGCCAGGTATTGCATCGCATCACATCACCAGGTCCTTCGACCGTACAACATCCTTCCTGCCGTTAAAGTGTAACAACATGCCACAAGTGGTATGTCTACACAGGCACAACAGAAGAAAAACCGCCAGGGTTAAGAAGAAAACAAACACCATAGCCGTGGCACGTTTGCCACGAATGTACCTACCCTAGAGACGTTTTCCAGAACTGTACTCTAAAAAGCATGGTGCTCACAACTTCGACCAACCCGACAGAGATCCCAGTTCAACCAGAGATCCAGCAGCAGCAACTACAACCAATCCCGGAGAATCCGCAAGTCTCTTTAAGCAACTCTCGCTCAAACGACAAGACTTAGGAGGCAGGTACGACTCACCGACTGTTTCCACGCTGGGTTCGCAGGATTTCATCTCAGTGCAACGCGCACATCAGCTCTGCTGCATGCTCTACCAACAACTCTCGAACGACGAGAGCTGGGAGACAGGTACGACTCACCGACTGTTTCCGGACTGGGTTCCCAAGATTTCATCTCAGTGCGACGCGCACATCACTGTTGCAACCCTCGCCAACAAGTCTCGAACGACGAGATCTGGGAGACAGGTACGACTTACCGACTGTTTCCAGGCTGGGTTCTCATCTCAGTGCGACGCGCACACCACTGCTGCAACCTCTCGCCAACAACTCTCGAACGACGAGAGCTGGGAAGCAGGCACGACTCACCGACTGTTTCCAGGCGTGGTTCTCAAGATTTCATCTCAATGCGACGCGCATCACCTCTGCTGCATGCAATACCAACTCCGAAGAGCTTCTTCCGGCCTTTCCGGTAACTTTATCACTGGTAGGGGGGTACTGTGGGGATCTTTACCCAAAGCTTATTTCTGTATTTCAAAACTTTATAACTTTCTTCATCTTTATTGTATACCGTAATTCTTCATCCAAAATTCCCAAATTTCCTAATATCTTTTATTACCTTGAAAAACCTAATCCCCGAGTCGGACGGTTTGGCACGACTCGGATTCCCAGAATCAATGGTCAGCTTTCCCTCTCTTCAATGTCATACACTTTCTTCTACCAATCCAATCTATTACTTTCTTCCTACTTCCAAATTTCTTGTCACCACCCATCAACCTGAAGGGTTGCTGGTGGGTGACAAGGGTTTAGGAAGGACAGTTCTTCACATTACTTCAAACACTACAGTTCTTAACTATTCTTCTCTACAATACTTCTTATACTATAATAAACTTCTTCAAGACTTCTTAATAAACATTGTTCGTGATAATAAACATCGTGTCTGCGAGAAAAATTTAATTGCCGGGAAAGCCCAAAAGGCAGCCCTTTTCTACATTGAAATTCAATCAGTTATTTATAACATTTGCACTCACTCACCGATCCCACAATTAAACACTACCGGGACGAAGTTATTACTTCAATAAATTGAAAATTTAATTAAAAACATGCACACATGTGTGACTTCTTTCGTGCGGCGTTCACTAATCGATTTCAAATTGATTTTTCTTCGTGTTTAGCTTTCACGCCAAATATCTAAACTAAAGTGTTAATCATTTTAACACTTTTCAAAATACGATAGCGTTATATTTTTGTCTTCGATTTGCACTTGTTATTAACGCTCTGCAAATTAAAAAAAATGTGTTAACGCATGTTAACAAAGTCGCTGACTTGTATGATATGTAAGCAGAACATGCGTTGCGTTTGGTAAAACCAAAAGTTGGTCCGAAAACAGGATGTGCCGCTTGATTACTAATTGAATAACAATGTTTACGACTCGCTGTTTCGCACATTAACAGTGTAATCAACTTTAACTTGCGATTGCAATTTGTGTGAATGAGAGAAGATTAATACAAGTCGAGAGGGATATTAGTTAAATTTAATATTTTATGTTTTTTTTTTTGTTGCAGGACCAATACGAGTGTTTGTCGCAGCACACGCTCAAGGGCATCGAGTTTCTGGAAAGGTACGGCCACTTTGTGCGAGACAGGGCGACCATCGAAACGGAATATGCAAATAAATTAAGGTGAGTCAATTTCAGGCTAATTTTAAACTTTTGCAATGTTGAAAATATGCACAAAATCTCTAAAAAATGGTAAGTTAATTTTATCTTAATTTCTAAAAAGTTAAAAAAAAGAAGTTGTTAATGATTTTTTTTTAATTTCCAAACGTTTATTGTGAAATTAATTGTTTAAAATTTGATTAAGTTATTTATTGGGAAATTTTTGTTGAATTTTGAAGTTTGGCGGAAATTCTAAAAGTTCTAAGAATTTTATCATTTTATCAGAATTTTCGCACTCCATCGAATCTATTGCAATAAAAAACGTTGAAAATTACGCACGTATTATGCGTGCACTAGTGTATGTGTCTTATATATGTGTTTGTTTCGGTTATGTGGCTGGCAGACCAAATTTGGCAACTTGCGGCAGGCAGGCAAATCCACTCATCGTGTGTGCTCACACCGCTGCGCCAAGTTAACTTGAATCTGCGCAAAACCAAACTGAAGCGAACCAAAAATAACGCAAATCGTGCAAGACGCCGCGTAACGAACTTCCACGAAATTCGCAGATTGGCACAAAACAATTTATACTCTTGCTCGTCACGTTCGCTGCGTGTGAGAACTTTAAATACGTAGGTGCATGTGATGCAAATCAAAATAATAAATATTTAATCAAGCCATGCAAAATTTGATCGCTCGGGTTTGTATATAAAATTTGATATGCAGTTTATTTTTTGTTTGTTTGATTGCACAGCGTGGCAATTTTTTTCTTGGAATTTGAATTTGGGAATAAACGACTCCTTTTTCGCTATATGTATTTTTTGGAAGGAATGGTACAATAATTAATTATCTTATCATAATCTTATCTTTACCTCTCCAAGAAAAAAGATTTTTAGGACGAGTAATATTTTCTCACCATTTTGCGATCACTGATAACAAATTCAATTAAAACTATATTTTTGTTTTGGTTGACAACTATTTATCTTTTTAGATTAGGAAAATCTCTAATCTAACGAAAGTTTAAACGCTAAATAAATGTTTATAGTATAAAAACATTTATGTTATTTGAAACTTGTTTTCAAACCTTTTATACATCAAAATGTGTTAATGTTAATATTGTGTTGCCTTCATGCAACTCATCCTACCATCATACACATAATAGTATGTTATGGAATAATGTAGATATAAACCGTCGTCTATTTGCCACAGTAATTCTATAGATAACTTGACTTTATTATTTTCCATGTATGTGTTTGTGAGTTGTGAATGAACATGAAAATTGATAGAGATGTACACACACTAGTTGGGGCAATATTAACTGAATAAACATAGGCGGAAATCGTAGGTGCGGAATTGATGAGTTTATTATGTTTAAAAGTCATTTTACTGCTGCGTGTATAAAAGATGGTAGGCAGGGCAGAGCTAAACAAGAAAAATGGTTGTAAAGATTAATTTTGCTGATTAATCATTGGTAAAAATGATGATTTAATACCAACTAATATTATAAATTGAATTTTAGTTTGTTTGTGATGCTTTCACGCAGAAACTATTGAACCAATTTGGATAATTTTTGGTATACAGATATTTTAGATCAAACAAAAGAAAATAGACTAATTTTTGTTGCAAAAATATAATCTAAAAGGTGTAAAATAAGGGCTGAAAATGGATATGGAGATTCAATAGTAATTATAGTTACATGATTCGGATCTAGATGGCGCTGAAGTGCATTATTAGTATTTATCATGTTTTTAAAATTACTATTGATAAATAATATATTGACAGGAAAGACTACGTCTTAATTAAAATGGATTAATCTAGCTGTATGTATTTTGGGATGTAGATGTTGTGTAATATGTCCATGTCTATCGTCTGAAATAAATTCTAATCGTCGCTGCGTTGGCTCACGGGTCAGTAACTCCAATTTCAATTACCATAAGATGTGGGTGGCCGCGACAGTCGCCGATACGTCACACAATGCAACCGCGGAGTGTGTGTTGAGAATGAATGTATTGTCGCAAATATATCATCTCACTCACATGCTGTTGATGCACGTCTTGATTCCTAATACGATATATTTTCAATGTGCTTCTCGTACAATAGGAAGAGTAAATAGATTGATAAACATTGATTAAGTTATAGTTGCATGCGTTGTGTTATATTGTGTTGTGGAATAAATTGGCTGGTGTAATGCAAACAATTTAGAAATGCAATGTGCTTCGTTGCTGTAATGTTGCAAATGGCAGAGTCAATTGAGCCAAATGTTGATTTAATCCCACATGTTGATTACTGCAAATTGGCGAATGTCTAGGATAAATGAGATTTATTAATCACTAAATGACTTTATGTACTCGTAGGTATTTTTCTAGTCATAAATTTAGTAATGATGTTTTCAAGTTATGTTCGTCTTATTTTTATTAAGTCCCTAGCTTTTGCTGGCGTCTTCGTCCCGGTAGTGTTTAATAAAAATGTAATTCGTTTTTACTCTCTTGTTTTAGTCGTAGTACCTATAATATGTGTCAATTCTATCAATAACATTTGCAATTTTATTTTAAAGAAATTAATTATATAAAGAATTGCTAATAATGCACTTCAGCGCGCCATCTCAAATTCAACTATTTAACTATAACTATGATTGAATCTCAATGCCAACTTTTATCCTAGAGAAAAGGGCTGTCTTTAGTGTTTTCCCGGAAATTATTCGAATTTTTCTCGCCGTAAAAACCATCCTTGGACTTTAACAAATATTAAAAAAAAAGAATTGCCCAAATTGGTCTAGGCGTTGTTGAGTTATGCGCTTACCAACGGATTTTGCGATTCATTTTTATACTATAGATTTATTCTAGTCATTCTAGTCATAAGTTTAATATGTAATGATGTTTTCAAGTTATGTTCCTCTTATTTTTATTAAGCCATTCATAGTTTTCTAAAAGACTGAAAAAAAACTTGATCAACTTTAATTTACTCGGGAAGTTCATGTTCATTGGCTTTGAAGTAAATGAAGTAAACAACGTAAATGGAAGAGATGGGGAAGTTTATTGGCCTCGTTGGTTGTTGAAGCATGCACTGATTCCATATGGAAACATGAAAGAAAATCCAACACGTTGAATTATTGGATCGATTAATAACCAACTCACATTTAATACTTAATTAAATTTGTTAATTACGGCATACATGACTACACTTCCGCTATAATTTAGTATGCAATTTAAATTTCACTTTAAATTTTACTCAAATACTAGAAATAGTATGAATTTTATTTCAATATTGAAATTTAAAATGAAATCAAAATATTTCTTGTACTACAAGTAGTACAGTAGTAAATGTAGTAGATTTTTAAGAAAGAAATAGGAAACATTAAGTCATAATGCTGGAGATAGAGACTTTTGACTTTTCTAGAGTAAAACGTAATGAGAGTTGGTATGTTAAATGCGGCGCGGAGGCTCAGCGAAGCGGTTTACATAACGGATCTGTCACGGGTTTTTTTCTTTGCTGCTCGACTTGTATTGCTTTTGTTGCTTTTTAACCTCTTGCCATAATTTCGTATCCAATAATTTTTAGCTACAAAATTTATCTTACATATATTTAGATCATTTTATATGAAACTAACTTTTGCTCGCGACTTCGTCCCGGTAGTGTTTAATTAAAATGTAATTCGTTTTTACTCTCTTGTTCTAGACATAGTATGTGTCAATTCTATCAATAAAATTCGCAATTTTATTTTAAAGAAATTAATTATATAAAGAATTGCTAACTATGATTGAATCTCAATCCCAATTTTTATCCTACAGAAAAGGGCCGTCTTTAGGGCTTTCCCGACAATTTTTAGAATTTTTCATGCCGTAAAAACCATCCTTGGGCTTTAACAAACAATTTAAAAAAATAATTGGCCAAATTGGTCGAGGCGTTGTTAGGTTATGCGCTTATCAACATATTTTGCGATTTATTTTTATATTATAGATTTACAATAAATTAAATGTTTTACTCCATTTTTACTACTAATCAACATACAAAAGTTAATCTTGGACTTTCCAAACCAACCACCGAACACGAAAATTTACATTAACTTTTATTACAATAGAAAAATTGAATGAACCAGTAAATTTGAAATACCAAACGTGTGTAAGCCACGACACGTCATCGTATCTCACTTTATACATAATACACTTTTCTATTTTCTAATTACCCACTTTCTTAATATCCAGTGAACGTTATTCGTTGCAACGCATTCTGATTGTGTCGTGTGCTGTGTTGTCGAGGCGATGTATCAGATCTGATGTAATTTGTACGCGCGGCACTATCGACACTCGCGTCGAGCACGTTCCCATTGGCGCATTTCGTTGAATAACAAACGACCAAACACAGCCTAGACTCGCGCAATAATCCACGCTGGTATTTAATCATTTAATGTGCTAAATAAAGTGAAATTTACTAGGTATTCTATGTTGCATCGACAAAGAACTGTGTGTATTCAAACGAAATTTCAATTTATTTTGGTTTAAAAAACGCTTTGCTTCCATTCAAATTGAATTCTCGACTTTGGAATACTTTAATGTGGATTTAAATTCTGTTCACGTAAATAAATAAATAAATACGTGTAAAAGTCTGTGTGCACTTTAGGTATTCGAAACGTAACGAATTTGCATACAAAAAGCTCTCACTTTTCACTTAGTTTTATTTTATAAGCGCATAATACCCGTAGATATTAATAGATATTAACAAACAAAGGTGTAACCGTTTATTTTTTTTAAATGCGTTGTTTGAAATTAAATACAGACAGCATTTTAAAATATTATTCATGTGCTCATAAAGCTAACTTAATTACCTAAATGTTAGCTACATACTGCAATAATTTTAATTGATATTAGTCATTTGTATTGCTGTAGAACATTCAGGATTAATCTTGTTGGTTATGATTGCGATAACGATTGCTATTGGAGTTTCAGGAATCATAAAACGTAATAAACTTGAATTTGCAGTTAATACAAGTTTAGATTTACAGTAAACGCAAGGTTTTAGCCGTGCTGGCGCAATAATATTCGCAATAATGTTAAACATTTCATGGGTGATAATCTCGACCGGTGTGAGAGAGAAATATACAGGGTGTATTAATGACCAATTCTACTATGAAACCTGTTATATTATAGAAATAAGTTTATGTTTATTGTAATCGAAATTATTCATAAAATATTATTTAAAAATCTGTGTTTTTCGATTTTTTTCGGTTTTTTTATTCCCTGTATAACTCAGTATGTAGCAATAAAGTTGCTAAATTATGTAAGTGTCACCGCCATCCGGTTTGTCAGCTTGCAACCGTTATCAATGCAGTTTTTGTGTCTTTTTCGCGGTGCGCTGCGCATCTTATGAACATTTATCAGCATTATCAAAATATTTTTTTCCACACATTGCTGCTGCATTCCTCATGAGCGCATGCGGCCAATGCCATCTATGCACATTATGTAATTATGTTAGAGTTAGTGCAATTGAAAACTGTTCAGTTTGCGTTTATTTTTGTTTACTTTTTGCCTCTATATTCGCCAGGCATGGCGATGATGGTATAATGCAGATAGATGCTGGTAGGCGCGATAAAACTTCTTCATATTATGTGAATGAGTTAAATTCCATGCGTAATCAGCACCATGCGGTCAACTCAGGTGCAAATTTAGTATACCACATATTGAATGAATGACAACTAAGTACATATACGTTATACCCACATCCTCTTAGATGTGCCCCAAGAGGAATATTGGAAATTATTTCATTTTATTGTTCAGGAATAGAGATATTTTATGAATATAGGTACTATACATATGTTCAATTTAATTTATTTTTACTGATAAATTAAGTGATTAATGATACTAATTTATTGTTTTTCTTATGTTACAGACGACTGGTCAAAAACTATCAACCTAAAAAGAAAGAGGAAGAAGAGTACCAGTAAGTATTCTTTATATTCGCAATTTTTACTGTTGTTGAGTGAGTGTTACAATGCACTAATTACAAAAAAAAAAACTGTATTAATTCCTGGTGTTAACTTGGCTATTAATACCAACACTGCACGCAGTAAAATGTTTAATTATCATGAGCAATAAGGCCTAGAATCGATTGAAAAACACGAATTCCCGGCCTTGTTACTTAAAACAATCAAATATTCAAATCAACGTTGATTTTGTCATCTTTGATTTAAATAGACAGCCCCGGTGTTAATCAAAGCAACACACCGTTTGGCACTCTACTTAAAGCCATGATGAACATTTGCAAATGTAGAAAATAAGAGTTCCAGGAATGCAACTGCTACTAATTGCCGTTTGACCACGATGCGACGGCAATTGAGTTAATTAGAGAAAAGTGCACTTGCACATGTGCGCACATGACTGCATCTCTGCCGAACGAAGTCAAGAATCAATGAGCACTCGACGTGCGAAATGCTTCTAAACGAGTAAATAGCAGATTAAAAAACCAAGACCAACGTTTTATGTTTTTACAGTCAAGCCGTACTCTTGGAGGATGTTATTCGTTGTTTTCACTCTTGGAACTCGCTGCCTGTGATGTGCGTTAATTATCATTGTATAGAGCAGAAGAAACGAGAAAGTTATGAATGAGCATAGACACTTCCATCGATACTTCTACTTAAGACAATGCGTAATTGTTTTCGCGCCGTGGTTAAGATTTTATTGTGCTGATTTCTAATAGCGATTTAAATCTTAATCTTAAGAATCACAAGCAAAATAAATATTAAAATATTGCACTCACCAGTTTAATTTTCTTCTTGACGATGTTGAAGAACTAAGTCAGAGTCAAGACTGTGATTTGTCAAATAGTGCATTGGCTTTTATAGTGAATATTTTGGAGGATTTTGAAGGGCTTTGCCCTTTACATTAACGTATCTTAGTGCAAATAAGTTTTCAGCCATCTAAATGTATAATTGTGTCAATAGAAAATAAGTTAATGACTTGGTGACGTCTGTTTGGCAATCATTGCATTGGAAATTTATTATTCTAGACATGTTATTCATTTATTTATCCGATTGTTCACTGTTTACCAGTTTATTACTATTGAATATTTGATATCATTAGTTATCAGTATTATTGGGAAGTGATAAATTATCACAATGAACATAATAAAGCTAATTATAACGTTTTTGTTGCATTTGTTGTCAATTTACAAACTTAAACTTAAATTTATAAAAAACTGTCGTTTCTAATAGTTTTCTTTATCAAAAATCGGCAAAATTATGTAAAAACTTAATAGACATTTTTTTAAAAGTCTTATTCTTTCCTAAAAATAACGTTTTTTGACAGTTCTCTTGGAAATTCATAAATATCAATCATAAAATTCCAAAATCAACTCATTTGAACGTTTTTTAAATGAAATTTCCTTCTGTTTCAACTCTGTGAGGTGTTCTGAAACACGAACACGAGCGCCTGCTGGTTGTTTATGTGAAGAAGTGTAGATGAGTCTATAAATAATTCCGATTTGAACTAATAAATACATGATGGTCTTAAACTTGAACTGAGAAAAGCACGTGAAGCTGTAAAACCGAACTACATATCGTTAATGCCAGCGCATTATCGACGCTGTAAAATACTCACTTCCGGCTTGTTCTGTGCGCCAATCATCTCAATTCAGCGCGTTATGAATAACTGAATAACTGCCACGTCTTAAATGCGCATTCCCTGTTCTTTTGTATCGCCTGACTATTGCAGATGACGAATATAATAGGCATGAATCAGATGCACAAAGAAAAATTAAATATTTAACAATTAAGTGGATGACAAGTCAATTTTTCTTAAAATTTTATTTCTTGGTATTTTCTAGGTACACATCATGTAAAGCATTCAAGCAAATAATGAATGAAATCAATGATTTGGCCGGCCAGCATGAGCTCGTCGCCGAAAACCTCCAAGCGAATGTGATAAAGGAGATCACTGCGTTGTCCAAGGAAGTCCGCGAGGAGCGCAAAGTACGTACGCATTGATATTGATAACACACTGCATGCAACGGATGTAACGGTACAATTTCTTGCATAATGCAATGTGTATCACTTATTTATCTAACTGGGTTTCCGCTGAATGAATAAATTTAATTTTTTGTTTTGTGTGTTTTAGAAACAATTGACTGAAGGCGCCAGACTACAGGCGCAGCTGCAGAACCAGATCGAATCAATGCAACGCTCAAAAAAAGCCTACGACAAGGCGTTCAAGGAGGCGGAGAAGGCCGCCGAACATTTTCAACGCGCCGACGCCGACCTGAATCTGTCGCGTGCCGAGGTGGAGCACAAACGCACGACGATGTCCTACAAGTCGCAGATGTGCGAGGCGGCGAAAAACGACTACGCCGACCAACTGCAGCGCACCAACGACCTGCAGCGGTCGCACTATCGTTCAGGCATGCCGGATGTATACAGACAACTGCAAGAGTTGGACGAGAAACGCATTAAAAATATCAAGAACTTTATTCACAGCTCAGTGGATATCGAGCGTAATGTATTCCCGATTATTAATACCTGTCTGGATGGTATTGTGCGCGCAGGGGATTTGATCAACGAAAAAGAGGTGATTAGATCATTTATTTTGCAAAATGTATCATGTTTTGACGTATACTTAATTGCAGGATACTCAAATGGTTATCGAACGATACAAGTCCGGTTTCTCGCCGCCGGATGACTATCCGTTCGAGGATCTGTCGCGTGGTGGCAGCGACAGCGGCGGAAGCACGCCAATGATAAACAACATGCACTCGGAAGTGAAGCTGAAGTCTGGTGGATTGACTGTTAAAGGCACCGTATCCGGCAAGGGCATAAAGAAACGAACTGGGATATTTAATATCTTTGGCAATCGAGGGGTATGTATAGTTCACTGAAAATTATTCACACTATATTACACGTGCCAAATACACATAAATACATAAATTGTACACAGGGTAACTATTTTGTTTCTTCTTGTTTTCGTTGATTAATTTTCACGACGCGGTGTATATTATTGGATGATGTGTACGTTTCTTATCGTGTTCTTCTTGTGTAAGTACCACGCAAACGTGGCATGCGAATTGAATCTAACGTTTTGTTCGTTTGTTTGCATTTTGTTAACAATTTGATGAGCAAAGTGACGACGTTGCATCACAGCGCTTAGAAGGAACAAATCTAAGTTTAGCATTACATTAGTTAAACAAGATTTCTATTTCTTACTCTTACTAAAGAATTATTCAATCATTGATGATCATTGTTGTTTAAATTCTATGTTCGGTATCTTTGTGTAGCATGTGCATAACTTTCAGTCTTTAATTGCTTACATCATATCAATTTCATGCAACCACTAAAGAAGCTTACTGAAGTCTGTATGGCAATCAAGGTAATTATGCTTTTGTGGTAGTTGCAGTGACATTTTTTCTGTTAATCTGACCCTCTGATTTTGAATCTTGTATAAAATTACAAAATATTTTGTATTACTTGCAGTAGAAATGCTTTTGCTTATTGTAATAGTCGATTTCTGTTTATTGTTGGTTATGTTTATTATTTTGTGTGTTATTTGCAATAATGTTGATGTTATTACTAACATATTGATTCATTTTATAGTATGCTGCTGTTACGGATGGAAAGGATGACTTTAGCGATCTGGCGCCCAACCAACGACTGAAAAAACTCCGCGCGAAGATCGACGAGCTCAATGCGAAAATCAAAAGTGAGTCGGCGGCTCGCGACGGTCTCATGAAGATGAAGGGCGTCTACGAAACGAATCCGGCATTAGGCGATCCGATGACCATAGAAGGTATTATCTTAATTTATTCTGTTAAAAAAAAATTACGTTTATATCTTTTTCTCTAGGTCAATTAAACGAAAGTAGTCATAAGTTGGAGAAATTGCAAGCGGATCTGAAACGATACGAAGGTTATCTGGAAGATGCACAAAAAGTGACAAACCATAATAATTCACTAACAAATTCTCCACGGTTCGAGAACGGCGTGCGAAATCATCGCCATTCCGGCGGTAGTGCAGCCGAAGAGGATAGTCTTAGCAGATCTGGAAGTGACAACAGTGTGACGAATCCAACATTAAACCACAACAAACAGTCTGCGCCTGGAACGCCACAGCTTAATCATGGGTATGGTTGTTGTTATTAATTTGCTTTCTTTTTATTTGTTTTATTTGCTTGTTATCGCTTTGTTTTTATGTAACGTATTATTCTCATAAGCTAATCACATTGCATTTGGTCTATAATTATGAATTGTTAATGCAGTTGTTCAAATAGCCCGGAAAGCGGTCTCGGCGCCAGTCATACCTCACTACCCGGCGCTGACTCCGATCCGGATCAGTACGATGGGCACGCTGACGACCGGGGCGAGTTTTATGACAACATCTACGACACTGAATTTCAACCGCTGGGGATATGCAAAGCGATTTATGCCTTCGAAGGTATATAATACCATGTTTTAAGTGATTTTTAACTAAATTTGTGTTTCTATAGCAACGAGCGAAGGAAGCATTCCAATGGAAGAGAAAGAAGAGCTGCATTTGATCGAATTCGATCAAGGTGATGGCTGGACGCGAGTGCGGCGCATGAACAACGCCGACGAGGGATTTGTACCGACCTCATACATCGAAATAAGTAAATTTCAGACCTATACTTCTTGAATTCAAACCAGCACCATCAAAAGTTAAACAATTACATGTGCACATCGTATAGAACTTGCCTAGCAACATGTGCAAAGAATTAGAATACTCATGCTCACCATAGGTGTGTATTACTACGAATCAACAACACACCACATAGTTTTCGGCTGGGCTACAATGTCCGTTTGAAATGAGTAATGTAGTACTGCCAGTTCTGATCAATTGTTCTATGCCAACGAACACACGGCATCTAAGTGATTGGCGGAGGACGCGCGCATGCGCGAGCGATATATTTATATACGGTAGATATTATAAATTATATTTGATGATCATGTTGCAATATGCTTGAAGTACAGCTGCAAGCGATGACAGTCAAGGCGGACGCGGGAATTTTGAGGTGCTTTAAGTCAGTAATTATAGAGACCGGCGCAATTGTTGCGAATTGCTACTCTCTGTGACTGCTGATTTTCGAAAATGTATTTAATTTGAGAAAGTTTTTATTTTTTTACCGGAATTGAACTGCGAGGAAACACGATGCGGTCACTTATTGAATTTGTACATATTACTAACAATAATTTAAGTTTAGTTGGCAATATGTTCGAATGTGCATGAATGTACAAATTGGATATTTGTTGTAATATCGAGTTGGATGTGTCTTCATGAAGAATTCGATCATGTTGCTTGAAATATCGTCCATGTTTTCTTTGGATACGTTATCCGTTGAAATGCAGATATAGCTAGGTAGGCGTATTATAATTTAGCTAGCTAGATAGTTGAATTGCTAGTTGTATACAACAATATACAACAAACTATAATCTGACCATAGTTTGGATAAACGTATAAACGTAATATCAATTCTTGTTTATTATTTTTGTATCGGATTTTATATCTTTTCAACTTTTAAATGTTGTATTAAATTTTATAAAATCGAATTAATTGTGTCATCCATTGTCATATAGTGTATAAAAAATGCTTTAGATTAATTAGTACATGCTAAACAAACATTTAGGCTGTAAACGTATTGTAATCTTGATGTTAATATCGACGTTAACAGAATCTTGTCAAAGACTATGCTAACGCCAACACTAAATTGACAGACGTATATATTTATAAATGTATACATATATTTTAATACCTATTTGATGAACAATTAGAAATGAGATATTGTTAAGGACGGGAAAGACCATTGAAATGCAAAAGGATTTTTAAAACAATTACAATTAGCAAACATATTGATTCAAGATTATCTCAATTGCAAAAGGAAAAGCTCAGAACAAACGAGGTGCTTCTAAGTATGGCTCAAAAAAATACCGAAGTGTATCGCTGCATCATCATTATATCATAAATTCATATCATTCTTAGCATTAATTGCCCTCACGTACTATGCCAATGTTCGTAAGAAATTTGTTTCGATATCACTGCAGATCGATGCAAGCTGGTTGTTTTTTTTTTGATATTTAATCTAACTTATAGAATTGTTGTAGATTTATTTACGGTTCCGGTAATAATTGAATTTACGTTTATATGTATGTTCATATTACATCTCGTTCATTCATTGCAACATATAGAAGCAGCACAAAATATAAGCCTGATTTATTTTTTGGACGGATACATTGCGTACGTTGTGTTTAATTCAAAATTTCTTAGATACTTTGATCAACCTCAATTTGGTTTTTGTTTTTAAACTGGAGTGAAACTTAGCGATTGTTAGCTTATCAACCATACGAAACAAGGGCTGAATATTGTATGCGTTTGACTGATTCTAATTAAAAATGTATCATAATTAATATAATCTCTTTGAAGAAGATTTGCACTAATGTTTTAACGTTGTTTCCTGTAGATGTAGAAAACCGAAGGTAGTTTTTATTTAATTTTCGTTATTTTTGTTAGTATTAAACAAGTTATGCAACCAACATTGCACAAAACAAGTTCTAAACACTTGCTCATGTAGTCGGCTTGGTCACTAATCCTATCAACACAATAAATGTTGATACTAGAGTGGTGGGTTAGTATCCCAAAGCCGAAAATGATTCACACAACAGTTGCAACTTGTGAGACAACATCAACAGACAGAGAGATTGCAACATTCACACATCAGTTAATCAATATTATTGAAGATATCAGGTAAACATTCAATCTTAATAATAGTAACATTAAAATAAGTAAATCTCAAGTCTTTAAATCAAATGAAGCTTTAATTATATACAATGACATAGAAAACATTAGTTAATACTATCATCTAAATCTCCTTGTGTACTCCATGATGGAATGAGTGTTGCAAATGTTAGAAATCCTGTATGTCCAGCTTGTGTAGTAGGTGAGACAGCAGTCACCACTCTAACATTTTGTTTCTCTTTACTTTTATCATAATCCATGGAATTATTAGATCCTTCTTCCTTTAAAAAGTCAAAGTTCAAAGAAGTCATATTTCTACTTTGAACTGAAAGTTGTGTTTGTAATACTTCAATTGTTTCTATCTCTGTAAACCCAAATTTAGTCAAATGTGTGCACGTTTTCTGTACTTGTTCAATGCATGGTGAAAAGGAACAAATCCTTCCACCTTCCTTTAAACATTGCACAGCATATTCTATTGTTTTCCATGGATGTGGTAAGTCTAGAAAAATGGCATCTGCTTTTTGATCAAGTCCATTCCCAAACCCAGTGGCACAGACATCTCTGTGAGCTACAGTAACATAATCTCCATATCCATGTTCTTCAAACTCTTGTTGTGCAGTCTTGGTTCTTTCCTCATGAAAATCAAATGTGTACAAATGACCCGTTGGTTTTATAGTTCTAATTAGTGCATGGGACAATGATGCACTGCCAGTTCCACTTTCAATTACAATACTACCAGGTTTCAATTCTAATTGTAGTACAATCATACTAATATCAGGTGTGTAGATGATTTGTGTTCTATGTGGTAACATTAGAGTCCACAACTCTGATGTAGGTTGTAGTACAAAGACATATCCTTTGGACAAATTAATTTTAGATCCAAATTCTTTTCCAATTAATTCGGCACAGTGCAGAGCTCCATAAGGTGTTTGGAAAATGTTGTCTACTAAGTTGCCCTTTTTTGTTGTAATTTGCTTGACTGCTTTGATGGGGTGCATTTGATTGAATGATACATACAGTACCACAATGTCACCTTCTTGAATTATTGATTTAAATCCGTTAAAACTCATTTTTACTATTTATTTGCGGAATTAAGTAAAGAAAACAGTTTATTAACCTTTTGGTAGTGCATACACAGAAAAGCGGTTAGGTTATAAGCATGGTAAGGTAAATGGTTGAACAATATATTGACAAGCAACCTTGGAAAATGAATTAATGTATATGCTGTTGATGTTTTATTTCTGATCTAAAAACTTAAACTAGACTGCAATGATGAACATAAAGAAGTAAAATGGTTACAAATGTATATTAATTGAAAATACAAAAGTTGTGCAATTAAACTCAAGTATAAATGAAGTTATGCACTTCAACCTTTAAGAGCATCACTTAGTTCTCCAGCAGCTAACATTTCTTTAATGATATCCAGTCCTCCCAAAAGCTCACCCTTAACGTATAGTTGAGGATATGTGGGCCAATCGGAATAAGTTTTTAAGCCTTGGCGAACTTCCTCATCAGTTAAAATATCAAAAGTCTCATAATTTATACTGAAAACAAGAAATTTCTATTTTTTTTTAAATCTTATTTAATTAATTTGTTGAATTTACTAACCTGAGGCCATTGATGATCTCAATAATTTGGCGACTAAATCCACATCTGGGAGTGTTTCTATCACCTTTCATAAATAACATCACTGGAGCTTTGTTAACCAGTGCTTTCAATCTATCCTCCAGGGAATTTTTACCAACTGTACTGGCCCCAGCATGTTCCTTAACTTTTGCAGTGATCTTTGCTGGATCAGCACCATCCACTCTATCAACTTTTTTATTGTTCTTAAAGAAGAGAACAGTGGGTGCTGCTTCGATCTGATATTTGAAAGAAATCTCAGACAAATCTTCAGCTTTACATTTTGTGAATTTTACTTTGGAATAATCAGTTTGTTGTGATAAAAGGTCTAAAACCTCATCAACTTGTTTGCATTGTTCTACCCAATCTGCAGCAAAATGCACCACCACTAAATTTACATCCCTGTAATCAAAAAGATAAATTTCATCAATGAGTATAAACAAACATATGAAAGATATGAATTAATTACGTGATAGTGGTGTTAAAATCTGCGACTGTTTCGATTAATTGCGGCATTTTATTTGTTCAGAAGATGATTCACAACCATTCACAATATCTCTCAGGATTACACAGGATATCGGCAAATTTAAGGTTAGCTATAGAAAAAGTCACGTTCACCATGAGTGATGCAAAAACTTTGACCGAGCGCAAAAGTTGATTTTATCACATGTACAAATTGATACGCAAATGAATTCGCGAATAAAAACAAAGTTTTAGACTTTGGAAACTACCTAATGTTTACGAATATAATTAATATTACCATTATTTTTATTAACTTAAACCAAAGCAGGGTTGAAAAATTATCTTTTGAATTGTGGCTGTAAAATGCCGGATACTTTTTCGTCCTTGTACCACAATAATACGATAAGAGATATGCGTGTAATATTCTATAATTATTTAGTTCGCCACAAATTGTCACAATTTATTACTATAATGTTAAAATAATAGCATCTTTTAATTGATAGAATTATATGTGCAAGGAAGTAAATTATATCATCGAGATTGTCGTCACAAGTGTCGACTGATGATTATTTGTTCACCTAGCACACGTTAACAGTATTATTCTGTTTATAAATATAATTACAACTATGAATGACCAGCAATGAGTACCTATGTCAATGAATATTTATTTATAATAGAGAAGTACTACGCTTTTCCGGGTAGGATGATGTACTTTTATAAATATATGTATGATGTTCCATTGTGCATCACTTGAAAGCTGAAAAATATTAAAATGGTTACGGTCGGTCAAAAGTTGTACAATACAATTATTTTATTGGCGTATAATTTTTTATCTGCTACTGTACCCAATGGAAAAATCATCGAGGATCATCCAGTTGGGATTGTAGTTTAAACAGAAAGAAAATTAACTTTATACAAAACATTTATAACATTGTTACAGAAGGATGCAGTGATTTCAAGTGGATATACTTTTAACGAATACGAAGTGACAACTGCAGATGGATATTTACTTTCTATGTTCCGCATTGGACGCAGATCTTCCCAAAATGGCACCTCGACCTCAGCAAATGGTTCTCCTGTTTTAATAGTGCATGGTTTCCTATCGAATGCTTATGACTGGTTACTTTTGGGTCCTGGAGATAGTCTTGCTTACAAACTTGTGGATCAAGGGTATGACGTTTGGCTGGGAAATTGTCGGGGAAATAAATACAGCAGGAAACATGTCAAATATGACCCAGAAGAACCGCCATTTTGGAGATTCAGGTTGTTATATAAATATTTATTTAATACATAATCTAAAATAAATTTGTTTCAGTTTTCATGAAATTGGTTACTATGACCTTCCAGCAAAAATAGATTTTATCCTCAATCAAACTGGTTATAAAAGTATTTACTACATTGGCCACTCACAAGGAACAACAAGTATGTTTATCACTGCATCTGAAAGGCCGGAATATATTAAAACAATTCGATTATTTATTGCGTTTGCACCGGTGGCGTTTACTAAATCTATGCCTGCACTTATGGCGGAATTACTTGCAACGTTTTATAAACCATTTGAAGTATGAATATTGCACTTGAACCAAAACCCAAACAAGATTTTATATATTTTTAACTTTATTTTTACAGTGGTTTGTTTACATGTTTGATTATCAAGAGTTCCTGCCAGGTGCCCACGAAGTACAACACAAAGTATTGCGTTTGTTTTGTGATGAAAATATGCCCTTTGCAAACCTTTGTCGTACATTTTTTAGAGCGAACGTTGGTTACAGTGTTGATTCTGAGTCGGTAAGTCAATACCTCGCAATTATCTTAATGCTCAATCATTAGTCAAATTTTTTTTTAGTTTACTGCTCAACAATTGTTTAATAGTGCCCCCGGTGGAGCATCTACCCATCAATTATTGCATTTCCTACAAACAAAGCGATCAGGTAATTATCATTTTATTAGAAATATGCGTTTAAATAATTTTCTGAATGTTAACAATTATTGTAGATAAATTTTGTCAGTATGACTATGGATTCATGACAAATTACATAAAATATGGTAAAAGTCGTCCACCAGATTACAATTTGAAAACTACAATTCCTACAGCTCTTATTTACAGTAATAATGATTGGCTTTCCACTGAACAAGTATTAATTAATTAAATATATGTGAAAAATACGCTAAAAAGTGTTTTTTGTTTGCAGGATGTAAAACGGATTAGTGCCCAACTTAAAAATATAAAGTTCAGGTACAAATCACATGCCAATCATGTGGATTATCTTTTCGGGCGAAGAACTAATCGCATTTTAACACCTATTATAACAAAATTGTTAAGGGCGAATTGAAACTATAATTAATTTGTAAACAAATATGTAAATTTTAAATTTAAAAATATTGTTATCGTGGGTACCTAACACCACGTGTGTATCATGTTTATCATAAACGAAGATAACAATGTGGAATATTTTAAATGTTATTTGAAGTGCGTCAATATGGTTGAATATTTATAAATCTGCAAATTAGTTACAAATATTTTGAAAACTTTTAGCAAATTGTTTTGACGTGATAACGTCTTTAAAATCGTTTTATTGGGTGACTGTTCAGAAACTGTGTCACGAGCGAGGTCGATCGCAGGTATACCCCCCTCTCGTTATAACGAGAGAGAGACGGACCGATCTCACGTCTCATCTCGAGCGCTGCCAGTCATTCCGACCCCCCTCTCGTTATAACCAGAGAGAGACGGACCGATCTCACGTCTCATCTCGAGCGCTGCCAGTCATTCCGTGCCAGTCATAGCGTTCGAGTGAGTTGACCGATCTTCCGTCTCTCTCACTCTAGCGGCATACAAACGAATGGAGATTTTCTCGTGCGGTTAAGTTTTCGTTGAATGTTTAACAGTAAAACAAAATGTGAAGTGCAAGTGAAGTGTTACAACAATTGCAACAAACAAAACTTATATCACCAATAAGACGTTATCACGTAAACATCTCGATCGTAAACCTACTTTACAAACAACCATTTTTCTTTTGATTGGGACAATAATAAAAGTGTTGTGCGCAGGGTTGAAAAAAACCGACGGCATGAGTAAGTCGTATTCGTTGCACACAATGAATTAAATTATTATTTTAAATTTAAGCAATTGCATTGCAGATTTCTGGGTAATTTAATTGAAAGTCCTAAAACTAGAAGGCGCTAGTAGGCTATGTTTAGCTATGTTTTGTTCCTCCACACCCAGGTTGCGCTAGTGTCAGCTATCTATTTTGTTTTGTTCCATCACAGCCAGATGGCGCTTCCATCAAATTGGTTTAAATTCATACTTAATTTTTGTTGTTGTTTTTAGTGCGCTGAGTTGCAGTGCGTACGTCACTTGTATTGCATTTCTGTCCTATGCAGATAGAAGAATACCCCTCCAACTACGGGTCTGCTTGCTTAGTTCGGCTTGGTTCGGCTTAGTCAGTTAAGCGCTGTTGCGTAGTGCGCACGTTTTTTCTACATTAATCAAACGGGGTGACGATTTCTTGCGCTTCTTGATATTTTGTAGCATTACTAGAATCGACAATCAGAGGCATTAGTAGTAACATCCCAGTGTAGCGCACAACGAATAATTTGATTCTTTGCAATGCGCGCATGACGTCCGTGGGATATGTTCCGGAGACTATTGGAGTAATTTGGAATCTTCGTGTGGAATAGTAACGAAGTACGTATCATCAATTCTACATAAAATTTGCGGAAACGTGTTTGTGCGATTTAGTCCTTTGATAGAAGAACAAAGGAGTAAGTAGAATCAAATAAAACTTTACTTTTATTTAACTTTTTAAATCTTACAGTTACCATGTTATTGCTTTATTGTAAATGCCCACTGCTTCGATGCGTTCTTTGCTCCCGGATCGACCGCCATGTTTATAAGGACTTGTTAAAATGTCTCGTACCTGTAACCGTATTTTTGCAACAGATTGTAGGTATTAAATTTATTTATCACTTTCATAAATAGCTTTGGTGATTAGCTTATTAATTAGCAAAAAAAAATGCATTTTGGTGTTTCGAAGGACTAATTTTTGCTTGTTTTAGGGGTTTTGCACATGAATCCGACATCGTAAGGGAACCATTCTTTTAGCAGATTGTGAGTATTAAATTTCTTTATCATTTTCATAAATAACTTTGGTGATTAGCTTATAAATTAGCAACAAAAATTGCATTTTTATGTTTCGAAGGAATAATTTTTGCTTGTTTTAGGTGTTTTGAACCTGAACCCGACATCGTAGGAGAACCATCCTTGTATCAGATTGTAAGTATTAAATTTCTTTATCATTTCCATAAATAATTTTGGTGAATAGCTTATTAATTAGCATCAAAACTTGCATTTTTGTGTTTTGAAGGACCCATTTTTGCTTGTTTTAGGTGTTTTTAACCTGAACCCGACTTCGTAAGGGAACCAATCTTTCAGCAGATTGTGAGAATTAAATTTCTTTATCAGTTTCATAAATAACTTTGGTGATTAGCTTATTAATTAGCAACAAAAATTGCATTTTTATGTTTCGACGAACTAATTTTTGCTTGTTTTAGGTATTTTGAACCTGAACCCGACATCGTAGGAGAACCATCCTTGTATCAGATTGTAAGTATTAAATTTCTTTATCATTTTCATAAATAATTTTGGTGATTAGCTTATTAATTAGCAACAAACCTTGCATTTTTGTGTTTCGAAGGACCCAATTTTGCTTGTTTCAGGTGTTTTGAACCTGAACCCGACATCGTAGGAGAACCATTCTTGTATCAGATTGTAAGTATTAAGTTTTTTTATGATTTTCATAAATAACTTTGGTGATTAGCTTATTAATTAGCAACAAAAATTGTATGTTTGTGTTTCGAAGGACTAATTTTGGCATGTTTTAGGTGGTTTGAACCTTAACCCGACATCGGAGGAGAACCATTCTTATATCAGATTGTAAGTATTAAATTTCTTCTTTATCATTTTCATAAATAATTTCAGTGATTAGCTTACTAATTAGCAACAAAAATAGCATTTTTGTGTTTCGAAAGACTTATTTTTGCTTGTTTTAGGTGTTTTACACCTGAACCCGACATCGTAAGGGAACCATTCTTTCAGCTGATTGTGAGTATTAAATTTCTTTATCATTTTCATAAATAACTTTGTTGATTAGCTTATTAATTAGCAACAAAAATTGCATTTTGGTGTTTTGAAGAACTAATTTTTGCTTATTTTAGGTGTTTTGAACCTGAACCAGACATCGTAGGAGAACCATTCTTATATCAGATTGTAAGTATTAAATTTCTTTATCATTTTCACAAATAACTTTGGTGATAAGCTTATTAATTAGCAACAAAACTTGCATTTTGGTGTTTCGAAGGACTAATTTTTGCTTGTTTTACGGGATTTGCACCTCAACCCGACATCGTAGGAGAGCCATTCTCGCATTTAATAATAGGTATTAAATTTCTTTATCATTTTCATAAATAACATTAGTGATTAACTCATTAATTAGTAATAAAATTTACAATTTTGTGTTTCAAAAGATTATTTTTTATTTTTTGTTTTTGGGGGTTAAGCACCTGAACGGCTTACCCCTAATTAGAGGGATCCCTAAAAATGTAGAATTTAATTCTTCGTTGGGTTATATTCTGTTGTCATAGGAGATGCACTTGTAAAACATGAATTGTTATAAATATTGTACGTTTTATACGTTGTTCAGGCGATAACTATTAACTGTTTATTTATATCCAGTTAATTTGAAAAGATTTTACGATTATATTGATACGTAGGTTAGCTGTCAGGGCCAGGTCGGAAGCACGAATGTCGGTGAGCGCTGCCGCTTGTCATGAGGACAGCTCCCTAGAGACCCTAGCACCCTAGGATCCCTAGTCGAGTGTCCCCAGCGCGGTCAAGTCGGCGGTGCTCGTAGCCCCAATCACCGCTAGAGGGCGCCGGAGCCAAAGGTGGCTTCAATATATAACATGGATAGTTTTTATTTATCACTTGTTCAATTAACTGACAGAAATAGATAGATAGCAATGGCAGAATGACGTGAGCTAGAGCAAGAGAAAATACTCTAAAATTTCATGTTCTATCCATATTCTCTATATGATCCGTGGAATTCGACGCTTTGTTTATGCTTTCAGTTCGACCTTGTCTTGCGCACCATATTCTGTGCTGCCATTTAAACAGTATCGTGCCGGTTGCCCGCTTCAAGTGCGTTCGCGCGTTACGTCAGTCGGTGGTACGCAGTTGTGTTGATTGCACGTGTTATTTTTCTCCATCGATCTTCATCGCGACTGTTTTGTTGCTTTAATACGGTACAAGCATTAGACATCGACTACTGACTAAGTGATTTATCGCGAATCGACTCCAGAATTAAGAGACCTCCCCATGTGTATGCCATTGGCAACCAGCAGTCGGATCTCTTCCGTTCCAATTGGATATACTGGTCAACATTATTCAATTGTTAATTTGTGAAGATAAATTACGCGTTTTCTCTGTGGAGTATTGTTGCTAGTGCAAAAGTAATACTTTATGCGCTTTGGTACTTCATAAACCGAACAACAAAGAAGTATGTAACATCAGGTACAAAATTTCTTCTGTTAAATTTTACATACGAGTATATATTTGCATTGATTTTAAGATACATGTAAGAATATTGTTCTGTAAATAAAGGATAATTTAATCTTAATTTCTCGTCCACATTTAACCCTTTGTGTTTACTTGTCGTTTTCAGTAAGAGTTATAAGACGTGTTTAACACTAAGTATATCAGTATATAGAATATAAATTGTTTTATAAAAGTGTAAGATTGTAAATATATATAGCAGAAACAAGTAACGTTTGATAAGAGAGCCGCGTGGCTCAGTGAAACGTAGGATATGCTACGTTACCTGGGGTCGTAGGTTCGATCCCCAGTTCAGGTGTGCGCATTTTACTCAAATATAAAAATAACAGGTGTAATTTGGGTTGCATATGTAAACTCAAATGAAATATAAGAGAAATTGGAATACAAGTGAGGAAAGAGGCAATAAGAGAAGTAAGAGTAAGTGTAGAAACGGAGAACAGAAGAAATAAGAGAGAAGTGACGAAGGAATAGCAGAGAAGAGTAGAAGACAGAAGGAAGAGAACAGAGTAGAGAAAAGAGAGAGTACAGGAAGAAAAGAGAATAGGGGTGACGGAATTTTTAAATTTTTTGGCACGTGTCGTTATAAGACAGTCTACGGTCGATCTCCCAGAGCGCCTCCGGCGCTCTGGTCGATCGCCCACTGCTTCGATGCGTCCATTGCTCCCGGCCCATCCTACAGCTACGATGTCTCTGCGCTTCATCCCCGGAATTATCAGGCATATCAACAATTTTTATGGTGGGGGATTACCCCCCAAAGAGAGAGAACTCCTTATAAGGACAATCCTTATAAGGTCTTGTAAAAATATTTCTAAGTTTTAAGTCGCCTCAAGAGAGGGGACACTTAAAAATATTCTTACCAGTTCTGACCTGTAACTGAAATGAAAGATGGAGTACACAAATCATACAGGATACCTTAACAATTTTTATAGTGGGGATCATCCCCTGAGAGGGAATTCCTTATAAGAACTTGTAAAAATATTTCTAAGTTTTAAGTCGTCTCGAGAGAGTCGACACTTAAAAATATTCTTACAAGTTCTGACCTGTACCTGCAATGATAGAAGGGGTGCACGAATAATACCATTCATAACCTCTTTTAACATTTCTTTATTAACAAATAAAATAACAGAATGTAAAATACATACAAATATCAGGCCGCCATCTTGAAACAAGTCTTATGACCTGTGTTTCACATATACACATATGTGCCAAATTATAAACACCAACATACTACATGATTATGAAATAGCAATTAAAAACAGGAAAACAAATATACAGGGTGTTAAAAAAAGAAAACCAATGATTCAAAAAAGAGCAATAGATTATAACAATAAATTTTCCCCACATTAACCAGGATTTAAGGAAAAGTGATATACTGGGAGATACAGAAAGAAAATATAAAGTTCAAAATAGAAAACACCCGGACAACAAACTTGGTCAGTGACAGATTGGGAATGAAGAAAAACGAGTATACAGGGTGACATAAAAGGAAAATTACTAGTTTTAAAATTAAAATACTACGATCAAGGAGAAAACATCTGGAAAAAACAATTATAGTCAAGTACTGACTGGAAATCAGGGAAATAAATATACAGGGTGATACATAAAGAAAATTTAAGCATTTAATATAAAATTCCACGATCAAAACATACAAAAGATTAATTTTATAAATTTTTGTTGATCAAGAAAAGCCCATATACAGGATGTTACAAATAGGAAAATGAGACTATGCATTTAAAAAAATCGGAAGAAATAATCAACAAAATTAACAAATGCAAAATTTTACAAGTTTCCCAACGAATATCAAAGAAAAGTGAAAAGAAGGCAACACAACAGAAATACAACTAGCAACTACTAATACAATACCAAAGCGGGAGAAAATATTTAAGAAAAGTAAAAGTAGAGAAGGTATGATGATGATATATATACAATTGTTTTATAAGAATAAAACACCATAATGAATTTTATTGCATATTTAGATTTTCTTTGCGACGCGGTCTCCTGATACGGCTCAACCATAGAAAAGTGCTAACCAACGGCATGATACACGATTTGCGTTAAGATATTGAAATTGTTTTTAAACGCGTTATCGCGATTACAGTATTTTGAATGCAAAAGAACAATAAGAGCTGATAATAACAGTGAAAACCACATTCACAGGCAAGATCGAAAACGCAGTCGACGGCACGCGACAATTTTGACTTACGAGTATTACGGTACTCTCGTTACATGCGACTAAAGACATCAATGTGATAATGATGTAATAATATTTTACAACTTACCGAAACACAGGGTAATCAAAAGAAGCACTGAAACAAAAAAAAACACGTGTGTTAGATTACGAACTGTGCTGCGTCGCACTTCTTAAGTCTACCCGTCGGATAGTGTCTTGTATTATACGCAATATTTTAACCGACAAACGCACAAACAGGGGCGTAGCTACCGCCGTATTTGCCGTATCAATTATACGGGGCCCCTGGGCCACGGGGGCCCCCAAAGTGTGTAAGGAAAAACCTTTACCTCCATATAAGGGCCCCCAAAAAAAATTTTATACGGGGCCCCGACAAGGCACGCTACGCCACTGCGCACAAATATAAAGTTTATATTATAAACCCATCGTTTCACGCACAAATCATTATAAGCATAACACTAAATAGTCTATTATCATTACGTGTCGGCATTTACGTCGATAATTAACATTAAAGTGCAATTTATAGAATTGAAATGAAAGAAAGGCAAGAAGTCGCGTGCAAATGAGAACAAACTGAAACGCTCGAATGTCCGTCGCACGATCGCAGCGTGGAACTGGTTCAAAGCGATAAGAAAGTTGTTTAAACACAAACAGCAATATACGCGTAGCTTGGAAGAAGAAACATTCAAGTATGTAGGTGTAATTCAATTTATATAATGTTGAAAAGACATAAAATCGGGCATCCAAAGTGGATGCGTGCCGGCAACACAATTCTTCACGACAAAACTATGAACCTAAGTTTTAAAAAACTTTAAAATTTTTTTAAAAAAGTTAAATTTGCAGAGCGATTTTAAGGAACTTTAAGGTAACTTTTATACGCAAATTACCCTTATATGCAAATTTTCAAGGGTTGCAGGTCAAATTCCTACAACAATAAAATACCACCCGACAAAAAATTTAATTTCACATCTCTAGACGCTCCGCTGAAATTACTGCGCCGCCTAGATCGCGTACAAACCCGAAAAAACAACAACATTTCACAAAAAAGGGTGGAAAAATTACACTTATATGCAAATTGTCGCGGGTTGTAAGTCTAATTCCTGCAACATTTAAATACCACCCGACGTAGAATGTGATTCCGCATCTCTAAACGCCCCGCTGAAATTACTACGCCGCATAGATCGCGTGCAAACCCGGAAAAACACCAACATTTCATGGAAAAGGGTTGAAAAATTACACTTATATGCAAATTTTCGCGGGTTGCAAGTCGAATTCCTGCAACATTTAAATACCACCCGACGTAGAATTTGATTTTGCATCTCTAGATGCTCCGCTGAAATTACTACGCCGCCTAGATCGCGTGCAAACCCGGAAAAACACCAACATTTCACGAAAAATTCCTGCAACATTTAAATACCACCCGACGTAGAATTTGATTTTGCATCTCTAGACACCCCGCTGAAGTTACTACGCCGCCTAGATCGCGTGCAAACCCGGGAAAACACCAACATTTCACGAAAAAGGGTTGAAAAATTACACTTATATGCAAATTTTCGCGGGTTGCAAGTCGAATTCCTGCCACATTTAAATACCACCCGACGTAGAATTTGATTCCGCATCTCTAGATGCTCCGCTGAAATTACTACGCCGCCTAGATCGCGTGCAAACCCGGAAAAACACCAACATTTCACGAAAAATTCCTGCAACATTTAAATACCACCCGACGTAGAATTTGATTTTGCATCTCTAGACACCCCGCTGAAGTTACTACGCCGCCTAGATCGCGTGCAAACCCGGGAAAACACCAACATTTCACAAAAAAGGGTTGAAAAATTACACTTATATGCAAATTTTCGCGGGTTGCAAGTCGAATTCCTGCCACATTTAAATACCACCCGACGTAGAATTTGATTCCGCATCTCTAGATGCTCCGCTGAAATTACTACGCCGCCTAGATCGCGTGCAAACCCGGAAAAACACCAACATTTCACGAAAAAGGGTTGAATATTACCCTTATATGCAAATTTTCAAGCGTTGCAGGTTAAATTCCTGCAACAATTAAATACCACCCGACGTAGAATTTAACTCGGCATCTCTAGACGCCCTGCTGAAGCTACTACGCCGCCTAGATCACGTGCAAATATGCAAACTTTCGCGGGTTGCAAGTCGAATTCCTGCAACATTTAAATACCACCCGACGTAAAATTTGATTCCGCATCTTTAGACACCCTGCTGAAGTTACTACACCGCCTAGATCGTGTGAAAACCCGGGAAAACACCAACATTTCACGAAAAAGGGTTGAAAAATTACACTTATATGCAAATTTTCGCGGGTGGCAAGTCGAATTCCTGCAACAATTAAATACCACCCGACGGAGAATTTAATTCCGCATCTCTAGACGCCCCGCTGAAATTACTACGATACGACGCCTAGATCGCGTGCAAACCCGGAAAAACACTAACATTTCACGAAAAAGGGTTGAAAAATTACACTTATATGCAAATTTTCGCGGGTTGCAAGTCGAATTCCTGCAAGATATAAATACCACCCGACGTAAAATTTGATTCCGCATCTTTAGACACCCCGCTGAAGTTACTACGCCGCCTAGATCGCGTGAAAACCCGGGAAAATACCAACATTTCACGAAAAAGGGTTGAAAAATTACACTTATATGCAAATTTTCGCGGGGTGCAAGTCGAATTCCTGCAACAATTAAATACCACCCGACGGAGAATTTAATTCCGCATCTCTAGACGCCCCGCTGAAATTACTACGACGCCTAGATCGCGTGCAAACCCGGAAAAACACCAACATTTCACGAAAAAGGGTTGAAAAATTACACTTATATGCAAATTTTCGCGGGTTGCAAGTCGAATTCCTGCAACATTTAAATACCACCCGACGTAGAATTTGATTTCGCATCTCCAGACACCCCGCTGAAGTTACTACGCCGCCTAGATCGCGTGCAAACCCGGGAAGATACCAACATTTCACGAAAAAGGGTTGAAAAATTACACTTATATGCAAACTTTCGCGGGTTGCAAGTCGAATTCCTGCAACATTTAAATACCACCCGACGTAAAATTTGATTCCGCATCTTTAGACACCCCGCTGAAGTTACTACGCCGCCTAGATCGCGTGAAAACCCGGGAAAACACCAACATTTCACGAAAAAGGGTTGAAAAATTACACTTATATGCAAATTTTCGCGGGTTGCAAGTCGAATTCCTGCAACAATTAAATACCACCCGACGGAGAATTTAATTCAGCATCTCTAGACGCCCCGCTGAAATTACTACGACGCCTAGATCGCGTGAAAACCCGGGAAAACACCAACATTTCACGAAAAAGGGTTGAAAAATTACACTTATATGCAAATTTTCGCGGGTTGCAAGTCGAATTCCTGCAACATTTAAATACCACCCGACGGAGAATTTAATTCCGCATATCTAGAAGCCCCGCTGAAGATACTGCGCCGCTTAGATCGCGAGCTAATCCAAAAAAACACCAACATTTCACGAAAAAGGGTTGAAAATTACATTTATATGCAAATTTTCGCTGGTTACAGGTAGAATTCCTGCAAGATTTAAATACCACCCGACGTAGAATTTGATTTCGCATCTCTAGACACCCCGCTGAAGTTACTACGCCGCCTAGATCGCGTGCAAACCCGGGAAAATACCAACATTTCACGAAAAAGGGTTGAAAAATTACACTTATATGCAAACTTTCGCGGGTTGCAAGTCGAATTCCTGCAACATTTAAATACCACCCGACGTAAAATTTGATTCCGCATCTTTAGACACCCCGCTGAAGTTACTACGCCGCCTAGATCGCGTGAAAACCCGGGAAAACACCAACATTTCACGAAAAAGGGTTGAAAAATTACACTTATATGCAAATTTTCGCGGGTTGCAAGTCGAATTCTTGCAACATTTAAATACCACCTGACGGAGAATTTAATTCCGCATATCTAGAAGCCCCGCTGAAGATACTGCGCCGCTTAGATCGCGAGCCAATCCAAAAAAACACCAACATTTCACGAAAAAGAGATGAAAAATTACACTTATATGCAAATTTTCGCGGGTTACAGGTAGAAATCCTGCAAGATTTAAATACCACCCGACGAAGAATTTCATACCACATCTCTAGAAGCCCCGCTGAAGTTACTACGCCGCTTAGATCGCGTGCAAACCCGAAAAAACACAAACATTTCACGAAAAAGGGTTGAAAATTACATTTATATGCAAATTTCCGCTGGTTGCAGGTAGAATTCCTGCAAGATTTAAATACGACCCGACGTAGAAATTAATTCCGCATCTCTAGAAGCCCCGCTGAAGTTACTACGCCGCTTAGATCGCGAAGAAACCCGAAAAAACACGAACATTTGACGAAAAAGGGTAGAAAAATTACATTTATATGCAAATTTTCGCGGGTTGCAAGTAGAATTCCTGCAAGATTTAAATACCACACGACGGAGAATTTAATTCTGCATCTCTAGAAGCCCCGCTGAAATATACTACGCCACTTAGATCGCGAGCTAACCCAAAAATACACAAACATTTCACGAAAAAGGGTTGAAAAATGGCACTTATATGCAAATTTTCGCGGGTTGCAGGTAGAATTCCTGCAAGATGGAAATACCATCCGACGGAGAATTTAATTCCGCATCTCTATATACCCGCTGAAATTACTACGGCACTTAGATCGCTAGCAAACCCGAAAAAACACAAACATTTCACGAAAAAGGATTGAAATTTTACACTTATATGCAAATTTTTGCGGGTTGCAAGTAGAATTCGTGCAAGATTTAAATACGACCCGACGGAGAATTTAATTCTGCATCTCTAAAAGCCCCGCTGAAATATAGGGGAAAGTAGCCATATTTGGACCATTTTTATATTTTTCGATTTATAGAGCCACATATAAACTGTCAATAAAAATTAAGTTGCGGAAAAGTAACTCACAAGGCTTACCAACAAAATGATATTTTTGATTTAAGTAAAAATTATATTTATACCCCTCAAATTTCAATTTAAAAAAATTGTGTTTTTGGTCCAAATTAAGAAACCGGTTTCCTAAATTGGACCGCGCAGTTTCCTAAATTGGACCATGCTTTTTTAACGGCAATTGACCCAATAGTAAATTTTAGTTTTAGCAGAAACACAAGCACATTTTGTATAAACCAAAGTGCGGCATTGCATACACTGCATCATTTCGAAGATTTGTGCTCGTCCACAAGCTTTTCTAAGAGATAAAAAAAATGATATACGTTTTCCCTGTTAAAACCCGGTGCCTGTCTCCGGTCCAACTTGGGCAACTTGAAGAATTTTTATTTAATGATCAACGACAATCTTAATATAACATAACCTCTCCAAATTAATACTATAAATTATAGATAAATAAATAAGCTTTCTGATGATATAATTATAATCGTGAAATCTAACGTTTAAACAGCTTGACAGCTTATGCACTTACGTCGTTATAATAGATTTGATAATCAAGGATACAAAAAGTTGTTGTCACGACGAAAGCACGCGGCAAGTTTTAACCCAAATAGTTGCATCAATTGTTTATATATACGAGTAAAACAAGGGGCCTGTCTAATTTTGCAAAAGCATCAACAGTCCGCGGATATCGTGGTGGTCCAACTTAGGCGCTGGTCCAACTTAGGCTACCTTCCCCTACTACGCCACTTAGATCGCGAGCTAACCCAAAAATACACAAACATTTCACGAAAGATGCTTGAAAAATGACACTTATATGCAAATTTTCGCGGGTTGCAGGTAGAATTCCTGCAAGATGGAAATACCACCCGACGGAGAATTTAATTCCGCATCTCTAGATGCCCCGCTGAAATTACTACGCCACTTAGATCGCGAGCAAACCAGAAAAAACACAAACATTTTACAAAAAAAGATTGAAATTTTACACGTATATGCATATTTTCGCGGGTTGCAGATAGAATTCCTGTAAGATTTAAATACCACCCGACGGAGAATTTAATTCCGCATCACTCGTCACGACGGTCAAGGATACCTATGTGATGCCGTACGTGCGGAATGATTAAAAAGGCGTACGAGCAACGAGCACGAATGTTTTAGAACAAGCAAGTATTGATACCATACCAGGATTTTATGCGTTCCAGCACTCTCACAGGGGCTGATGCACTTAGCAACTCGACGTCTTGTGAGTTGCAATATACACTTAACCGGCATTTACGGACAATAAAGATGCAAATAGTCAATAACAATACTATAGTCACAAGTTAAAACTAAATCGTCTATTGGCGATCGAATATAATGCAAATTTAAATAGCACAAGTCCGAACAAACGATACGAAGTCACGAGAAACACGTCTGAATTACCCACGACACTGAGCGCAATCCGCGGATAGTGCACGCCGTAGCCGAGCTAACACCGACGCAACAGTTCACGATAAGAAAGCAAGTGATGGCGCGCGACCTTGTCCGCGAATAGCAATAGGCCCGCTACCCGCGATCTAAACTAAACTTGAATATGCTGCATGCGGTGTAAGAGGTTTGCAACGACGACACTCGAGAATCTCATGCGTTGCATTCCACGCGGCGGAAGCGATAAGAAAGTAAATTGTGTTCAAAACAAACACAAAAACAAAACAAAATTCTCGTGCCGAATGCGAACGTTTATGCTTCTGCCATCTGTGAATGTTACACCTAGAAGTCCCGGAATTAAGATTATTTTGGAATGGTGGAAGGAACATGAGAAAGTGTTTCCTACACTTTCAATGATGGCCAAGGATTTATTCAGCACAATTGCAACATCCGTACCTGTAGAAAGGTTATTTTCTACAGCAGGTATGATTATGACAAGTAAACGTTCATCATTAAAAGATGATGTAATGCAAGCGTTACTCTGCTTAAATTCTTGGTCATCATGCAGTTTAAAAGATAAAATTAGAAGTAGGTAAAATAGATAGGTAGAATAGGTAAATTTATGTTAATTAGGCTTTTTTCCGTGAGGAAGGGTATATAAGTATATATAAGTATATATATAAGTATATATAAGCATAAGTGTATATAGATCTTGTCAAATAAAATTTATGCTATAATCAACTCGATTATTGTCCTCTAGCGTACCTACATTGTATCCTAGTTTATTCTATATTTTCAATTAAAAGTGATACTTATTATTTTAATTTTTAATTGTGATAATTAATATTTTAACCTATGTATGTATTTTTGGAGTAATTAAATGAATAAACTTTTGAACTGCAAAGATCTTCAATGTTTTCTTTACACTTAAAACCATTAAATGTGGAAAAAAAGTATAAGAACAAAGGCTTCACGGGTATCGCGAGACTTTTCTCGTATCGCTTTTTCGAGACGATACCGAGACCGAGACGATACTGTTGATAGTCTCGTCCACTCTCGTCTCGTGTGAAGCCCTAGAAGTTGAGAACAATGTCTTATTGATTCTTGTCTAAATAAAACTTCAAATTTCCATTCGTAATTTCCTGACAGAATTTTGTCATTTGGTACTAACTAATCTGAAATCTAGGAACTCTTTTTATAAATAATAGAATTATTTTACTTACCAGTTATGCAAAACCGTAAATCGAAGATATGTTGATAGATACTGAAATAAATGAGAAACAAAATATTAGTAACAGCATTTTGTGCCATGTTAAAATGAATCTGAGTTCCGTCGGAACCCAGTTTTTACATTAAAATTTCTTTTATTCACATAGTAATGATAGGAATGACAATATTTACCATGTAGCACATTAGTCCATAATCATCTGCTGATGATATAAATATTTTTCACAAGTCATTTAATTATTGGCATTCAATAAACATTGCCGGCCGTCGCCCGACGACAACGAACACACAAACACTCACGCGAGAAATAGCTGATAAGAGATGAAACACGTTTACTAACACTAACTATCACCGGCGATCACGAAATAAAACGCGATTTGCCGAACCAATATCAAAGAATAAAACAAACCAAAAGTGTGGAATGTGTGCTGCCAGTGGCGGATTACGGCCTAGGCGCACTAGGCGCGCGCCTAGGGCCCCGGCTGCCTGGGGGGCCCCGGCTGCCTGAGGGGCCCCGGCTGCCTGAGGGGCCCCTGGCACTTATATGTCCCATATAGACATAGTAATTCCACAAATACTTCATCAGTTGGTTTTGACCTCAGCCTTTATGAATAGCGTATTGGTTTTCACTTGGCGGCCAAAACGGCATTTCACACGTGTCCGCAAAGCAACCGTCACGGATATATAGCTGACTTAAAACTTTTTATCTCCGATTTTATTTCTTTATGGCAAACTGTTTAAAATAAAATTTGGATGTTTTCTGCCACGAATTTTTGTGACCTTTTCTTGAATATTGCGTTAGAAAGTTGTAGCTATAATGCGAGTAGTATATTGCCAATTTTTTTAAATTTCGAACATCTGTGGACGAGATGAGTTGAGGAATATTCCATTGAGGTTGTAAAATAGCGGGTAACTCTCTTTTTTGGAATATTAATTATTTCTTCTTTCTATCATTTTTTCACATCTGCGGAACACGTTGTACCAACGTTTATCCTCCTACAATTTTTATCTAGATTTTTGGGGTGGTAGTTGGATTAAAAAAATAACAGAGAGTGGTCAGTGAGTCGTTAGAAGAAATTGTACTTAGAAAGTTACATGATTATGGCTCAGATATCACAAACTGTAGGGGCCAATCTTATGATAACGCTGCTACCATGTCTGGCAAGTACAGTGGATTACAGGCACGCATAAAACAACATTCCAAATCAGCTGAATTCATACCATGTGGAAGTCATTCTTTAAATTTGGCTGGGAATACTGCAGCGGAATCTTGTTCTGGAGCATTAAAGTATTTTATGTTTTTGCAAAATATATAACTTTCTTTGCTGCATCTACAAGACTGTGGAATATTTTAACTGAATGCATGAAGGATAAGAATTCTAAAAGTATCAAGAGAATAATTGATACACGATTTGCCGCAAGAGCTGACGCTGTTTTAGCCCTAAGACTCAATTAGGTATCAATGAAAAAAAAAGGAAAACCAATTTCAAAATTAGAAGCAAAAAAATTATCAAAAGAGTTCGATCAATTTGACAATTTTCTGGAACAAACTCCTACAGAGAATCGAAATTACCAGCAAATACTTACAGGAACCAAAGACAAATATTCTTAATAGTGTTAGTTTATTAAAATCATTAAACGAATTTATAACAGAGGTCAGAAATAATTTCGAAACTGTTGAAGAGGAGGCTAAATGAGACAAAGAAAACGCAAATATCCATATGATGAAACGAACAAAAATGATACAGCATTTTCGTCAAGAAAATTTTTTATTGTCAACATTTTTTATATGGTATGTGATGTATTAACATCAGAAATTACTCGAAGGGGCGATTTAAAATTAAGCCGTGTTGAAACTAATAATTGTGTAGAGCGATTATTGTCTAAGTATGAAAAAGATATTGAGCCAGAATATTTCACTGATGAGTTAACTCATTTTCTAAAATACATACAAGAAGAAAATATTAGAGATCCACATGAAATGTATGTAACATTAAGCAATGGTCTAAAATCACAAACGAATGTTGAAGTAGACTTTGCGGCGCCCGTACGCTAAAACTATTAATTTTACTGGGCTAATAACCGTTTTTGAAAATTTTCGGATTTAGGGGCCCCAAACTTGATTTGCGCCTAGGGCCCCACTGAAGCATAATCCGCCACTGTGTGCTGCCGTTATCGCAACGATGCAACAAAACAAAATTCACTCGCTGTAATATTTTTAGTTTAATCTGCACTGTCTCGCCATCTGAAGATACTTTCTAGTACCTCACAAAAATACGAAGTGTTTCAAACAGTGGGGCGTGCATGTGTGGCAGTGTGGAATTGTTTATGAGTCAGTGAGTGGTCACGCACTTAGATGGTAGCGTCTGTGAGACACACGTACGGGAAAATGTTCATGCGCCACCCAAACTAAATGAATAGCACTTTTATACAAAAATGCAATAAGTCAAACGGATTGAAGATTTTTATTCTACCTAAAACTCCCAATAAAATAGGCTAGTTAACTTGGAAACTTAAAAAATGAAATAATAATTTTTATGAAAAAGAAAGGGCAAAGAGGGGTGCTGCGTCATGTGTTTTCGAGGATTTTCGGTAGCAAATACGTAAAATTTATTTTTATTTTTGTATTTTGGCCTTTATTATTAAATCATTGAAGATATTTCAAAGATATACGACGAAGAATTAATTGCGCTTGAGTTTTGTATATTTGCCTAGGATACGCAAACAATATTTTTGCGTGCAAACCCGAAAAAATACATTTCACGAGAAAGTATGACAAAATCACCCTTTTATGCAAATTTTCACAGGTTACAGGTTGAATTTCTGCAACAACCAAATACAACCAGACGGAGAATTTAATTCCGCATCTTTAGGCGCCGCGCGGAAGTTATTGAGCCGCCTAGATAGCGTGCAAACCCGGAAAAAAGAAACAAGTGCCTTGAACACGAGCCACTTCTATCGCTACCTTCGTACGGTGCCCTGAATCGAGTCACTTCTACCGCTACCTTCGTAAGGTGCTCTGAATGGAGTCACTTCTACCGCTACCTTCGTACAGTGCCCTGAATCGAGTCACTTCTACCGCTACCTTCGTAAGGTGCCCTGAATCGAGTCACTTCTACCGCTACCTTCGTACGGTGCCCTGAATCGAGTCACTGTTACCGCTACCTTCATACGGTGCCCTGAACACGAGTCACTTTTACCGCCACCCTGCTAAGGTACACCAAATGAGACTCAACTATACAATTGCAATTAATTGCAATATAAAACTAAATAAACAAATTGAAACCAACGTTCTTGATTTTATATTCAAGTCAATAAAATTAAGTTTAACCGTCTGGTCTCGCAAGGAATGTGAATGTTCGTCGCAGTTACTTATAATTTATAATGCAACACCACGCGCGATTTCAATTATTACGTGATTATAAATTATACTTTTCTTATCTAGAAAAACCTCAGTTTCAGAAGACTCTTGTAAAATTAAAAAAGTAATTCACGTAAAAATAAATTAACATAAAATTAAACACAAAATATTATTCAGGAATTTATCGACTAATCAAAGATAATGATAATAAACGACATAATATTTCTCGAGCATTTTCGATAGTAAATATCTTTTAAACTAAAGGCGCTAGCAGTCAGCTGATTGCAAATTATGAAAGTTTGGAAAATTCGCTATAAGATAAGATAAGAAAATAATTAAAATTCGTGCGCAAAGGTTGAGAAATCATGTTTAAATATGAAATAAAGATCACATTTTTATTTTTTATGAGTTTTTTCGTTTGCGAATATCCCGTACTCTTATTATAGGAAGAGACGGAAATTATTAATCTACGGATAATTCTTTACGGGTATAAGGCAAAGTATTAAAATAGTGCCTGCTGTGCCTCAGCCATGTAAACAAAATCGCGACATTTCATGATATAGAGACGTGAGAGAATGGCAACGATAACACACGGCAATTTCGGACGTTGCTATTCGTACAGCAATAAAAAAGTGTAAACAAACACAATTCTCGTGTCGAATGCCCGCGTTTGCTGGTAAATATTGAAATAAACAATGCAAGTTATATGAACAGAACCCGATGACCAAACAAGAATCATTAGTTAAGACGCAATCATGATATTTATTTCAAGCGCAGTAATTATTTATTTCAAACGTAATTATCAATTTCTAGGATTCATTGTCTCAAAGTCACCTAATTGCGCATTTCCTGTTTCGTTGCGCATCTTCTCTTCATATTTATTTAAAACGCATATTAGAGCCATATAAATAGAGCGCAGACCTAGACCTAAGCGATTATTGTATCATCCAAGTTCGTTGAATAAACAAGTGAAAGTTAACAAGTTCTTCTGAATCGATCATCAAGAACCCACTTAACAAATCCTAAGAAAACCAACAAAAGTGAATCAAAGTCTAAACCCAATTCTAATCCGCGATCGCGATTCGAACCAATAAATAAATAAATTATATTTAATAACTCGTGAGTCGATAACGAAATCGTTAATATAAAACCGCTCGACACAAACGGGGAATATAATTTGCAAGTCTATTTTTCGATGTTTAGTTCATGCCAATGCCATCTATAAATGATACAAGTAGTAGTCCCACAATTTAAATTACATACTTATTAAAAGTAATGATAAATTAAAATACAATTTACGTAATTCAAAATTATTATGCTGAAAGATTACCCGATGTTACATCAAATATTTAAATGATACATAAATTTTACTAAGATTAGAAGTTGAGGCATATGTCTTATTGATTCTTGTCTAAATAAAACTTCAAATTTCCATTAATTTTCGTTCAGAAACAACTTTGTCATTTGGTATCATTGCACAAAAACATAGGTAGAACTAAATTAAAATCTAGGTACACGGCAAACTCTTTCTAAAAATAATATAATTATTTTACTTACCAGTTATGCAAAAACCATAAATCGAAGACATGTTGATAGAAACTGAAATAAATTAGAACAAAACATTAGTAACAGCATTTCGTGCTTTGTTGAAATGAATCTGAGTTCCGTCGGAACCCAGTTTTTACATTAAAATTTCTTTTAATCACATAATAATGACAGGAATGACAATATTTACCATGTAGCACATTAGTCCCATTAGTCCCCCATTAGTCCCAAGTCAATTAATTATTGGCGATCACAAAACATGGCCGTGCGTCGTCCGACGGCAATAGACTCACAAACACGTGAATAAACTAGTTTATTAACACTAACTATCACCGGCGATCAGGAAATACAACGCGATTTTCCGAACTAATATCAAAGAATAACACAAGCCGAAAGTGTGGAATGTGTGCTCGTCGTTATCGTACCGATGCAACAAAACAAAATTCACTCGCTGAAATATTTCTAGTTAAACCTCCACTGTCGCGCCATCTGATGGCACTTCCTAGTACCTCCTAAAAGTACAAAGTGTTGCAAGCAGTGTGGCGCGCAAGAGTTGCAGTGTGGAATTGTCTATAAGTCAGTGAGTGGTCACGCATTTAAATGGTAGCGTCCGTGTGACACACATGCAGGAAAGTGTGCGTGCACCACCCCGTTTAAATGAATAGTAGTTTTATACAAAAATGCAATAAGTCAAATCTAGATGAGGCGCAGCAGGGCGAGACGTGCGATAAATATAGAAATAAACAATACAATTCCATTTTACGATTTTTAGTTCATGCTAGTGCCATTAATAAATGGTACAAAAGTAGTCCCACAATTTAATATACTTATTGAAATAACTGATAATTTAAATTTGATTTACGCAATTCAAAATTATTATGCTGAAAAATTACCCGATTTTACATCAAATATTTAAGTGATATATAAATTTTACTAAGAAAAGAAGTTGAGGAATATATCTTTTTGATTCCTATCCAAATAATTCATTAAAGAATTACAATTGCATAAGTTTTGCAAATGAAGCTTTATTGGTCAAATTGAAGAACAGAACTTATATTTTCAAAAAAATTTAACACCTGGTAAGAGCCTTAACTGCATCGGTAATAGTTTTCAATTGTGCCCTGATGCAGTCGCGGGTAACCTTGCCCAAGTTAAAGGCAGCGGGAAGAATACGTAAGCCGTATCTTAATGCAACCCTAGCGGCGGCAAGGACGCGCAATTTGTTGCCAACCCATTGTGCAAAATTTGTGCTTTCGCGAAGGGTTTTGATGCTATCGGCGAGTACTTCAAGTTTCTTTTGGAATTCATCAATTGCAGTATTTGTGTTTGTGTTCAGTGCTTCCTCGTTCAAGCAGTTAGTTTGAATGTTGCTTCGCAGATTGGTGATTGCGTCAATCAAGGCATTAAATTGAGCTTCGACACAATTATTTGTTTCATCTTGACCATCGGCACCAGCACGAATCATTGCATCAATTGCCTCTTCATTACTAATGCTGTCGCTATCGCTGCTTTCGCTGCTTTCGCAGAACACAGCCTTAAGTAAAAAACAAAAACAATATTAAATGAAACATTTACCATTTTTTAGTGACGATTCAATCATTTATATTGATAGGATATTTTATATCTGAGTTTTTACATCTTTTGTCTTGAAGGCAGCATCAGAAACTAATTTTTGAAACTTATAAACAGAGTTTTTGACAATGTTCTCGAAACAAAACATGTACAAACACAAAATCAAGAATTATGCATTCGAAAACGAGGATAAATTGATAGGATACTTACACTGAACAAGCACAAGGCTCCAAGAACGTACAAGGTGAATTTCATGATGACTACTTGTTATTAATAACAATAGTCCCAAAAAGTTGGCTGTTTATATATCATTTTCATAACTAAATTCAATAGATAACTCTATAAATATATAATTTGCAAGTAAAATACAGTGTTTTTTCAACTTGCCATATGAATAATTAAGATAAAATATTTTGAAACTAATTAAAATTGTGCTAATTTCAGTTTTTAAAAAATAAGTATAATTGTGCATTTATTGCTTCTATCAATCTCGATCATCTAATGAAACTGACAATGAAGTGGTTAAGGGTTGCTCCAATTTGATTAAAAAGTTGCGCCACATTCTGCATTGATCAATGCGGGATTTTTTAGTAAACTCAGATTCTTCATATTGACAGGGTTCCTTTGGGAATGCATTTGGAATTTCATTATAACTAAAACAACAATTTAACTTTTAACTATTTTATAAACTAAATATGGAGAAGAAAAACTTACGGAACAGGAACATCGGGTGGAAAAGTGAAGTTTATTGGCTCGATAATAGCTTTATCAAAATTTTGACTTGTTCTTTCTCTTGGTTTCATGATACTGTCATATTCCTCACGAGGAATGCCAATTAAACCGATTGTTACGCCGTGTTCCAGAAGTGTTTCATATGGCGCAGCGAATAACCTTTCGAAATAAACCGTTCTTTCACTTTTCCTAAAAACAAAAATGTTATAATAAGTTCAAAAACATGAAAAACCTTCACCTACGGTTCAAAATTTTTAAATCCTGAACCAATCATTCTGTAATCATGTTCCGTTATCAGCAATTCTTTTATTAATCCACTTCGCTGTTTCAATTTGCTCTCTTTTATGTTGGAGAGACCAAGCAGTACTTTTATTTCATGTGGTGATCGATTGATCAGTTTTACATTTCTACTCTTGTGCGCAAAAGCATTAAACATGTCTGTTCTCACAAGTCGATTGAGTTCTAATTCGATAAGTTGTAAATGTCTTCTTTGGAGTGCGACCCAGACAACTCTTACACTCATACAAAATAATGCCTCCATTAAACGCCTGTCTTTCTCAGATAATGAATTAGTAGACGTGCTTAGATGATGAAATTTCTTCGATTTGCCAATACCCATTATTATTACACTGTATTCGCGTCCAACCATTGCTCGTAGATCAGACAAATTATCACGTACGATATTTTCCAGTATCGTGACGATTGGTTGGCGCAGTTTTCGACGCGCTTCTTCTTTTCTAGCTTGCATAGTGTCTGTCACTTGTAGAAAGTAATGAAAATAAATTATTAATGCCTTGAGGAAGCGATCTACTTCTGGTAGATGAAAATATGTTACAAATTCGACTGTTAAATCTTTCGGAAAGGCCAAGAATAATGCCACATCTTTAACGTCCTGCAGAGTGATGATTTCTGGTTCATTGGGACCAATTCGGCGTTGAAAAAAGCGTCGAAATCGAACCTATATTAATGTTTGCCTAAAGTGTTAAATGTACATTATGAAGAACTGATTGAAAATATACTTTATCCATCGGTTCGACTTCTTCTTTAAATCGAATTGAACTTGGCACGATATGTTTTTGTCGTTTTTGTACTGTAGGCAGTTCTTCATCGATTTTTGTTACCAATTCATGGCTTACAAATACAATTCTTTTTCGTTCACCATCCCATTGCCAATGGCCGTTTTTATATTGAAGTTCATAAGCGTCCATAGCCGACATCGCAGACAATTAATTTATTAGAAAAATAAATGTTTATGTAAATTGATATGATGACAAACTATAAATGTCAATTTTGTGGTGAAATCACATGATTTTTGCGCGTAATTTTTTATCGCGAATTTAAATAATTCAATAGTTAACATAATGAAAAATGCCAACATTTGTGCAACTACAATAGAATTTATTACAGAACCAATCATACTGTATAATATATAACAAATAATCAACTTTCAAAATGATCTACGTCAATATTAGTCTCTATCATTGGTATACACGTCTACGCCATTGCTCATTTTATTGATAAATTTTTGAATCACATTATGTTATATACGAAGAAAGTTTATTCATCATCGTCATAGTCGCCAGGCTGCTTCAGCAGCGTTTGGTGATGTAAATACTCAATGCCATAGTATATCCCAGCACACGCTAGGAACGGCGGCCCTATATACGGTATCTGGCCAACACAACGCCGAATCGTATTCGGAAATCCATGCGAAATCACGCCGTGGAATGCTTTCAAGTGCATCGGCGATACTTTGTAAGTTACAATTCCGTACAGCTTGTGCAAACCGCCAAAACCCAATGCCATTATGAATGTATTGTTCCCTTGTCTTTGGCAGATGATTTGATTTTTATACCGAGTATTTTATACCCGCAGATTATTATTATTATTCTAGACACACACAATTACAATTGAGTCAAACTTCAACTACTAGAGTTGTTCTTTTACTTGTTTTACTTGTTACTTGGCATTTTAGTTATGAATCTATTTCAACGTCTATATTATTCTACTAATATTCATTAAAACAATATAACAAAAACAACATAACAAATGCCTATGTAATATGTGGATGACTAGATTACAATTGTGACTTATTATTCTATTCGCACGCCAGCTTTTAATCTGAACCAGCTGACATGCGTGAACACGAATAGTTGAAGGTAATTTCAACGAATTGATTGAACTAGTTGTGGAAGCATCCGAATATGTTCGAATGCAACCGATTTAAATCTCTGGTATATATGTACTTATAAATTTACAAGTCGCAAGAATCGATAATGCTGGTGTTGCTAAGTGTTTGCATTGAGGGTGATAGGCCTTTTTCAAGACTGCTTTTATCACCGCTTAACTCCTCGGTGATTGTATCGCAGAGTTTTGCGTTTTTGTTCATTGCCTTTTCAAGTTTCTTGATAAACACTTCAATGTCGCCATCTTCTATACCAATGGAAGCAGCGACAGTTAAATATGGCGTCTCGAAGTTCGAAGTGTGCGATCCCCAATCTTTAAATAAATATATTATTATAATAGGTGTAAAGTGCAAATATGTTGTACTTACTTTTGAAGTGATATTGCGCAATAGTTTTGAATCCATCCAAACTAACAACCCGTGTACCGCTGATGTTACGAATAAATAACATGGATCCCAAACGTGTTAAATGTTCTTTTGGGATTTTCGTCAAACTCAACGCGATTGAAATAGGATTATCTTCGTTTATAAGCACACGTTCTTCATGCTGGTCTGCAAATGTTTTCAACTCTTCAACGAGCATAGCGTGTGATTCTTCGCGTTGTTCAACCAACTTCAAATATCCTTCTTTGCCGAGACTCAATAAAGTTATAAACACGTCTAGTATCGGACTAGAAGATGCACGACCCGGGTACAATTTAGCGACGTTTTCCATAATAAATGAATCAAATGTAGCGACTACAGCGCCACCGACTGGTACCATAAAGTTTTTATCGGTACTTTGTACGAAAATATCAACGCGTCCAACACTTTGCGCCTTTTGAATGCGTTGCATGATGTATCGACTTTGTAGACCATACGCGTTATTAATAAGATGTGGAATTTCATGCGTGCGGCAGATTTTTGCGACTTGTTCGATGTTGTCACATGCACGGGGCGCAAAACATGATGTTGTGGTCATCACACAAAGAATATCGTCTTTCTTCAATTCTTTCACCTTCTTCTCGATTTCAACTATGTTTGTCTCAAGTTGGTCACCGTTAACCACCATATCTATGATGACTGGTATGAAACCTGCGGTTAAAATGCTTTTGAAGCATGATTTTTGGTCGATTCGCGACCATATGACGTATTTTGCATTGGGGCGGATGGTACGCAATGACAACATGCTGAGAACCAAACTCATTCCAGTCGCCACTGGTACTAAAAAGCATCGGATTGGAACTTCCATGCCCATGATCTTGAAAATATCTTGAAGGAGACAGTTGGTGAGATTGTAAATGAGACTTGAACCTGCAGCTTTCGGCTGAGGTTCGGTGAGATCGCCGGAACGACCAACACCATGACCAAAATTGTAGTGACGTTTTGCCACCAATGCTAAAATCATCAATTTATTGATATTGAGCTCCTAATTTTGTTAGGAATTATAAAATGCACCTGATGCAAATCTTGCTTCTCTTTCTCCAAGACTGCAATTTCCATGAAAATTATTGCTATCCATTAATGATAGTCTGTTGAGGACCATTTCTATCAAATTGTCTTCCCATCCTTCCTCCGGTAGCTTTTTCTGTAATCGCAATATATCTAGATCCATAGCCCTTGATGTAAGTTGTTAGTAGTAAAAGAATTGTAATGAAAGTAAAGAGAGAAGCCAGAAGAAATCATGCAGCAAAAAATTAGCAATTCAAAGCAATAGCTACAATAGAAAACAACAAATGAACAAATTCTATTAGTAATAAATCAATAACGTTGTTATTGATTGATATTTGTTATTGACGTCCCAGTTTGCCGCTCTCCCGGGCTACTTACATGCTGGAAAAACGTCCGAATCGTGTTTTCCCTGGCGCGAATTGCATCGGACGCTTGTTTCGCGTAAGTGGCTGGAATGATGTTTTGAACGATCTTCCAAAATTCCGAGTCCATTATTGAGCGGATGTAAACACTATTTTATTTATTTTGTTGACTTAATTCTCTAATAATACATAAACAACCGGTCGAGCTCAGCTATCGGGCGCAAAACACTCCCAGGCAATCACGAACGCCTTTGACGTACAATATATTGTACAATCATATGTACACATAATCAATTCAATGTAATTGAGTGACTTATCTCACTTATTAAAAGAGCAAAACTAAATCTTTAGACTCTAATTTAAAACTAAATAAAATTTCTATGATTATAGGTTAATAAATTCCAATTTTTTTAACTTGAATTTGACATATCAATGTAACAGTATATTGCGCATTCATATTTTGCTTGACAGTTGCAGATTAAAATCGATGTGCTCAGGTTACGTGTATTTTCCGGGTCGGATCAATTTTACGAATTTTACAGGGTAACATGCCTGTGGAAAATGATTACATGTGCATCAATTGTGGACACCATGTTAAAGAACTCTACAGAGAGTACAGTCCTACTGTATTAAAACTATCAAGTTGTGTAGGTTGAATTACAAATAAAATAAACAATGAATACAATGAATCATATTTCAGAATGCATGTAATATGGTTGTGGACAAATACATTGAATATGATCCAATTATTATTATAATTGATTTGGTGTTATTAAACAGAGAAGCATACAGACACGTTCTGTTTAATACAGACTATACGGTAGTTTTAAATACCAGAGAGATTTTTGTTTTTAATCTACACAATTGTTTTTAGTTTCATTGGAAGTTATTGGTTATTCTTGAGTTTATGGAAGCTTATTGGGAGTTATCATTTAATACAAAATTGCGCTCGGCTTTAAATGCAAAAACAATCCTGCTGGATAAATTCTACACAGGGGACTTGGAATATTACAGAACATTATTTCAAGTGGTTTGCAGTAAATATTTGACAAATCATTGAATATAATGATTTAATTTAACTTTAAAATTTTAGGCAATGCATTCTTTTTTCTTGCTATTTATTGTTTTACATTATTCATGGAATTGAGATCAACAAGTTGCAACAAACAGCAATCATTCAATGCCCACTTTTTCAAACGACTTTTTAATCAAGTTATGAAATTTATAACTTTGTCTTCATTTGGAATATTTCTCTTTTTACCTTCGCTTATTTGGGAGAAGTTCGGTACTGAGGAATATCATTTTTTGTTTGTGATTATTTACACTGCCTTGTCACAACTTGTAGCTTATACTGGTAAGTGACAAACAAAAGGTTGTTTCGTTTATACATGAAAAACTTTATTCTTTGTTTCAGTATTCTGTAAATGTTCCAAAACATGGTCTATATTTGTGATATTATGCGCCTATGGAATTAAAATCAAAGCGTCTTCGCTCTGTAAGTTAATATTTGGATTATATAATTTATGAACTGTATTTATTGTGCATTTTATAACTTTGTATTATATTGTTTTGCATAGTTATATGCAAAATATATTTGTGACTGAGAAAGAAAAATTTGTAAAATTGACATACGTGCATTAATTCAATAAATGTAGGATAAAACTTTAGTATTCCTATAATTTATTTTGTGGGTATTTTTATTAAAATTGTAGGAGTACTAAAGTTTTACCCTACATTTCATTCTATGCAACCCAAAATGCGGGAATTAATATCCTGTTGAAAGGAATTTGAATTTTACTGCCAAAATCGTAACCTTCAAATAGAGTTACGTAAATGAACCTTGTTTCGCTTAGAAACCTTCGATATAAATCGTGGAATAAACTTCATATGTAAAAATGAACCTTCATTTTATATAACGATGATAACGCTTAGTCTAATTACAAATTTAGTAGGTAAGTGTTGATTTATTTCTATACAATTAACAACCTGTTCTTCAATTGTTTCTAAATTTTAGCATGGCGTTTCAGCACAATTTGATATTAGTCAATTACTTCAATTTTAGCATATTGAAACAACTACCAAAACAAACAATATGGCAGCAGGTTCATTATGCATCTACCCAACAAGCAGCACAACTCAATTTGGATTACTCCAAAGGTCCAATATCTGTCCTACAGCAAAGAATCAAAGGTGGGGAATTATTACGTGATGAACAACAATCAAAGTTATGTGAAGAATTGGAAGAAGTCTATCAGAAAATCAAAACATATGAACCAGCACAAAAAGGCTTCTTTTCAAACCTGTTCAGTAAGAAGAAAGATACCAAATCCCCTGTAGGTCTCTACATCTATGGAGCAGTAGGTGGAGGAAAGACCATGCTAATGGATATCTTTTACAATTGTGTTACCACAAACAATAAATCCAGAGTGCACTTTAATGCTTTCATGCTAGATGTGCATCAGAAAATTCATCAGACCAAATCACAGGTCACAAAAGATTACTCAGACAAAGGCTCAAAACCATTTGATCCCATTCCTATTGTTGCCAAGGAAATCTGTGACAAAGGTTGGCTCATTTGCTTTGATGAGTTTCAAGTAACAGATATTGCTGATGCAATGATTCTCAAACGTTTATTCACGCAATTATTTGATAATGGTGCCGTTGTGGTAGCAACCAGTAATCGACCACCGGACGATCTTTATAAAAACGGCCTACAGCGTTCCAACTTCCTGCCGTTTATACCTGTACTTAAGAAGCACTGTAAGTCAATCCAACTGGACTCTGGTGTTGATTATCGACTCAAAGGACAGGCAGGACAGACACATTACTTTATTCAAAACGAACATGCTAAGGATGATCCTGTTGATGATATATTTAAAATTTTATGTTCCAAAGAGAACGATGTCGTACGCCCGAAGACTTTTAACATTCTAGATCGTAATGTTGAGTTTGCTAAGACTTGTGGGCAAGTACTAGATACGACGTTTGAGGAATTGTGTGACCGGCCGCTGGGCGCCAGCGATTACTTACATTTAACTCAATTTTTCCACACGATTATCATTCGTGATTTACCACAATTGTCTCTGAAGAAAAAATCAGCAACCAGGCGTTTTATAACACTCATTGACGCCCTCTACGATCAGAGAATCAGAGTTGTTATTAGTGCACAAGTCCCACTTCGGAGATTATTTGTCGCCGAACGTCCGGGGGCTGATGAAGAGCCCAGCGACGAAACGCGTATGTTAATGGATGATTTGAAGATAGGCAAACATGATGACAACCTGAAGGCCAATGTTTTTACTGGAGACGAAGAGATTTTCGCTTTTGATCGCACAGTTTCGCGTTTATCCGAAATGCAAACGCAAGAGTACTGGGAATCTCAGGAGCGTTAAATTCAGTTGTAGCACCGTGGTAAAATATTTATTTATTTAATATTTAAGAGGAAATTGATGTTGTTGACTTAATAGGAGTAATTTATCATTCAGTATTGAAGAGAGGTTTATTTTAATTCTGCCAAAGTTTCAATACTTTATCCTTACCCCCAGAAGCGACTCTGCTTCCATCTGTGGACCAATCCACAGCGTAAACTTCATCCGCGTGTCCTGGTAGATCAAATTCAATTTGTCTACTTTTGATATTCCATAATTTGAGTGTCGAATCGGAGCTTCCGCTAACTAACAATCGCGAATCCGCCGAGAATGATACCATGTAGACAGCCTGCACGTGTCCTCTCAATGTTCCGAGAAATTTACCTGTTTTTGCTTCCCAGAGTTTAATTGATTTGTCGAATGACGCCGATGCAAGAATACGACCGTCAGGAGAGAATTTGACGTCGTTTACAAGTTGTTGATGGCCTGTTAGACGCGCCAAGGGCTTCTTCTCCTTATGTGGGTCCCACAAGAATAGTGTGAAGTCATCGGAGCCGGAAACTAGACGTTCTCCAGCTGTTGCAACGACGCCTTCATAACGCTTCAAAGCAAACTCTTGCAGTTTGTCTTTATTCTCCGCAGATATCACTTTATTCGTATCTTTGACTGGATCAAACGGTCCAATTCGATTGATATAATCTGTGTTTAATGCTAGAGTGTTAACCCAATGTGCATGACCTTCCAGTGTACGACATAATGCACCATCAGCAGCACGCCAAACTTTAATCGAACGATCCTGGGATGCTGAGTAGATTAGACCAGATCCGCCCCAGCGGACAACTGTCACGCTCTTTGTATGACTGGACAGTGTGCGTATTGTAGTGCACATAATGGTGTCCCATATGCGAACGTCGCCATCTTTAGAAGAACTAGCAAGATACCTGCATTCACTGTTTTTGTGAAATGGCTCCCATGACAAAGATGTGACCCACTGCTTATGACCCTTCATTGTTTTGCCCAATTGGGCGCCGTTTTCGGGGCTCCAAATAATTATATTGCCATCTTTACAAGCTGATGCTAGTTTTGTGCTATCTGGTGACCATGCAATGCAGAGCACCCAATTATTATGGCCCTTACATGTTTTATAAGGTGTTTGGGTCAAAACGTCCCAAAAACGTACGGTAGTATCGCCTGAACCGGATGCGAGATGACGACCATCAGGGCTGAAACTTACAGATATTACTGCTTCAGCATGTCCTGGTATTGATGCAGTACAGCGAGTCACTGGATGTACTTTGAATATGGCCTGCTGTTCATAGACTATGTCAAGTACACTTTCTGTATTCAAAGTGTTGATGTCCAGGGTGCTTTCTAAGCTTTTTTTAATTTCGGTTTCATTGGCATAAAATAAATATGGAACTGGTTCTTCATTTTGCAGAATTGCGTTGCATATTAATGTAAGTTGTTCTACAGTACATGACAATGGTAAGTCCATCATATCTCCGGCGATTTCGCCGGATTCGGATTTGAATCGGCATAATATGCTCTTTGTTTCAACTTCACTGTCTTGTGTATTCGTCATTTTGTTTGATTATTAAACAGCAACTAAACTATAACTCACACTGCAACTATTTTCGAATCTTTCATTTCATGGGAATGTTGACAAACTTTAGGTTATATTTAAAGCACGTGTTCTTTTTGAATGATGGATTGAAGTGATTTCAAATGATTGAAGCTCAGATTGAAGACGATTTGAACTAAAGCCTTACCAATGTGCTGCTGAACTAAAAGCATTCTAAACGCAATTTAAAATCGTCCAAAGTCTATAAGTGTATATAAGTTAGTTAGTCTATAAAATGTTTTTCAATTTTGTGCAGTGCAAGCGTAATTATTCAATTGGTTTCTTTGCACTTAATAGCGCATAAAACGAAAACGAGTTCTTCATAATCTAAAATAAAAACAAAAATACCAATAAACAATAAAAATACAAAGGAAACCCGAAATATTAAATCCAATGAAGTCTTACCAATGCAAAAGTATTCAAATCCATATTTAACAACCCGCCAAAGGTAAATGTGTTTATTTTGTTTGCACGTTGCATAAGGATAATTACATTCTTAGCCTCTTTTGAATTCATGTACCAATCACTTGAATAGATGGAAAATATTGTCTGATGAAGCTGAAATAGCAAACAAAGTTGCATATCTATAAATTTTACTTTAAAGTTACTCTATACCTTATCCGAAATGAAATCTCCGAAAAAACAGTAGACAAACGCTTGTAGTGTACTGGACGACATCATCATCAACTGAATGTATGTAGTAATAGTAAATATCCTTCACAAAAAAAGAGAAATTTACGTAAATAATATTAATATTTATGCTTAGTTATGTTGTAGTTACCCTTTATCGTTTATTATAACCATTCCCATGCACAACGTTACAACAATAGTTAACAACTGACTTAATAGTTGAAATGAAAACACATCGTTCATTAATTCCAAACATCTTAAATTATAACATTTTATTTATTTTTAAATTTGCTTTAAAATATTCAGAGTCTTACCTGAAAGTTAAAGTTTGTCGTTGTACAACATCAACCATTGTACTGTGATGATTACCATCCTGTTTAAACATATTTTTGTAATTATCGTTAATAATAGTTAAATGCGCGACCAAATGCACTACAACTGTAACGTAAAGATTATCCACTACAGAAATGGACAGAATAAGTGCATATGCAGCGCTACTTTGCGCAAAAAAGTAAACAAGTTGTAGCAATGTCCAAGATTCGTCATCATACCAGTTATTTGGTAACCAAATAAGATAAGGCATCATTTTATTGCTTGAAAAGAGTGCTTTACCAATCATTAGAAACACAGCAGACACATAGGTTATTCTTAAAACAATTAAGATCATTTTTGATACTTTGTAAAATTGTTTTGTTAGATTATGTTCCGCAATGTTTTGTCCTTCTTCTAATTGTTTAATAACGTTTAAAATTTCATGAAAATCTCGTTTCTTTATAATAATTAAAAGACGTTTAACAATTGCCTAAAATATATTATGAGTACCTATAATTAATTAATTAACAAATTATTGATTTATTTTTACTTCAAAAAAAGGTAAAAGTACATCCATTATTTCTACAGCAATATCAAAGTCGTTTTTCCAAGCAAGTGTAACCAAAACACAGCTGTATAATAAACTAAAGAGGATGAGAAAATTCCATATTTTTCCGAATTTTGAATTATTTTGCACATCTAGGCCTAAAACACGAAGCCACCAAAAAGCGTCTAACATTAAATCGTTCCACATTGTGAAATGATACGTGTTGTGCTAAATTTACGCGTCTTTTATAAGGCTATATGAAGTTTTATAATTAATAACTACTTGTCTATGATGGATAAGAACATTTATTCTGAAACTTTGTTAAGTACTTAGTTTTATAACTTGGTATAATCCAATTCTGAGGATATGGAAGCTCCAATTATTGCAAAAATCTATTAAGTACTTTTAAAGAAACTCCTGGATAAATACCTAGCAATTTAATAAAAATTACACGAGTAAAGTCTTTATAAACTTTTTATAAATACAAAAAATAGGAAAGTAATGATAATATGCAGGTTTTTAAAGTTTGGGATGTAAAATAAATGAATGGCAGTTTTCAATGCAGAAGTTTTATTTTGATATTGTCATTAAATCTTAGCCATAATATGTTCAGATGGTTTAGCGACCTGCTTTCCCTTTTGCAGCGTCTTTTGCTTGGCCTGCCATGTCCGCAGCTTGACCTGCAGCGTCCCTGGCTTGACCAGCAGCTTCCTTTCCGGCTTTTGCTGCTGCGTTGGCCGCATCTTTTGTTTGCTTGCCTTGAGCCTAAACATAATTAATTAATTTTTTTTAAACTTTTTAAAAGTATTTTTAATATTTTTTTACTTACATTTACCATGTCCACGACAACCATGCAAACCAAGATGACGCACAGTGCAACACAGACTTTCTTCATTTTGACAGTTTTGTTTTCGTAATAGCTGAATATTGTTCAGGAATTGATTGCTTTATAATTTTTCATCATAAATCGAGCGATATTTATATACGGATTAACACAAAGTCACTAATTTGACCTTCGTTGTTAGTTTAAAGATAATGATGTGTTGTCTTGTTTCGGATATTCATATCCGCCATTATAATTAGAAAATTTCACTTGCGTGTTAACATCTGTTAATGAATGAGAATAATATTTTTTGCGCAACTTGCAATACAGAAATTGATTATCAATGTGGTTTAATCTATAGAGCTGCAGTTATCAACTCGAAAAGTTTAAAGAAATATATTTACATTGTAAGAATTAACCTGATTTGGTCATCAGTCAAATGGTATTGTTGAACCTGTTTTATTAATTTTGATATTTTTAGTAAATATTGCATAATTTTTTATCATCCCATTAAAATATGAATTAATTTACTTATATATCTACATTTCAGCATACTGATTAAATAAAATAATGTAGAATATTTCTGTAAATAGTATAAACACTATAAGCTTAAATACTTTAACTAAAAAACATTAATTTTGTTATTTATCAGCATCAAAATGAATTTTTCAATGTTTATTCTTCTTGGAGCAATTATGATGTTTGTGTCAATACAAGTAGAAGCAGCAGATAATACTACCACTGAAGAAGGTATAGATATCATTTTAACAATTTAAAATACCTTCATAGTGATAATTATATTTTTTGCAGCGACAACAGCAGGAGAAGAATATTGCATACAATGTTTCGCATATTATTCCAAAGAATACTGTGCGTCTATTGGCAGGGGTCAAGTAGAAGCAACATGTCATTCCTGCTCAACATGTATTGAATCCGACTAATACTTATCTACAGCCACTAATAATCAACATATTCATATTACATAGTAGTAAATTACAATTGGAAGGCGATTTGATTTGTGATACTATGTTTACAATTTATGTTTTACTTTAAATAAATAAATAAATAAATCAAAATTAATTTAATCTTCTATGACGAGTTATTACTTGAAATTGACTGCTTTCTTTTTTGAACATAGCTGATAGTAATTTGGCGCACAAATTAAGAAAATAAAAGAATTCACGGCAGGAATCTTGCAATGTTCTGCTTGAGATAATATGTATATTGGTACTTAGGAGTGTTCCTAGGATGGTTAGGGGAAGGGTCGAGTTGAGTCACATAGTGCGGGAGTTCGGATTCCGGGAATCTCCCCCTCCCCCTCTTTTTTATGTGGATTGTACAAAGCTATAAAATCGCATCCGTCAGTGACCGATGTGCTCCACTATTTTGTGTGTTTTTTCGTTTCCAACCAACCGATGTGTTCAGTTGTCCTAAAAGGTTCAAGCGGGACAGTCGCAGGTCGCTAGGTTCTCCTCTTCTTTACCTTCGGATTGCGTTAAGATTGTTGACCGGTATGCTCTGTCAGGATTGTGACCTAAGTCGCACAGAGTTCAGATATTGTAAACTAGAACAGTTTGTTATTGTAAAAATAATATTGCATTATTAAATTACATTATGTATCACGAGTTCAGATAAAAACAACGGTGTTTGACTGGTGGCGCATGGCATTTCATATGGTTTTGCGCTGTACCATAAGTCGTAACTAAAATCCGTGAGTAAAGTACTTTACTCATGGCCTTGACCGTCAGTGATTAAAATTTCACTTTTTGTATCTAAAAACCGTAGAAAAACAGGCGCTTTAAATGTGAAACTGTAATATTATTATTATTATTATTATTGTTATAGTATTAATAATAATAAATTAACAAGTACAGCAATATTTAAGGGGGTATTCTACTCTAGAGATTTCATAAAATCGATTTTTTTTTTGATATTTTCAAAGTTTAACTATTCAAGAATACGTGTACAAGAGGATTTTTCAAAATTTAAATTATTTTCCGAGATATAGCCGTTTTGGTGACGCGGCATCCATACTGGTTCGCATTGAAGCGAAACTTTAAACGTGTTTTTGTCGAAACTGTATTTTTTGAGACGGTACCCACGATTTCTCAACTTCTACTGAACCGATTTACTTGAAATTTTTATAGGGTCTTCTTTATAGACTTTTCTTTAGAATGAACTACGCTTATCCCTAAATTCCGATTTTAAATATTCCAAAAAAAATCTAGTATATCAAAAACAAGGGTGAAAAAATCACTTTATTTCAAACAGTCGCCATTTTGTAAAAAAAAATTTTTTCACTTGTCCGTAGTTCATTCCATTGCGACATTTTTCTAGATTAACAATCTTTTTTTTTTCATTTCATATCACTTGGAGGGCTAAAATCATGGGTACGGTCACGTGCCAATTTTTTGGGACCCCCCACTTTATCACCTGCTGGAATTTAAAATTTTGAACTTTTTTCAATTTTTATTTTTTTTTTGTATTCTCAAAACATTAATAAATAAGTGTTAAAAAAATGGATGGTAAAACTCTTCATAGATTTTTTTTACGGCCTTTCAAAAATCACATGAAATTCATGCCTCTAGAGTAGAATACCCCCTTAATCATTTGCATAATTCACGATTATATAAAAAGTATAATTTAATCTGTAAAATAATCGTTGAACCGTAAAATTATTCCGTTAAAAATGTGAATAAATATTCTGCAAAATCATATAAATATATCAGTGTATAAACAATATAATTCGCGTTGAATCATACAAAACTTCTGCAAAAATGAAACTAATACTTATTGCATCAATAATATCACTATTTGTGTTCATAAAAATACATTCCGGGACTTGTCAGTCTACTACTGTTAGTTCTGCCGACACTACAGGTATTTAACATAAATGATTTAACATTAGTAAATATCTACTAATGTATTTTATAGCATCGCCGCCTGAAACAACACCAACACCAGAAGAAAAATATTGCATTCAATGTTTTGCATATCTATCAAAAGAATATTGCGCATCAATTGGAAAAATGCAAATCGAGGAGACGTGTCATAGATGTTCTGCATGCATTGCCAAAGAAGCAAAGAAAAGATAATCAACTAATTGAATAAATGGCTCTCATGTTAATCAAGAATGTAACTGATATTAAATTTTCACTAGAAATTATCGCTTGGTATTATATACTGATTAATATATGTTTATGTTTTTAATCATGTAACAAAATACTATCGGATGTTTCATTTAACAATGGCGTTTGTAATTCGAACATGCCGTGTTGTTTCTTTTGTTATCAAGTCCTTGGACACTTGATTTTATATCTGCATATCTGCGATAAAATTTACCTCGTGGCGAAATGTGACTGTGGTTTATTCCAAGGCTTGCCACAGCGGCGAAGAGAACTTACCAAACTCAAGATGCGAACAAATAAAATTTCTACATTAATAATTTTTCTGTCTTTCATTTCACTTGTAAAGTGTTGTTCTTACGATCAGTTCTCATGTAGAAATGGGGGTTGTACAAGTGCGCGGTATCAATGCGATGGAGGAAGAGATTGCGGTGATGGAAGCGATGAAGAAAACTGCGTGTGTACTAATGGTCCTTCGTGTTATCGTGAGCCAATATCAACTTGTCAAGGTAACGAGTTTCGTTGCACTTCCGGTGCTTGTATCCCAGAAACGTGGGCATGTGATGGCGACTTTGACTGCGCTGATTTATCCGATGAACACAACGACTGCGGTGAGAATATTTTTTAAATTAAAATTGAAACAAAATAGGAATATACTTATTTTCCATTAGAAAATCGGACTTGTGACCAACACCAATTCACCTGTGATAATGGCGTTTGCATAGACGTGCAGTTAAAATGTAATTTCAAGAACGATTGCGGTGATAATTCAGATGAGACGGTGTGTCAAATTCATCCAGCGCATAGTTCCACTCCGAACCATGTGGCTGACTGTGGAGATGAGTTTCGGTGCAAAGATGGCACCTGTTTGCCGAGGCATAATGTTTGCAACCAAATTATCAATTGTCCTGACGCAAGCGACGAAGGTGGCGAGTGCTCAACTGCTTGTAATACGAACCAATGCGACCACAACTATCAAGCAACACCAAGTGGATGTGAGTGTACATGTCGTAAAGGATTTCGCCTTGCTGGTGATGCTATCACTTGCGTTGACATGAACGAGTGCCTGAAGGATCCACCAGTTTGCAGTCAATTGTGTACAGAAACAGTTGGTTCATACTCCTGCGAATGTTTCAAAGAGTTTGTAATGAGGTAAGGAAATATAACCTAACATAACCTTAAACTTATTACGTATTTTATTATATTAACAGATATGATAACGTTACTTGTAAAAGTCGGGGTGATCCAATGTCTATCTACTTTGCGGTTCGCAACGAAATTCGACAATATGTTCCTTCTCGACGGAGTTTACGTGTTGTATATGTGGAGACATCTGGAGACATTACTTCATTGGAAGTGGATGTAACACGAGAAATGATTTACTATACAATTAGAGGAAACACCACTCTACAACAACTGGGAATTGCAAATGGCTACCGGAAATCTGTCAGCAACGTAGGCGTTGCTAAGCCCATCGCTCTCGATTGGATAACACAAAATGTCTACTTTGCTTCAGAAGCACCCAGTACCGAAGGAATTTCAAGTCAACTCCGTGTCTGCAATGTCGCAGGGTGGCATTGTGCACTCATCAGTGAACCAATCCATTCCGTCACTGCTCTAGCCGTGGACGCCATGAATAAATATTTATTCTACGCTACAGTTCTACCTAATCTTGAAGGAGGTTATAATCATATAGGACCAATCATTCGTTTGTATCGCAATAATCTAAGTAGTAGGCAGTCTAATCACATAATCAAAACTTTCGACAATGCTATCAACAATATCGCGATTGATTACCGCCATAAATATGTTTATGTTGCGAGAGAAGGAACTATTGACAGATTGGATTACGATGGTAATAGATTATTGAATATTGTTGAGACCGTAATGCGCACGCAGGGTTTGAATGTTTTTGAGAACCATTTGTATTTTCTGACAGAATCGGGTCTCACAATGCACAAGTGTCGATTGTATGGGGATGCACGGCGTTGCACTAGCTTCAGATTGAGTGCGGATATTACTGAAATGTTTGTGATTGCGCAGAAGTCGAGGCAGACACCCGGGCGTAACGCTTGTGCTAATTATGATTGTAGCCATCTTTGTTTGCCGAATGAGGTTGGGGCATCTTGTGTTTGCAGGAATGGAGACGTCATTGAAGAGGCTTTGGACTGTACTAATGTAGTTTTGAGTATTGAATAGTATTATAGAGGGTGCATAGTAGAAATAGGTTTAGGAATTTTACTTTTAAATGTATTAGTTTGATGTTTTTCATGTTTTATCTAGGCGACATTAGCTTTCGTTCATATAATGACGGTTAAAGCATTTTCTTTCATTTATATGTATTAATATTCACATTTTTTTAAAACTATTGTTAATGCAATTAATTATAATAAATAATAATAATAATGCTAGAGTTTGGGCTATTTATAAATTGCGAACGATCAAACGAATCATCGGACTGGCAGTAATTTCTATTCTTAGTTATTACACAGTATTTAAGTTTCTTAGCAACGTATAAACATCCTCTCATACCAAACTTTTGTTTGATCAATATACCTACTCAATCATACAGTATCCACTCTCTTACAAGATGAAGTATACTAGCCAAACTGGACTTCTTTCAAGTGTTACAAAACACACAAAAAGAGAACAGAAACATGTAAGAATTTGTGTTATACATTGGAATGACTATAAAATCACACATTTTTTATGCCAGGTCATGTTCAATCTGGAAGTGGACGCAAAACATGCACCATTCACAACTAAACCCTTCACAGGACTCTTCAACCCGTTCGCTAGAGGATGTTCCATTTTGTGCAATCATCCTGCTGTTCCGGAAGTCAAAAAGATGTTACAAAGAGCAAAAGGATATTTGGTACTAATTTTATTTAATCACTAGCTTTTGCCCACAACTTCGTCCCGGTAGTGTTTAATAAAAATGTAATTCGCTTTTACTCTCTTGTTCTAGACATAGTATGTGTCAATTCTATCAATAAGAATCGCAATTAATTATATAAAGAATGACTTGAAATGCACGTCAGTGCGCCATCTAGGATTCAACTATTTAACTATAACTATGATTGAATCTCAATGCCAACTTTTATCCTATAGAAAAGGGCTGCCTTCAGGGGTTTTCTTGACAATTATTCGAATTTTTCTTGCCTTAAAAACCATCCTTGGACATTAACGAACACTTTAAAAGAAAGAATTGACCAAATTAGTCGAGGCGTTGTTGAGTTATGCGGTTACCAACAGACTCTGCGATTTATTTTTACATTATAGATATTATTTTCAGGGTGAAGAAGGAAAATCTGTAATCTTGCCAGACGATGTAGCTGCAATACGTGCTGAATTGGAAGTGTTCCAATTAAAAAACAAAGGATTATATTCCGGGCCATCTAATCAAGTGATGGAACAACCTGACATTACTGAAATAGTCCCGGAAGAAATGTTTCGAAAATATACCGAGACAGATTCACGTCCACTAACGCCTACTCCAACATTAGCAAGCGCACATACAAGGGCTTCAGCGACACGAAGATGTGTCACACCTGATCCAATCGTAACATCAGAGATTAAAGAGAAAACGCTGTTGGTATTAGATTTACGAAGAAGTCATAGTCAAGAGACCTTATCTTGCTATGGCGGTAGTACTAGTATGAATGAAATGCCTTTGATTCGAATTATGAATGTAAATTTAACGCCTGCATCATCACGACACAGTTTACTACTTGAGAAAAGACAACAACATGGTAATAATATGCAATTGTTTAAAAATATGTCCAAATCACCCCGAACGCTGGAAGATGATAAAACTCGTCTGCAGTTTTCTAGTAACAACTTAAACGTGCCAGTTGATGATCTAGATGATCAAGATGATCCAAATTCAGATAATAATGAAGAGTATATTAAAAGACGTGGAAGAAAAAGGAAGAAACGACGTGCGTCTTCAAGTGTTTCTATTTTTCGTACCACTACCGATCCGGAAACACTTGTGGCTGGATTAACAACGGAATCAAAGAATCCCAGCGCGCGGCCATCTTTAAACGAACAGCACCTTGAGGATATGTCGAAATTTGTCAAAGATAAACTGGATTCAGATCGATGTTTTAATGTGGATTCGTTCTTAGACTATGAAAGTTTACGACAATTGCGTCGCGAGCTAACGAATGAAGTTGTCGACATGGAATTTGACGTTCGACGTAAAATTGCTCTCGAAGAAGCGTTGAAGACTATAACAAACATGCGTGTTGATTGTGACGAATTGAAACAGTTGCAGAAACATTGTTTTCAGCCTCAAATTGATTCGAATTTTAGGTTTAGTATACCACAAAAGTTTTCCAGGGGTAGTGTTCGATTTGAATTGCCAATGGATAGTCGTGTTTTAAATCGTCAGTTCTAATAAATTTATTTTGTAATTTATTGATTCTGTTATGTTTTTAGACATGACACCAATGGAATATATTCAAGATCATGTTTATATTTCAAGCGCCAGAAAATTACTCTACGTGTTTGTTTTTAATTTGTATCGTATTCGACCTGTAATCGATGAGGGAGAAAACATTCCTTCAAATGATCCACAGTTAAACAATAAAGAATCTGATGTTAAAGATGGATCGGAATTGCATCTGCCAGTTGATGATATTATTCGAGAAATATCTGGAACTGTAAGTAGATGTATTTGCACGTGTTTAAAGTTATCAAAATGATTTCTGGTATTTTTTAAATAGAATATAATACCAGCTCTTGGTGTATTAATGAATAAACCATTAAATGAAACGCAAGCAACTAATTTTCACGCATTAATGGGATGGCTATTTGATGCAACGTACAGTTTTCGTACATTTAGTGCAATTTGCGCTATTTGTGAACGATTGTTAGCTGCTGAGTTTTATCCAAATTTGCCAGGGAGACAAGAAGATCCATGTGAAGCTGTAAAAAAAATATTAATGGTATAAATTGATGTTTTTCCCTGATTTATACTGTTTTAGATTGAAATAATCGATTTTGAATCGCTGGAGAAGAAAACAAAGGGCAAGGTGATGGATGAAAGATTGCTGAAGTTATTGCACATGTTAAAAGTGGCATAGCAAGTTTGCTAATAAGTGTTTACGGTCCAGTGTATATTTTTATACATTGCATATGTGTTTGTCTGTGTTTTGTAGTTTAAATTCTTTAGAAATTCGGTTGTGATTAGTTTGATTATCAATGTTATTCAATGGCAACACTTGCGTCCTCTGGTATAAATAGTGTGTACTAAAATTTTTACGCACAGTCAAACCTTCAATCAAACCATACATCTAACCAATAAATTTGTATACAAACTGAGTTACTAACGTTTACTACCACTTACCCAACTGCAGACTTAATAACAATCCAAAAATGGAATCAAAACCGCAAAAGATGCCCAAAGTGGCAAAGGTAAATAAATCACACATTTACTAAATCTTAATTTAAATATATTTCACATACTTTAGGTGAAAAACAAAGCGCCAGCCGAGATTCAAATCACCGCCGAGCAACTTCTCCGCGAAGCCAAAGAACGCGACTTAGAAATCCTTCCACCGCCTCCGAAGCAGAAAATCTCCGATCCAGCCGAACTCGCCGATTATCAACACCGTCGCCGCAAACAATATGAAGACAACATTCGTAAAAACCGCACATCAATGCCGAACTGGTTCAAGTATGCACACTGGGAAGAATCACAGAAAGAAATCCAACGCGCCCGTTCGATTTTCGAGCGAGCGCTGGACGTTGACCACAGAAACATTACCCTATGGCTGAAGTATGCTGAGATGGAAATGAGGAGTAAGCAAGTAAATCATGCAAGAAATCTTTGGGATAGAGCAGTTACAATTCTACCCAGAGTGAATCAGTTTTGGTATAAGTATACTTACATGGAGGAAATGTTAGAAAATGTCGCTGGTGCTCGCGCGGTGTTTGAGCGCTGGATGGATTGGCATCCTGATGAACAAGCTTGGCAAACTTACATAAACTTTGAATTACGTTATAAGGAAATTGATAGAGCACGCGAAATTTACGAAAGATTTGTCATGACTCATCCAGAAGTAAAACATTGGATAAAATACGCGCGTTTCGAAGAAAATCATGGCTTTATTCACTCAGCGCGTAAAATTTATGAACGTGCGATACATTTCTACGGTGATGATCACATGGATGAAAGACTTTTCATTGCTTTTGCGAGGTTTGAAGAGAATCAAAAGGAGCATGAACGCGCTCGTTGTATTTACAAATACGCTTTAGATAATATTTCAAAAGAAAACGCGAAGGAATTGTATAAAGCATATACGATTCATGAGAAAAAATTCGGTGATCGTAGCGGTATTGAAGATGTCATTGTTTCGAAGCGTAAATTTCAATACGAGCAAGAAATTGCGCAAAATGCAACAAATTATGACGCTTGGTTTGATTACATACGATTGATTGAAGGTGAAGGTGATGTAGAGGTCATTCGAGAGACATACGAACGCGCTATTGCTAATGTTCCACCTACAAAGAACAAACACTTTTGGCGTCGGTACATTTACCTCTGGATTAACTACGCAATCTATGAGGAATTGGAATCCCAGGATTTTGAACGCGCTAGACAAGTATACAAGGCCTGTTTAGAGTTGCTACCGCACAAGGTGTTTACATTCAGTAAGATTTGGTTACTATTTGCCCAGTTTGAAATTCGTCAGAAGAATTTACAGGCGGCGCGAAAGATACTTGGTATGGGGATCGGTATGTGTCCCAGGGATAAGTTATTCCGTGGATATATTGACATCGAAATTCAGTTGAGGGAGTTTGATCGATGTCGTATTTTGTATCAGAAGTTTTTGGAGTTTGTTCCGGAAACCTGCGTCACTTGGATGAAATTCGCTGAGTTGGAAACATTGCTAGGTGATTATGACCGTGCGCGTGCCATTTATGAACTGGCAATATCACAGGTACGGCTTGATATGCCTGAATTGCTGTGGAAATCATATATTGATTTCGAAATTGCTCAAGATGAGACTGAAAACGCTAGGCAACTGTATGAACGACTTCTTGAGCGCACGTCGCATGTGAAGGTGTGGATGTCATATGCGAAATACGAACTTAATTGTGAGTCTAATAAGGAAAATCAAATGAATATTGGTTTGGCTAGAAGAGTGTACGAACGAGCAAATGATGCGTTGAAAAATTCCATGGAGAAAGAAGCGCGTGTATTGCTGTTGGAGGATTGGCGTGATTTTGAACAAGAAAATGGCGACGATGACACAAGAGAAAAAATGCAGAATAAAATGCCGCGCAGGATTAAAAAACGACAGAAAGTCGTGGATGAAGATGGGGTTGAGCAGGGCTGGGAGGAAGTGTTTGATTATATCTTTCCGGAAGACGAAGCTGGTAGACCGAATCTTAAACTGCTGGCAGCTGCAAAGAACTGGAAGAGGAATGTTGATGTGGATGTTGCTGCGGAGTCACAAACAAACGAAGCACAAATTTCTAAAGAAGGATATGAAGAAGGCGTTGTTCGCAGTGGAGAAGAAGCCGATGACAAATAAACACCGTTCTTTAATTTAATTCTACTGGGTTAAGTAAGAATATTTTATTTAATTTAAAGAAATTCCAAGATGGACGGAATTTTCATGTTAAAAAAATATTTTAAAATACTTTTGAATATCTCAAGATAATAATAAACTATAATAATGATAATAATAGTTTATTAACTATGCAATATAAATTGCTGAAATCAATCGTTGCTATTCTTCAAAACTTAGTTCGAAATCAGTAGATTAGTGTAATAATCTATAAAATCTGCAACCCAATCAACAGTTATTAACCTCCAACAAAACCTAACGACCACATGTTCCAGTACCGCGGCTGTTGGGTGGTTTGCGTTGTTTGCATTACTCGCTCACGGGTTATTCATAACAAATTCCCTTTCCCACACTCCTCACACCAATAATCCAAATCCCCAATACGGCGCTTCGCGGCATGCCGTTTGCTGCCTTAAATCCGTTCGCAGCATAAACGTGCGTGCGGCGCGCAATTCAACACCGCTCGAATTCCAACGGCAAAAGTGCGTCCGGCTCAATTCAGCCATTCTAACAGGTTTTTAAATTAATTTGCAGCACGCATAGCGCGCATTTTTAAACGAAATTAGGTTAGCCGTGCATACGACAACTTTAAAAGTATTCAGAACAAAGTGATGCAATAAGCAAGCACGTTTTCAATCCGTTCAACGAATCGATCGGTGTGAGTTGTGCGACTTGGGGTTTAAAAATGACGAATCCAAGTGAATTAGATTTGCCTTCGCCGTCTGGTGACATGCTATGTCCTAAAGATAACAACCCTTCTATAAATGGCGATGCCTGCAATGCGAGTGACAATAAAGTTCGAATGAAGAAGGAGCTGGGGCTGTTGGAGGGTGTTGCTATCATCTTGGGCATTATATTTGGCTCGGGTTTGTAGTTATAATTTGATAATATTTAATGAAAGTTAGTAAAAATTATTCGAAATTGATTCAAAACCCCTAATTTCTATGTAAACTGTTTAAAAAAGATTGAATGATTTTGTTGTTGTTTTATCTTATCGCATTTCAGCTCAAATTATGTACTTAAAGCTGCATAATTTACGCAGATTATAATAACAACTTTAAAATTAGTAGTAAAACATGCATAAACATGTAAGCAACATAGTAGTACAGCTAATTCCTTGTCAATAGTAAAATATTTACTTGTTTTGTGTTTCGTCGCAAGAATGCTAACAATTACGGCGTTAAGTGTAAAATTAAACAATAGCTTGTGAGTCATCCACTAGTCTGAAAAGTAATTGAAACTTAAACACAATTCAATTGGTATCAATTACAATTGATAGCTTCACATACTCCAATGTTCGTTTACTTAGAACTTAATGAATTAATTGATCCAATTTCTGTTTAGGAATTTTCATATCACCGAAAGGAGTAATTCAAGAAGTCGAATCAGTCGGACTATCATTGGTTGTGTGGGTGCTCTGTGGTTTTCTCTCAACGATCGGAGCCCTATGCTATGCTGAATTGGGTACAAGTATTCCCAAATCAGGCGGCGATTACGCCTACATTTACGAAGCCTTCGGCGAACTTCCGGCATTTTTATACCTATGGGCCGCCAATTTGATATTTGTGCCCACGACCAACGCCATCATGGGTCTTACCTTTGCAAAATACGTCATCCAGCCGTTTTTCCCACAATGTGCACTTCCTGGACTGGGTGCGACTTTAGTAGCGGCTGCGACAATATGTTTTTTATCGTTTTTAAACGGCTATAATGTCCGAGCCACCACACGTTTACAAAACATATTCATGGTGTGCAAAGTCGGCGCGCTGTGCCTGGTTATTTTGATCGGTGTGGTGTGGATGGGTTTGGGGCATGTGGATAACTTCGATCGGCCATTTGAAGGCACTACAAGTAATCCTGGAAAGGTGGCCAAGGCGGTAGTCTCAGGTTTCTTCTCGTATTCGGGCTGGAACTATTTGAATTTTATGACTGAAGAATTGCGAAATCCGTATGTGAATCTTCCGCGAGCTATTTATATTTCTCTGCCGTTGGTGACGAGTATTTATGTACTGGCGAACATGGCTTATTTGGGTGTCTTAACGCCTGAACAAATGCTTGCATCGGATGCCATCGCAGTGGTTAGTATAATTAATTTTTCAAGACATTAAATCAAAATATTTGTATACATTTTATCTTGTTTAGACTTTCGGTGATCGTGTTTTGGGCACTTGGTCTTGGATTATTCCACTGCTTGTGGCGATATCAGCGTTTGGTGGGCTGAGTGTTCATGTGATGGCTTCGTCTAGAATGTTATATGTTGGCGCTAGGAATGGACAGTTTCCGGAATTCTTGTCACATTTGTCTATGGATAGACTTACACCGACACCATCTTTATTTTTTCTTGTAAGTCTTAAGAAAATTCTATTTTTCTGGCTCGGAATTGATATTTATGTAACTCTTTGTTTTTATTATCAAAAAATTGAAATTTCACCGATAGTTTATGCAATAAGAATATAGTGTAATTGCTTTCCGTAAATTGTGAAATTTCTTATCAATCGAATATTTATTTATTATTACATTTATTGCAAAATGTATGAATTTATTATTGTTATTTTCAGAGTGTGTTATCGTTATTCATGCTATTAACCAGCGATATCCACCAGTTGATTACGTATTGCACGATTGTGGAAACCGGCTTCGTTTTGCTGTCGGTCGCCGGCATGATTTACCTGCGCTGGAAACGACCGAACATGATGCGCCCCATTCGTGTACATCTCGGCCTGCCTATCCTCTTCATCCTACTTTGTGTCTTCCTCATCATTATGACATGTCTGGATGCCCCGTTTGAGGTACTCATGGGTATTCTCATCACTTTAACTGGTGTACCCGCATATTATTGCGGCATCGTATGGAAGAGCAAACCCAAAGTGTTTAGGAATATGATGCGTATGTTTTTGAATGCTTTTCATACAAACAGGTTTTTTATTATTATAAATTTGTTTTTGTTTAGGTGAATGGACCAAGCTCTCACAGAAAATCTTCTTCGCCGCTCATGAGGACAAGGATTTTGATGAATAATGAAACGAAGCGTTTTCACTGTGATCGATTTTTCTATATATCGACTTGAATACTTAAATTTAAAATTCGATGTTAGCGTTTTCGATGCATTTTCGCATCATAAGTATTATTTTTTGCGTTCGCGTTTTTTAAAGCTTATTTTACCAAAAACAATCTCAGTGCTACGAATCCTCATTGATGCCAAAAATTATGTATTATTTTAGTATTTTTAAATTAACAAGTTACCAATGTTATGTTAAACCTCGTTTTTAAATGTTAACTGACTTTTGATTGGAATTTTATGATCGGATGGAGGCTATTATCTCAACAGTTCTATTCATGTATAATACACAGCTAAATTATGTATGTTGACGTTTTTCACAAAGTTACCACTGTTGGTTGATTGTATTTCAGGTGTAATGAGTTGTTTTTATGAATAAAAACTTGAATTTTACAGTATGCATTCCGGTTTATATATAATATAATCCTTTTTGTTTCTTAGCATTTGAGAAAATTTCATGATACATATTGAGAATTATTTCGGTTCAAATTCATTCTCTTCTTCCTCTACTTCGATACTAACGTGCAATTAAGGTTGCCTAACTTTAACTATGCAACTTAACCCCAATCCACGCACGTTGCAGATCTGTAAACAGTTGAAACTAAAGCAACTTCTTGTTTTAGTGAACGAGTAACAAAATGCAAAAAGAAACTAAGTCGACAACAAAAAACAACCCCAAATTAAACAAAAGTAATAAACCACAGAATGGCAAGAAGAAAATCAAGGTTTTCACCAAAAAGAAAAAAGCCAAAACACCTGAGTCTAAACTGATTCAAGAACTACAAGAAAAATACGATGCTGTAAGTTTTCCCAATCAATTGTTATATCTTCAAAAATTAATATGTTTGTATTTGCAGATTGATTTATCAGCAGTAACTTCATTTAATGATATTCCTCTTTCCTCACAAACTATGAAAGGCCTCAAAAAAGGTGGTTACACAAAACCAACAGAGATCCAACTTCAAACACTGAAGCAGAGTCTAAAAGGAGAGGATATCCTTGGTGCTGCACAAACTGGATCAGGCAAAACACTAGCATTCTTGATTCCTGTGTTAGAAATATTATACTGTCATCAGTTTACAAGAACTGATGGTGTTGGTGCTGTTGTAATAACTCCAACAAGAGAGTTGGCATATCAAATATTTGAGGAATTGAGAAAGATTGGTGAATTTCATGAGTTCTCAGCTGGTTTGGTCATTGGTGGCAAAGATTTAAAGTTTGAAAGGGAGAGAATGGATCAATGTAACATTATTATTTGCACTCCTGGCAGATTGTTGCAACACATGGATGAAAATCCATTATTCACTTGTGATAATATGAAAGTTGTGGTCTTGGATGAAGCAGATCGCATTTTGGACATGGGATTTGCTGAAACAATGAATGCCATCATTGCGAATTTACCTCCAATACGCCAAACTTTGCTATTTTCCGCAACCCAAACGAAATCAGTGAAAGATTTAGCACGGTTGAGTCTAAAAGATCCTTCATATGTTTCCGTACATGATAATAAAGAATTCAGCACGCCTACTAGCCTACAACAGAGTTATATGGTTTGTGAGCTGCATGAAAAGATTTCCGTACTTTACAGCTTCATCCGCAATCATTTAAAGGCGAAATCTATTATTTTCTTTTCGAGTTGTAAGCAAACCAAATACGTGTATGAAATATTCTGTAAATTGCGGCCTGGTTTGTCGCTTATGGCGTTGTACGGGTCACTACATCAGTTGAAGCGAATGGAGATTTACCAACAGTTCTGTAATAAAACACACGCAGTGTTATTCGCGACTGATCTCGCAGCAAGAGGTTTAGATTTTCCGAATGTGAATTGGGTCGTGCAGGCGGATTGCCCTGAAGATGCGGAGACTTATATTCATCGTGTTGGAAGAACAGCGAGATATCACCGTGGCGGTGAAAGTTTACTTCTTCTACTTCCTAGTGAGATTGCAATGGTCGACGAGTTGCAAAAATATAAAATACCAATTGAAAAAATTGAGTGAGTTTTGATTATTAACTTTTTATCATAAATATAACTTTTGCTTTGTAATTTTGTAATTTTGCAGCATAAACCCGGATAAATTAACAAACCCAGTTCGAAAAATGGAAGCTTATCTAGCGAAAGATCATGAACTAAAAGATACCGCACAACGCGCGTTTAAATCATATTTCAAAGCTGTGTATCTAATGAAAAACAAGAAAATCTTCAACGTGAAGATTTTAGACACGACTGCGTTTGCCCATTCTCTGGGCATGGCTATCGCACCTCGAATTCGTTTTCTTGAACGACTAGTACGTAAAGATGGTTTGAATGTCAATGATGGTGAGCATAAATTCATCGAGAATCCGCCACAGAATAAAGTTATCAAGTTTGAATCTGACGATGAAGATAGCGTACCCAAAACGGTAACAAAATCAAAAGTTAAACAATCTACTGTTACTTCCACATCAACAAGTAAACTTGGTGATGATTCAGATGAAGACGATGATGATGACATGTTGCAAATTAAACGTGCGGATCATGATATTGAAATGCCCGAGAATTTGGAAGAATTAACCATAACAGGCAGAAAGAAGAATAAACCATTGACAAAAGCAGCGCTTGCTAAGAAAATGCTCAACAAACAAATCGTACCCAATAAAAAAATTACATTCGATGATGACGGTGAAGTGATTCCGGATGGCACTAAACAAAAACAGTCTGGTTTAGCCCAGGAATACGAAAATGAAGATGAGGGTGGTATTAATATCGAGAAAGCCAAGGCTATACTGCGAGAGGAAGATCAGTATGATAAACAGTTGTTTAAAGAGAAGGTGAAGGCTAAGAAGAGAGAAGTTAAGAGGAAGTTAAAGGAGCAGAAGAAGGCGAATAAAGTTGATGAGGACGAGGGTGTGGATGATTTTGGTAGTGATGATGAGGAGGGCAGTGAGCCTGATTTGTCCTGGATGCCTGATCCTGATAAATTATATGGTCCTGCAGCTGATGAAGAGGATTATAATCTGGCTACGTATGAAAGTGAAGAAGAAGAGGAAATTGCACCTCCACCACAAATTAAAACTAAGTATGACATGTTTATTCGTTTTTGTGGACATTTGTGTATTCTGTTTGCTTTTGTTTACAGGAAGCGAAAATCTAAGCAGATTGATGAGGATACCAGTGACAAAGAGAAGACAAAGTTGAAAGCAAAGAAGAAAATGAAATTAGATAATGTTTCGGCATTGAATGTTAATGAAGCCGAAGAATTAGCTATGATGTTGTTGGGAAAATAAACGAATTAATATTCGACTGTAAAAAATGTTTTTTTTTATCCCCAATTTACTAAATGTGTTTAATAAGTTGCCTACATTCAGTCCCCATTAATAGTACGCATAAAAAATCACTATTTAATCTGTAGGCTTAACTTTCTTTTGTTTATGTGATCACATTACAGCAATAAATCATAGTGAATTATTAGCATAAGGAATAGTAACACCAACACCCTGTGCGTGACTCGCGAGAATCGCGTGCGGAATGCTGTATTGCTAAATGCTATCCATTCTAAAACCGCGACGCGGCGGTTATTTTTACCGAGAAAAAATCGAGATTGTTGGAAGAGCGACTATAATAACAACGCGCAAGCACGTCCGAGGCTGCTACTGCATTACAACTGTTTGTTAAGCCACACATTCTAGAAAAATAAATAACACTCTACAAAATTTGCAAATTTGATACGTGTACAACTTGAATTGCAAAATTCAAACAAAAACAAATGAAATAAATTTGCGTTTCGCTTGTTTTATTGTTAAAACGACTGAAATGTATTGTATGATATGCAATTTATGCCCCTTGTGGCTGAAATGAAGCGCATCCAAGGGAATCAATGAATATTGTTTCGAAACGTTTATGTGGTCACGCTCTGCGTGCCTCTTTGTGAAATTCTATTGTTGGACGTTAATATATCGATAGACGAAGCTAAAAGGGCATGTGATATTCAGCAGACAGACAATAGGATGAAATTGGTGAAATCACCCCGGAATATACCCCGTCCACCCCTAGTCATAGGGATGATCAGAAGATAAACAGGCAAATGTTCGCATCTGTTCAGTAATATGTACATAAAACACGACAGGAAATGAACATTTTGTATCGAAGTAATTCTGATTTTAACTTGATTTTGTAATGGCTGTATAATTATCTGTTTGTTTATTCACCGGAAGCCGATGCATTTGCTATGAATACCAAATCATTGTTTTCTTTTTTTTGCTTTGATCGAACACATTCTTCAAATATGAAACGAAATGACAGAACGCAACGTGCGATAAATACCAAAAGTGGACATGTGAGTCATACAATTGATTAACGTATTAATTAAACTAGCCTGCAAGTCAATGGTGTTTTGTATTTTATTTTATTTTGGTCATAACAGCAACAGATGAGTCATTTGTGTTGAATTGAAATCCTAATGATAAGTACATGTACGCGCATATAAATTTTATAATGATGAATATTTGTAATGAGGCAGATCACGTGGTGCCAAACATTTGCTTATGTGTATGTACTCGAATAAAAATGTCATTTTTTAAACCTGATAGCATTTTGGCCTCATAATCTAAATTACAAAATTTATAGCAGCTGATACAATGCTTATAATACATGTAATAAAATATTGTATATCCGAAGTTGGAGAATAATATTGTACATATTATTACCTGGAGAGATGAAATTCACGAGCAAATTCTGGTTCTGGACACTCAATTAAAAAATAGTTGCAAGATAAAACAAACTTAGAATAAAAGCGTTAAATTAAAACATAGGTTAGTTATGCACATACACATATTGCGCATGCGCCGCAGCGCGTATTATTAACCTATTATTTGGCTACAGAAAAAATTCAAATTTCTGGATGTTTTTGCAACTAATCGAGAACAAAGCATAACTTTCGATTTCCACCGTATTTACCGGAATAGACATTACAGGAAACACCAAAGATAGTTATTCTGAATAAGCAACATCTCCATTTTTAGCCAAAACGCCCAAACAATTCGAGATCAATCTGTCATTACTCATAACAGACTCAACACGATTGTAAGTTGCTCATACATACTTCACATATTCCAACAAAAGGTAACAACAAATATTTACATCTAGCGTCGCACCATAGTTCTATTCAAATTCAACGCGTGGGCTCCGGCATCTGAAAAAACTTCTGGAACCATTTCCAATTCCAATCTCAACGTTGCCGGACACACGCACACAAACAATCCGCTGCTATTTACGCCTGCATAAATATTCAAATTTGAAATTGCTCCCGTGGCTCCCGAGTTATTCTAGAAAGAGAGGCCCCACTAGAACACTCACGAATAGATCTGGCAACCGCGAGCCGGGCCAGGTTGTGAAAGCTATTTAAAACATCGCCAGTGCGTCGCCGACGGTAGATCAGAACGAATCGTGACCGCAGCGCGTTCGAGTGAATATCACCAAAGCGAATCATTGCAAGTGCGATCAAGTTGAGTGCATTCATCTAATAAACAAACAACAATCACACAACAAGATAAAATGGAAGGCAGCCGACGTGACATCCCCATCAAAATGGGCGACTTCAGCATCATCGACACCGAGTTCAGCAGCATTCGCGAACGTTTCGACAGCGAGATGCGGAAGATGGAGGACGAGATGAGCAAATTTAGGCACGAACTGCTCAACAGGGAGCAACAGAACTTCTTCAAAACCTCCACCAGGTAAAGCGAACACATCCAGAGCACATTCAATGCGTTTGACATTCCTTCCGCGCAGCTAAATTTTAAAAACATCTGCTGTTCATTTAAGTTTATTCTACAGCGCTAACCAAGAGAGGATGACATCATGCACGATGCTTTTGTTTGATATTCTAATTCAAGAGTTTGTGAATAGTTCGTCATTCGGTTATTCGGAAAACCTGTACTCAATAGATCCGTGGTTAATAAGTATATATTAACAATGTAGTTATTGTTGATTTACATGGAAGGTCAGCACGGTTTTTCACGGCCGTCGAGGATTTGCATTCGGCGCAAATGTTGTTATCGTGTAATACGTGTCGGTTGCTAGGAAACGTTGTTATCGATTTGCTATTTAAAAATTTGGGCCATGTGCAATCTGAGTAGTGGAGTAGTGCAGCTAGTCATGGTCGATTTTTGTACAAATCGCCAATTGATTTATATCTTGCTATTCATCGACAAATCACGATACAATAATAATTATTACAATAAAAAATATGTGGCATGTTGTTGTTGAACTGCGTGGGTTCTTCGCCAACCCACTTTTGATTAATTTCTAGATAATTTCCGAAAATGTCAACAGATGCACACATGCGTCTGATATTGAATGTTTTCTTGCATAATTAGGTCAGCCCGCAGACGCAAGGCCAGTCGGTCTCACGGTGGAATACTATAAAAGGGAAGGAAAGCCGGACTGGAAACAAACGCGCGCGCCACGCACATGTTTATTCAACGACCTGCACATGTCGCATATGTGCAACTCTGGGGTTTGGGCCCGTGCGACTTGTGTAATTTGTAAATTATCTGCATAAAATACATGTTAAAGCCGGCGGTTATTTCGCGTTCATGTGAAAAGCCTATTTTCGGCGCGTGACATCATTCGACGCGTGCTCTAAATTTAAACACAAAAACTGGCTCTCCGAGTGAAAACAGAATCCCTTGGGCTGATCGCACCGCTTCTAGACGCGTTACTCATCACAAATCAAATATCTTTCTAATGACTATGAAACCAATGCGATACGATCCACAGGAACGCGCTAACTTGACACTTATTAACTTTGCATGACTTACGAATGCGAGACGCTCTCTGGAGGCAGTAAAAAGTCTAGTACTAGTAGTACCAGCAGGTGTGTACTAACTTTATTTAACCGCTATTCTTTCAACTTCTAAGATTTCACTTTGCTTCAAATAAAATCTTTAATTTACGCCTGCCGGTTATGCGGCGATGATTTTAATGGTTATTTATGTCGTCTAGCACAACACAACAATCCACACAGCAGTCCCACGGTGCTGATTTGACCAGCCCGCGTGTTGGCACCGGTGGCGAGGTGAAAACCTGGCTGGACGACCTCAATTCGCCGTTGATTCAGGAGGACGGACAGAGCAAATGCCTTAAACTGCGTTTCGACGTCAGTCAGTACACACCCGAGGAGATTGTCGTCAAGACTGTTGATAACAAACTTCTGGTAAGCAAAAACAAGCAAACATATAACAATACGATTACAATAATATTTTTGTTTTGTTCATTTGCAGGTACATGCAAAACATGAAGAGAAAACTGAATCGAAGTCGGTCTACAGGGAGTACAATCGTGAATTCCTGCTGCCTAAGGGTACAAACCCCGAATCGATCAAGAGTTCACTCAGCAAGGACGGCGTGCTGACTGTGGAAGCCCCGCTGCCGGCACTCACCGCCGGAGAAACCATGATTCCAATTCAACACTAAGCTTTTATTTTTATTACGTACAAACTTGACGGAGCTGATGAATTTCTTCTAATTTAATTTTGGCCTAAACCTAAACTCACTAAGAATCACTATTCTGTTTTCTTTTTCAAATCGATTAGAATCGACATTTTCGTTACTTATTGCTTACTCAATGTGAAATGTGTTGTGATACGCAGCTATAAATTCGCTAACTCGAATCGACAAATTCTGAAACAAAAGAAAAACACTCAAGGAATGGAAATCTAAGTTATACAACCAGCTATACAGATATTTATAACTATTTACGTATTGTATAGAAGAGAATAAATTATTATTGTATATTAAACATCGTTTTTTATTCTTGTGCGCTCACACACGATACTTGAAATACCAGACAATCGAAATGGCGGTGATAACAGGCACGAAGTAAACAAATTTGTTTGTTTTTTGTTTACTTGGATAGGTAATCTTATCCACTCGGGCATTCTCCTTTTCCCAGCGGGTACAACGTGCCTGTAATTGTTTAATCAGTTTTCTTGCATTCTTCATTTGTTTCTCAATCACTTCAATATCTGTTATAACTTTATCATCCCAAACTTTTACGTTTAATCGTAAATATTTTAGAGTGGCTTGCATCGTTACATAATGTCTGACTGCACTGAACATTGTGAAGCCAATATCATATGTTCTAAAATAAGGTTTAATAATAGCATGAATTATATCACAGGGTCGAAACAATAATCAATGGCATGTTGGAAATGTAATGCGTGTTGCATAACGTAAGCCTATTTGCATTAAATGACATATTTTACCTGCCATAATTGTTAGTTCCTAGTACTTACAATAATATAGAATTTTTCTCAACATGCGGAATGGATTTGTATTTAAATGGATGCCCATGAAATTGATAAAGTCCTCCAAGAATCCTGTTCAATTGATATGGTTTTGTCACATCCATTGCAATCAAATCCTCTCTGGTCAATGTGAGAAATTTAAAGAGATTCATAGGTCGTTCGTGAAATGTCGACAACATCGACCCACAATTCATTCCATACAACATTATATTCACATCTTTCATAAATTTTGGACTGGATAACATTAACATTCAATTAATTTTTCTATTTTATAATTTGATTACTTACTTTGCAATTTCTGTTTTGTAGTCATATGTTTCACACAAATAAGTTTCATATTGTTTTTCTTTGACTTCTGCATCAAGAGTCAACAATTCTTCAACTTTTCGAAAAGAATTTTGTCTTGCGTAAAACAATGGCATATTATGACGGACATCGTGCTTTTTATGATCCATACCCATTTTTAATAAGTATTTTACTAATTTGTAGTGATTATCGTTTATCGCATAAAATAGTGCCTGCAATATATGCAACCCAATATACCAACCGGAAAGAAAATATTTATTGTAAAAGTTTTTGTACTTACATTCCATCCTTGATTATCAGCAGCATCCGTATCACAATATCGGCGTAAATATTTAATTATATCAATATTTCCATGACTTGCAGCAAAGAGATAAGCAGTCATTCTCTTGTTATTTTTGTAATTTACATCACACTTGTTTTCTACTAGCAGTTTTACCAAATCAACTGCTTTTTCATAGTTTGGATTATATTTTGATACATTGCAAACATGCATCAAAACAGACATCATATCTAAAAGTATTCAATTGTAAAATGGTTCTTAAATAATATTTTGAATATAAATTAAATACATTACCTTTCACTTGATTAATATCTGCACCCCTATGAATCAAATGTTTTGTTAGTTCATAGTGTCCATAAGATGCAGCCAGTATAAGTGCAGTCCAGTCTTGGTGTAAAGGTACATCAACTTCCAAATTGTTATCATCCAATAATGCAATAGTTTTCTCAATATCACCCATCTGTACATAACTAAAGAGATTGTTCAATAATTTAGCGTGTTTTTCTTCATTTGTAAGCTCTGCAGGAATGTCCTTTTGTAGACCCTGAAAATGTTGCAGTTTGATTAAAATTAGTTTGTTGATTAGAAAATAATAGTGTTATTCACATAGTATTCGATATCGTCCTCATCGGAGTTTTCGCTAGATGTATAACCGTCTGGTATAAACATTTTAAGTTACAATGTGAAATTTTTTATTAGTTTTTAGATTTTTTAGAAAAAAACTACCGAAATTGGTAAAAACAGATTTTAAACATTTAATATCTAGGTTATGTGCGTCTCAGTCAATGTGAACACCGTCAAAATAGTGAATGTTAAAAATGTTTTTAAATTTACTTAAATTTAAGTGTTAAAGTACAAAGTAAGCAATATAAATATATTATTTTGTTATATTATAATTTAATCTTTTTATTTTATTAAATCAAAGACATATTATATATTTTATTTAAATTTGGGAGACTGTTGGCAGCAATGACACGCAAATATGTGTGCTACATTTTCAAAATTTGTACTTTAAGGTTACGATCCGGCATTGCGATAGATTTCAAAGCGCTCACGATTAAACAATAAAAAAATGGCAACTGATACAAAGAAAGTCGACAAGAAAGTCAAAACATTAACGCCAGAAGAAATTCTCAATGGCTTCAATAGATTGCGAACAGAACAACGATCGCTGGCGACAGCATTGTCCGAATTTGAAGTGCAAGTGAATGAACACAAGTAAGTTGATACACCTGACTCCTAAAGACATCCTTACATGGTAAACACGCCGCAGAAACATCAGAACTAGTTCTATTCTATTACCTAATTTAATAAATAATTACTAGATAGTGAAATTATTATGCTAAAATGTTTTGGTTTTATTTGTAGCATGGTAATTGAAACTCTTAAAAATGTGGACCCCAATCGAAAATGTCACAGGCTTATTGGTGATGTATTGGTGGAAAAGCAAGTTAAAGATGTCTTACCAGCAATAACCAAGAACAAAGAAAATGTAGAAGAATTGATCAAATCATTCAAGGACAAACTGACAAAAAAAGGTGAAGAACTTCTTGAATACAAGGATAAACACAGTATCAAAATTAGGGGGCAGGATGATCTCAAACAAGAGGCAACTCCTGATGCATCTGAAGAAAAGGCTCGTGGCAATGTGTTGGTATCATAAGCATCAAAAACTCACTCATACTCACTTGGGTTTTAAGAGAAACAGTTGAAATCATGGAGATTATTATCTTAGCTATTAATTAATCATTCAGAAATGAGAAACAGCTCAATAATTATTGAACTTAGAATGTAATTTTGTAAAATATGATATTGAAATCATTTGATTGATACATTTATCAGAGGAAATGGCAAAAATATCTTAAAATAGAAAGATAAAAGATCATGCATAATATTTTATCAATAGTTTTCAATTAAATGCCTTTAGATGCGTAATGGAGTCGATTGTTGAAAGAATAATTATTGTGGCATTTCTCGTTTGCGAGTTATTAATTAAAAACTGATAAATAATTTCACTCTAATGGTTTTAAGACTGTTTTCTTATAACGCGAGTATCTGATAGACGTAACATCATGCTGCATTTTCATATATTTGGTTATTTTAAGTTGCATTTGCTTTACAATGAATAAATATAAGCATTAACCATCAGGTATAATTTATAAATATGCACAGTTAATAAATTTTTGACGGTAGCTATGATTTTATTTGATTTTACTATAGGCAACCAATTCTACATCTCTTCACCAACCAATTAGAAATATGCGCGAATTCTGTATTGCCTTTAATCAAAAACTTATTAAAACCGATGTGCAAAACATGAAGACGGTAAATAGTTTCTGGTTGACTGAATTTATTTTTAATCGTGCATTATTATCTACTAAAGATAAAACCTGAGAATTACCTGCGAACTCATTGATGTAATGTAAACACATTTCTCACACTCTTATCAGTCTATTGCTCCAACTTGACTTAGTCGTATTAAGTCATGATATCGTTAAACGCACTCAATTAGTTCCAAACGAAAATGTCTACACCTATCGCGTTTCTAATAATTACCTGCGCATTATTAATTAGTGTTTGTTCGGGAGATCTGTGCTCATTCGTGGATCCAATTAAAAGCTGCGAGTGCTACTATGATGGTCAACACTTTTCCGCGCAATGCATCCGCACCAAATTGCAAGCGATCCCTAGCACCCGAGACATTCCTAAGGACCTTGAACGTCTGGACGTTTCCTATAATCAAATCGAAAAGTTAGAATTCGATGACCCTAAATACGAAGGGAGATTAATTCGCGTTTTCCGTGCGGCCTTCAACTCCATCTCAGCCTTGCCCAAGCAGTTCCTTAATGCCTTACCGCACCTCACCACCCTGGACCTGAGTCATAATCAGATAACGCAATTGGAGGCCGACGCCTTCGCCAGCGTTGGCAGTCTACACACGCTCGATCTGAGTTTCAACAGTATTCAAACACTGCCGGACGCTGTGTTTGCCCACGCAAGGGACTTGAGGTATCTGGATTTGAGCTACAACGATATCGGGCAGCAACTGCAGAGGTATACATCGTTGAATTCCTCCGGATTGGGTTTCAATGAGAATATGCAAACGGTGCGGTTGAATGCGATTAATTTGACCGAAGTACCAAACGCATACTTTGAGAATATGTCTTTGGTTAGTGTGGCACTGGCTGACAATGCTATCGTTGATGTGCCATTACTTCCGACAACATTGATTGAACTCGATCTATCGGGGAATCATTTTGTTAGCATTGCTCCACGACATTTAATTTACACACAACTGAAGTCTCTGAAACTAAACCGATGAATAATTTGGAAAACATTGAGAATTATGCGTTTTATAATTTAATCTCATTAGAAGTGTTGGAGATTGAACATTGTCCCCTACTGAAAACATTCAACGATATGGCATTTGGTGTGATAAATGGATATGATGAATACAATTTGACGAGAATATCTTTGAATGGAAATTCGTTGAGGAAATTAAACGAAACTTATTTTCACATGTTTAATAAGATTGAACAGGTTGACTTGAGCAGTAATCCGTGGATATGCGACTGTAATGTGATTTGGTTTAAATGGGTCAAGCCAAAGTTGATTAATCAGCGAAGCATGAGGTAATTTATATTTATGTTTACTTTGTTTTTGGTAAAGATTAATAATATTTAATTTTAGATGTGTGGCACCAAAAAGATTGCGCAATCATGAAGTTATGGAGCTTGACGATGAAAAACTACCAAAATGCAATGTTCAATCAAACCTCCGCGTTCAGAAAATACTCACATCAGTAATTTGCATCTTGGTCGTTTTTCTTTTGGGAATTATTATGTATTTGATATATTTGCATCCGTATAAGGGTAATCGTCCCGCTGGATACATTGGTCAACAGTCACCATATAGTACTATGGTAGTACGTGATGAAAATACTTATTTAGAACAGATTTAAGCTTGGATTTGAAATAAATGAACTTTTTATGTTTAACGTATAATAGTTGGTAGGGGAAGGTAGCATAATTTGGACCAGCGCCTAAGTTGGACCACCACGATATCCGCGGACTGTTGAAGTTTATGCAAAAATTGACTGGCCCCTTGTTTTACTCGTATTTATAAACAATTAATGCAACTATTTGGGTTAAAACTTGCCGCGTGCTTTCGTCGTGACAACAACTTCGTGTATCATTGATTATCAAATCTATTATAACGACGTACGTGCAAGAGCTGTCAAGCCGTTAAAACGTTAGTTTTACCGATTATTATTTTATCATCAGAAAGCTTCTTTATTTATCTATAATTTATAGTAATAATTTTGAGAGGTTATGTTATATTAAGATTGTTGTTGATCATTATATATAAATTCTTCAAGTTGCCCAAGTTGGACCGAAGACAGACACCGGAGTTTTACAGGGAAAACGTATATCATTTTTTCGACCTCCTAGAAAAGCTTGTGGACGAGCACAAATCTTCGAAATGATTCACTGTATGAAATGCCGCACTTTGGTTTATACAAAATGTGCTTGTGTTACTGCTAAAACTAAAATTTACTATTGTGTCAATTGCCGTTAAAAAAGCATGGTCCAATTTAGGAAACCGCGCGGTCCAATTTAGGAAACCGGTTTCTTAATTTGGACCAAAAACACAATTTTTTTAAATTGAAATTTGAGGGGTATAAATATAATTTTTACTTAAATCAAAAATATCATTTTGTAGGTAAGCCTTGTGAGTTACTTTTCCGCTACTTAATTTTTATTGACAGTTTATATGTGGCTCTATAAATCAAAAAATATAAAAATGGTCCAAATATGGCTACTTTCCCCTATAACCTGTATCATGTATGATGTACAATGTATGCAACCCAAAGTACACTGGCCGCGTGTCGTGCGGATACAGAGAATTGAGAACAAAGCATGCAAATGAATAAATAATAACGTAATAAAACGGTTATGAATAATGGGGACGGGTTTCCCTTTATAGACGCGCGCATTGACGCGGTGCGCTGATGCAGAAGACGATCCGTCGGGCGGACAATGAAGTGGCTGCCGGCCGGGCGGATACGCGAACGCATCCTAATGATGATTACATGACCCGCGCGATCAGGATGTCGAAGGGTAGACAAATTGGTCGGCCGGACGAGAAGTGGATACGCGAATCGCGCTCTTTTGTCCTCTTCAATTTGCGTCGGTGTTCCTTTTTGCCTCATTTGCTTTCCGAGACGCGGAGGCCTTCCATGAATCATTTAACGTTTAACCTTTGCCATTCGCTGAATTACCAATAAAACATTTCAGACTGCAACGAGACGAATCGCCGAAAACAGTAAACCAAACCATTGCGAGTCTTTAATTCGGAACGTGGAATATGAAAGCGTTTTGGGAAATTCACATCCGCCTTTTGTTGTGGCTGCAGCTAAAAGGATTCCAGGCAATTTGAATGTACGGGTATTCCAAATCCGAGACAAGGGACTTGCACAACTGACCAGAGTGACCAGCAAACAGCATTAGCCGCATTAGGATCAATGCGATCAGGAGCCCATTGTGCCACACACACACACATTCACCTACTTACGCAACCCCATTGATGTAGGTACTGGCACCCCGCAAACATCTCATTAGGGAAGTCCGGTAAACATCTCCGTTCAAGGCACAAAAGAGGTGAAAAGAACTATTGTCACACAAACAAGAAAGTTTTACTAAAATATTAAAAAATGAAGGAAATTAGCAAAATTCTCACCAGGATTATTACTTTTCATGGTCAATAATTGAAAACAAGTCTATGTAAATAGATTCGTGTGTTTATCATGAATGAAAGTCTGTCTGCACGTGATGTCGATTGGCACAGATGAGTGCGCTGAAAGAGGGAGCGAATTGAGGAAAATAAGCGTAAGAGATTGACGTCGGATGATGAAAATTGAAAAAGGAAATTTCTTTTCGTCGACTCAATTGTTACGCTCGGCCGGTCCGTCTGGATCCAGCCGCCTCGAGTGCATATAACACGGTCACCGGACACAAAAATGTATTCATCCCTCTTTAAAGTCGCCCGCCTGGGCGGATACACTCGACTTGCCATCTCCCATCTTTCATCTCTTGAATTCTTAACATTCACGCTACGCTCGCAGAGCTTACGCGAAGATGGAGATGAAGCAAAGACGAGAAAAGCCACCCTGACACACAACTAGATTATGACGCTATTGTAACTTGCACACGTACACACACACACACAAGAACACGAGCGTTCGCCCCCTTGGCGCACCATCCAAAAGGGATGCAAACTAAGCTCCGGGGAATTGCGAGTTATTTGATAACTCGGACGTTAATAGCAACTGGGATTTCTGCGGACTTTTTCGCATTTCACTCGAAAACAACGCGAGTGATTTTAGATTTGCCACCAAAATTAAATTTAGCGTAGATGGAGGTATCCGATTTGCACACCAGTGTAATTGACCACCCCATTAGACACGATCGGGAGTGACGGTAACATTCAGTAGAGGAACGTATTGATAGCGAAGACACGGCGAAAATCGATACTACCTGACTTTGCGTGCGCTGCCGACCGTTCGGCGCTGCGAAAGGATTTTCGAAATTGATGGTTTCCGATTACCCGACATGCTAATTTGGTCCTACTTGAAAAACACACCCAGACATGTTCATCAGAAGCATTGGTATCGAATTTTTCGCAACAGCATAAAAAAAAATAATTTTTTAAAATTATTTTAAAGCGGATTAAATGATTATGATCCAAACTTTAAAACAAATCTTAATGCTGTTTGTGTTTTATATAAATCTGTGAATGAAATTCAATACTTAACAGATATTAATCCGTTGTCTATGTCCATTAAAACATAATTTTGACGACCGGAGCACGTAGCATGCACTCGCCATATTGCGGTATTATTAAGTCATCCCTCGGACCGTCTCCGCCGCTTCCCGAAGGGTGCACACAAACACCGATTGTGGGCCAACAAGGGTGTCAATCATCTGCACGGCAAATCCGCTTTCACCATTGTGGCTTGTCAGATTAAAGTCGGCGCGCATGAAAACCCAACTTCCCCAAAAACCGCATCCGTCCCAACATGGCCGACATGGATCGTGATTGCAACAATGCGAGAGGGACTCAACGATTAACCTCATCGTTTTCGATTTCTCAAACATCCCAACAATACGTGTTGATTTTTTGATAGATTAACAACAAGATTATACCTTGCTATAACCGTTTAGAGAAGACAAATAAACAACGCGGTTTTAATAGTTGAGTTAATTACAAAGTAGACATTAAATGTCAACGTCCTCATCGTCATTCCCACATCAGATCTGTGCATCTTTCCATCCAAGTGACGCGGCACCGTTTATCTAGTGTAATTAAAGCAGAAGCAGCAAAACCGTCGTAATCACCGAGGGACGACGCGATAATCGCACATAGCACTTGAAAATCAGCGCCATCTCAAATTAATAATCTGGCCAGCAAACCGTCGTCAAGTTAAGAATTCAAGTCTTCCATCTAATCAGATCCAGTGCGTGCACCAGCGCGGAAGAACCGAATTAGGAAGAAAACGTTGTTTAATAATTACGCCTGTATTTAATCTAATATGCCTAAATGTAGCATTGTCAATGTGTGAACGAGTGCAGAGCACAATCACCGGCAACAATCACCTACAACGACAAAAAGAAGACGAAGGTGACGCGTTGACAAATTGTCGTCATTTGCTGTCACATAACGTGAGCAGATAATATCAGCTACTATCTTTGGTTTCTATCGTGGTTGAAACGCAAAGAATGCCAAGTGCATATGAATATAATAGAAATGCTACCGGCTGTTCTTTGTGTAGACTACCTACCTACATTCACTATAGGTACGCGCTGAAACAACGAATGCCGACCGAGATGCTCGGAAATTAATAAAGAGGTTAATGAAGCGTCGAATCGTGTATCTGGGTGCATCTGTGTAACACAATCCTTTGCGCCGGCGAGATAAATTCGGTTAGATGATTTTTACGGCATGCACGCATGTTAAACGCCGATCACCCAGATGGATGTCCATGTCAATGATAAGGATGAGTGCAGCAGCGTGCCAAAAATACGCGGCGGGATCAAATTTCGCTCGTGGAAGCACAGAAATCGGTAACTTAATAAAGACATGCCGAAAATAAACAGAAAAAAGGTACAAATTGAAAACTTTGAACCAGTTTATATTGAAAATAAGGTTATTAATTTTTTGCTGATATTTTTATGTTAGGCAACCAAGTAAGCAGCATAACCACACACAAAAACAATTTGAATTTATTTGTGAATATTTTAATGTTAGGCAACCAAGTAAACATAACCATACATAAAATACAGTTTTAATTCTAAATTTATTCTGAATATTTTAAGAAATACCTATGATCTAGGTAGAAAAAAGTGAGTATTGACTGATTTTATCATAGTTTGTAATCTGAGAGACTATACTCTGAAACTCTCAATGCCAACCAGAGCATTTCTTTCCTTTTTTTCTGTTGTATGTACCTACATGTGTCACCATTGTTGCAATGTGTCGAAAGGGTAACCTCAAATCACACTCACGTGAATTGAGCACAAATAAGAATTGTTTAGATTTCTGCACGCGATAAACACCAACATGTAACCCCAGAATCCTTGTGCTTGTGCTTACCACACTGATCTTATCGAAATCCGTATGAATGGGAAACGTGTAAATGAATTTAATACACTCCCCGATGAATAAAACAAACAATTTATTCAATACTCGCTGCATGCATCTTATCTCTTCGTGATGACAAGACATCTCGTCTCTTCACCCTTATAAAAACACATACCTATCTACTAACTCTTCAAGTTAGAATAAAGTGCAGGCAAGTCACAACTCCAGGCGGAAATTATTTTCGTACGCAGTTCAAGTTTGATGTGAAAAGCGTTTGAGATTTGTGCATCCAGCAAGTTCGCAAGCCTCGCTAGGAAGTTTCCGATGTCGACGGGCGTCTGTTTGTTTGTTTGTTTAGCCGGTGGTGTGGCGCCAGCGTTTAAGAAGACGTGCACAGCACCCCGTGTAATTACGCGGCCGCAACGGATGCGACTCGTCATCCACAGCAGCTCCACACAGAAGAAATAAGGAATAAGTCATCCCGCAGGCGGAGACGCTCGGGTTACCTTCGTAAAAGCACATTTAAAAATCACACACACACATACACATGTGTTTCATGACGGATCACATGCGGCGAGGATTCAAAATAGATCTACTCTGGTCAATTCGGTACATAAAGTTGGGCACTCACAAACAGCAGATGCATTAATAGCTATTTCTGAACTTGTTACGGATTAAATCGACCGAGCGAGCTGAAAAAAACGAAAAACACGTATCGTTTGATTTACATCTGTTATCCGGGGGTGTCGTTAATCATAAAGCAATGAAAACAGTACACGAAATTTATACAAACAAGCGTTGTAGTAGGGGTGGTGTACAACGCCCGTTTGAATAGACAAACAACACGCGGGCTGCTTTTTACTCTTTATACAGGCTGTGCACCAATAATACAAATCCTATTAAGCAAAGCGGTCGCAGGAAATCCCAACTAAGTACATTACGTATTACAAGCGATTGACAAATGGATCGTGTGGATATTTTTTAAAAGGGTAGCTTCAATGTAATTTAAACTAAATAATAAACTAACCTAAAAAATATTTTTTTAGTTTTTAGGTTAAAATATAGGTTATGTGATGAAAATCAATACCTACAAATGCATTAGAAGTATCAGAAGTGGAGGAGTGAATGATGAAAAAGGTGGTTTTCGGATAATGATAACAAAAAAGCGTAAAAAGTAATTTTTTAGTTTTTAGGTTAAAATATAGGTTATGTGATGAAAATCAATATGAATGCATTGGAAGTATCAGAACCTGAGGAGTGAGCGGTGAAAAAGGTGGTTTTCGGTGAGCGATAACAGAAAAGCCGACGCGTAATCGATCTACGGCGTCGAACACGATCGCGAATCGGCTAGGTGTGCGTGGATAGGTGTACGCGCGCCTATAAACGTCACACCACTACCATATAAATTACATTTCCACCACGGTGACATAGAGCCCACTTTAACAGTCACCTCTAGTTAGGTGTATGGATACGCGGTGCACGCCTACGGAGCGCCACGGATACCCTCCGCCGGCGACGCTCATTGGTAGCCCACTCGCTTTGTAGCCGTAGAAACCGTAGCGGTATCACCAATAAGCGCGCCTCGTCGAAAGCGAAACCCGGCAGGCGCGCACGACGCGCACCAAACCAGCCAGTATCGTCAGTATCCATCCGCACACGGTGCCTGGCCGACACCGAGACACCCTACTCACGCTATATCCGCGCGCCGCCGGCCAACAGATAGGCGGGTTGGCAGCTGGTTGCACCCCAGCGGCCCCACAGTGCTCTCAGTGACATTGCAGCGCAATGATCGGTGTGATCCAAAGTTGACTCATTGACTATATTCATTAAGAGTGTGATTAAAAACCATCGAGACATAGAAAAAAGGAAGAATTGTTTCGAAGTTATTGTTTGGTTGTGAAAATTGCTACCACACTGGCAACCCACATGGCTCTGGGACTCAATCCCGGCCTGTGTTCCGGCAGTTCGGGACCGGGCTCCGGCGGGCACTCGGATACCTCATCATCACCGGGTGTCAGCACGGTGACCATGCCAGTGGCACCAACGCCCATCATGCCCAATCCGATGTTTGCTCTACCGACGCTTAACTTCACCGTTACCCAAGTGGCAGCCGTGTGTGAAACCTTAGAGGAAAGCGGTGACATCGAACGATTAGCAAGGTTCCTCTGGTCGCTACCCGTCGCGCATCCCAATATTGGTGAGCTGAATAAAAGCGAAGCTGTTCTACGTGCGCGGGCCATCGTCAGCTTTCACAGCGGCAACTTCCGCGATCTATACACCATCTTAGAAACACACAAATTCACCAAAACCTCGCATGGTAAGCTACAAGCAATGTGGTTGGAAGCACACTATCAGGAAGCTGAAAAACTCCGTGGGAGAGCACTAGGTCCAGTTGATAAATACCGCGTGCGGAAGAAGTTTCCTCTACCTAGGACCATCTGGGACGGGGAGCAAAAAACACACTGCTTCAAGGAACGCACGAGAAGTTTACTCCGCGAGTGGTATCTACAGGATCCCTATCCGAATCCTACCAAGAAACGAGAATTGGCGCAAGCGACGGGACTCACTCCGACGCAGGTTGGGAATTGGTTCAAGAATCGACGGCAGCGGGATCGGGCAGCCGCAGCTAAAAATAGGTGAGTCCACATTTTCATTGATCAAATTTTTTGGGAAATTCCATTTGATGAATGAATATACCTCTGGATGGGTCAACAATAGAGATAATAATTATCCTAATGCTAAATACTTGAAAGCCGTATTAAGCAACGTCCGTGTTTGGCAGCGGGTTCAATGGCTCAGCGCGTGTTGGTTTTCCCAAATCTCCCTTCCGAATTACGCAACATGCCACATTCCACCGCCTAGACAAAGACATATTATGTGCAACTAAATCCAAACCATATCATTACCAAGGCGGAAATTTATCTATTTCGGAAACGAGGACTACTGTTTCGACTACTGTTCCAACACCTTCATCTGAAATCGTAATTTGCTGCCGCGGCTGGAATTTGAATTATACGCTCGATGTTTTCGATAAGTAGGTACCTAGCCAGTTAAATTCGGGATGTTCCTCTACATTTCAATCTGATTAAGTGGTTCTGGTGGCCGGTAATTACAAGTGATTCGACTGATAAATGGCCTCCGAGGCGCTATTACTTACCAACTTTACACAATCTACACAAATGCAAGACTTGAGTTGAGCGTGCGAATGAAAAATGATTTTTAACGTTAAGAGATATTTTACTCCAACAAAAATTCGAAAATGTTTTAAATCATTTTCTGATTCTACGTGTGAACAATATTTATGTAATTATGAGCAAACCGATAGTTTAGTGCGCTTGTAATTTATTAGACAACGGTTTGGAAATAATTAGCGATTGTTAACTACACCAAAGAACCGCAAATATTAATTAGTATCCCGGATCAAAGCAGCGTTTTCATTCAATTATATAACTTTTACAACTCGTTTGTTTGCTTATAGGTATCTATTAACATTCAAATTGACTGGCGACGTATTTGAGGCGCGCAGACACAACTAATTCGAAATAAATTTCCAATTTCCGGTGAGGAATTACCGAATATTAGTGCGCGAAATATGAAATTCCTTTTCGAAAATATCCTAATGATAAATAAACCCGTTTAGACTTTTGGCGACGCACAAATTGTTAAGTGAAATGCTGATTTGCAGACAAAGTCAATTGGGTGGAATCGTTGAGCATAAAAACGCACATCGCGCTTACAAGTGTGAAGTTAATTAAAGGTGTTACAACCCGCACATCACACCGTAGAGAGCTTTGGACAATGCGTGCTTTAGGGTAATTAAAATCCTCGCATTGTTTGTATATTTACACTTAGTGGCATTAAAATGTAGATGTGTGCTAATCACACAATTTCATTCGAGATAATTATTTATATAATTACGTTGAAATTGGACGCGAGTGTGATATTCTAACATGTTATGTTATATTGTTAAAGAATTCCGAATCCGGTGTGGTAGTTAGCTTTGGTTTAGTAATAACGAGGTCATTACACAAATCGTATTAATTGGGTACTTACATTACACGCATTTTTATTAATTTCATTCAGGTGTTATTAGTTATTAACAGTGAACACGATTCTTTTACTCCTATTTCTGGAATAAAATATTTTTACTAAAGTGAGGTTATGTTTGGTGTATGTACCTACATTTGCTCTATCGTTTCATCTTGAAAGCAGATACCCTGAGGCGAGAGCAGAGCACAGCGTCTGGCTTGTCAATAACTCAATCCGAAAATCAGTCATACATACAACAATTAGAGGGGTTGCTACAATATGCATGCGTGGATGTGTGTGTGTACGTGGAACCCTCCAGCCGGCTAACCCTAAATCTCATAATGCGCGATTACAGTTATTAGGTTAGGACCGCTTTTCCCATGCTCGACGTCACATGAATGTGTTACGTTTCGCATTAATTTCGCTGGCATTAGCAATGGAAATGTTTCCGTTTCCTACGCGAAGAATCAATGCAAGCAAAATGGTAGTTCCTAAGTAGTAGGTGTATGCAAATGTAGGCAACCAATCCATATTTGCGCTACGCGTATGCAAATCGCCGGCAATTTCCTATATTTGCATGCATGCGTAATGGATATCCGCGATTGGTGGCGAGCCACGCGAAGATCGCCGCCTCGTTGCGACTTGTTAAGTCTTTTAATTAATAATAAATATTCGCTGTTGATGTGTATCAATTAAAACAGGTACATATAGGTATAACCTATGTTTTAATTTTTGCGGTAAAAACTTTAGTTTACTACACATTGCAGCGGTAACCTCGAGTGATATGTCAGAAAAAATCGCCCATCATCGAAGGCTATCCACTATCCACTTTTCTCTCGGTGTGTGGATGATTAAAACCGGCTGTAATGAACCGACGTCTATGTTATTCGTTATTGTTATTGCATTACATGCTACCCATATTCAAAACGGTCGTAAAGCGAGCGCGCGCGCACACGAAGCGGTTAATCGCGCGCCGCAATGAATATCTCGCTAATTAAAAACATCTTTTATCGCGCGCGCGCGCGTAATTACGTATCGTAAATTGTTTAATTAAGATTTCGATGCCGTTAGACACATCCGAATGATGGCAAATGGTAAATATAGTTAAATGTCTTATTATTAACGTTTAAAAATCATCAGCAAGGTTAATTTCTTGCTGAATTCTAAAAATCAGAGTAAACTTACGCAGAAGAGATAATTAAGAATGAAACGATTCGATTCAAGCCTCCCTTCGGATTGATGTTTGCCCTTTTGTCTCGCACTGCACTGCGAATTGTGTTGACACATCGGATGTCTGATGGCTCTCTGATGAAGTGATGTATACACAGGCGGAGGTGAATGAAAAGGCGCCTGTGCAACGCCTCAAGAAGCGTGTAATAAAAATTCGGCGTGTTTGCACAACCACTTGCGAGGAGAATTCATAGTGCTTGCAGACTTTTATACAGCCTGTAAAGGTAAAGTGTGTAACATATAATGTTCTATTGGAGAGAGAGAGTGTAAAACCGGAAATAATGCGGCGATACAATCGGCCATTACGAGCACTATGCCACGAGATTGGGAGGGCTACCGGGCATTTCCGGCCACTTTGAGCGCACGCCTAAATTGCTTTCTTAAGTAACATTTTTTTTCATATTTATACCTTGGACGTTAATTTCAATTTTCGATCGCGATAGTCTACATAACCAACTGTTCAAGATGTCACTTTGATGTGACGTGCGTGGATGTAACTCTAACCCAAGCGGGCGTAAATAATATTTTGCGAAAAAATCGCGCACTCGCTCGGAATCGTTTTTGCGGTGGTTTAGTTTACCAACCTACTGGTGATTTTTTCTTTTGCGAAATCGATCCGGGGACGGGCCGATCGAAATATCGAATTAAAACGCTGAATGGGTGTCTAAGGAGCCGTGTGATTAGCGTTTCGGCGCATCTTTTGTTCGGATCGATGGGCCGCGCGTCTCGCGTTCACTCTTTGTTAATCTCGACGTGCGTGTAATTTGACGCCCGCCGGAGTCCGGTTACGCGCGTCTCGTTACTAACTACCATGTTGGCCACGCCACCGCGCGCACTACCGAACGCACATTATACCTGTAAACAAAGTGGAGCTATTACCGCGATTGCCGCATTATTTTTTACCTCATTTAACTTCATTAGGCATCCACAACCGCCAGTATATGCATTTGTGTACTAAAGTCTACGAAAAGTGTGAGTTTGACTGCGTGTCTTGGCCTAATCCGACATCCCCTTGTTATTTTACTCTGGCGTGGGCTTTGGTCCAGACTAGAGTGACGCTAAATCGGATTCGTCCGAGGGTTTTCACTGTTTTTCCTCGCCGGATCTCATTAAGGATGCGGTTGTCTCGCAGACTGCGAAACGAAATTGTTTTAAAGCGATACTTTTGCCCAAATTGCCCAAAATTATCAATTAATCAACCAAAAGAAGAAAAAAACGCGTCTCGGCGCGGTGCGACAACAGACATCAGACGCAACACGAAATTAATGACTGGTAGTGATATATGTTACTCGCACCGCAACATCACCGGCAATAATAAGTCCTATTATATCCGAGTCGGCATTGAAACAAATGACGCGCGAGTGCGCAAGGTGTGCGAGTGACAAATGAGCCGGTGACCCGGGACGGACCGCGGGGCGTCCCGACTAATATTAATCGACCCGGCTCGTTTCTTTCATGCACACGCACACACAGGAAAAGGGGAGAAAACATAATGATCAACAGCATCACCTCCAAGTCCGGGAGTTGATGCGCGTGATGCTGATGGACCTGTGGTATGCGGCCCGTCAGTTGTTGATAGCTCTATCAGTCAAATCCGCCGGATTCATAATACCGCTGATTAATAACACCATTACGGACGTCGGGATGCATTCATACCTGCATTACTGCGCGCTGGCTATTCACGGGACACTCCGGGGTGACGCTAATTACGTCATTAGATTCGGTCGGAGGCCTTTAATTCTTCAATCTTTAAAAATGATACAAAACGCATAAATGAAATCATTAAACCTCAACATTCAGTGCAATACGATTTTCTCAACGGAGATGCGCTTTTTAGCTTTTTAAGCAAGGGGTATCCTAAATAAACAGTCTGTGCGCTTTGTTCGTGAATACTGAATACAAACGGGGTTAAAACGGATTACAGTTTAAAGAGCACACAGTTGAAATCATCAACAACACCCAGACAATACATAACTCTATCTTGCTTTTATGATCTATAAAGACACTTTTTACCTAATTATGCTGTGCACCTTTCGGGCGTTTTGTTTTTCACATGTTTATAGATGACATGGGTTCGTTCGTAATTTGTCAGGGCTAATTCATTTCGTTTTTATTTGTGCGTCACATTGTGTGTCACTTTTGATACACAAAACGAACAAACGGCGGCTTCGATAAAATCGTTGTTCGAATATTAATGTTAATGCCGCACGTCGGGAGGTGTCGCGGTGTGGTGGAGTGCTAATGTCTTTGCCAGCGTCAAACACAGAGTGTGTGTGTGTGTGTTTGATGAACATCGGTGCAAGTCATTTGTCACAACTTCGCGCGCCGCGCGCTCCGAATGGATATTACGGAATTAACGAGCCGTAAACATTTTTTTGTTTTGTTAGTTTACATCGCACTCCGTACTCCGCCCACGAAACTCTAAATAAGTCATAATAATTTTATTTATTTTTTATTTATTATTTGTATTGAAATACCGAAATCCTGATGAATTTTTCTCGAGTTGTTTTGTAAATACTTGCGCTTGGAATCCGATGTGTTTGCGATTGCACAACAATACGAAGCACCCCCTGCGTGCTAGTGATTATCGATACAAATGTGACATTTCCTTTGTGCTCTCGCGCTTTGTCGCAGCGCGCGCGCCCGAGGCGTAATAATAGAGCTGACGCTCCTGAGGGTGTCGACAGCAGCGAGCGTTCGCTCCAAGTGCCGAAGAAAAACGGAAAACAAAAGGCCGATAACGATCTCGACAAGATGTGCCACTAGAAAAGTCATCAACGGTTTTCTTCGTGCCGGCAACCAGACAAATAAGAACTTGTAGAACTACATGTTCAAGACATTTCCGATGTTAACACTAAAAACACTACTTGCTCATCAACTTGTTGCGAAGATATTCATTTACAAAAAGGTGGATATTGTTGTGGTTGTCTTATTCAATCATAGAATATTTGTGCTTCTTATTTCATTATCTGTTTTCTGAAATTCACAAAAAAATCAGTAAAACATTCAAAATATTCACTATACAAACCCAATTTTAAATAATTTGAACTCTTTTATATTGTTTTACACTATTTTTCACAGTTTTTCACTGTTTATTCACAGTTTTTCACTGTTTTTTCACTGTTTTATTGCCATAAACTGGAATATTCTGTACGCACATGTAAAATTTTGAGGTTAGATAAATTTTATGCTTGAAATCTCTTCGTTTGGCTATTGTACGACCAGTATTTCTATAGATGGCGCTGCTTGTAAATGGAAACTAAGTCAATAGGATTTCAAATTAGTACAAAGAGCGGTAATCAGGTCGCACGGAACGCAATTCCATGTCGGTGAAGAAAAAGGCAGGATTTAATGAGCGTGCTATCGCAGCGCATTACGGAATCGTCGGATTGATGATAATGCATTCGCAATTAATTGCAAATTCTGCGTGAACGCGCGACGCGTGCCCACCACGCTTGTGTGAATGTGTAAATTTCATTCGTATTATGATCACTTGATCACAGTCTCGATCGCATAACGCACGCAATGGAATTTAAAAATCGCTTGATACTCTCGTAAGCATCTTGAGAGCATTACGCACACTAGTTTTACTCGCAATATCTACGCCGGTGCATGCAATGCATACGTGCAGCGCAAGCTGGCGCAACCGGAAACGCACATGTTGAATTAATTTTTAATTATCTTTAATGAGTATAGAACGAGTATCACACGAAACGCATAATATATTTTCATATGTTTATTTTTTTCAATTTAAATTTATCATATAGGTACAAGATGTGAAACATAACCTAACTTTACTTTGATTTTTCTTTGAAGTCTTTCAAGTCTTGCGCGCCACGCAGCTTTCGATTTTCGATTTTGATGTTCGTTTGATGTGATGTTGGAGTTATGGAGGTGTCGTCAGGATAATTTTCACATCACGTGTCAATGACATTCAATTTTAGGCGATTGATTAATGCATCAACACTTTATTTAACTTTAAGCTTGAGAATATTTTAGAGGAAAAGAGATTTATGCATATTTGAAGAAGTAAAAAATATGCGGCTTTGAAGACTTGAGTGTTTGCGGCGGTTTCGGCAACAAATTAGAGGAGAGCCGCGCACGTTTCGAGTCGTAATATAGTAATTGCGAAATTGCATCAGCCCATAATACCCGCGACTTGTAATAGTTTTAATTACATGGTATCGATGCGTCGGCTCATTTGCCGTCGAAATATTAAAATTACAACAACCGCTGGAAATTATCATGTGAAGTATTAATTTTTATTTAATTTTTTCTTCTTTAAAATTTACAGTTTTTCAAAAAATTTAAAAAAAATACCAAAAGATATATTATTAACACACACACTTTTTAAAATGAGTATCAAAGTGTTTATAAATGCTAAACAGTGGCGTAAAAAGCACCGAGTCATTGGCGGTGAATTAAGACCGCTCACACCGCAGAGATAATGATAAATAATAGCGCGCAGTTTATGAATATTTAAATTTAATTATTACCCTTGCGGTCTCTGCATTTTTAATTCCTTCGGACGGCCCACGCCCATTGAAATTGTATTAGAATGAGAATTAGATATTTAAAACAACGTCACAACAGTTTATAACTGTGAAAACTTGCAAGTATCAAAATTATAAAATTTAAATCTCAAAAAAACTCGAAGAGAGAAAAATGAAAAAATAACAAAACAAAAATTTCTTGCGATCAATCCAAACATAGTGAAATAGCGAATGTAATACGTTTCAAGAACACTTAATTTAGCTGCTTGACTCCAGCGCTAAGTAGTTCTCCCGTGGATTCCGCACACATGCCACATGGAAATGAGTTGCGCACAGTTTCACTCGAGTCGTTCGTCGAGTGCCCACTTCATTACTCGCCGAGGAAATTATTATCGTGCAGTACGTACCTAAAAGGGGAGCGGAATTATTACATTTTGAGACACTTTGTCGCTGCTCTTAGTCTCTACGTTAGAGTTGATTTGTTCACTTTGCGGAAACAATACCTTGGTTTCGGTCTTGAGAGAAACCCTGTGAGAAAATATTCAGTTTCGAGTTGAAGTCGCCCGGGTTTTGAAAATACCAGAAACAAACAGTGGCGCTGCGTTTTCTCACACATTATGCGCTCGATTTTTCAAGCGGTTTTTATTTTAACTCTGATGATTTTTGTGTGTTGTTTTTGTATTAGGTAAAACACCCCAGACGCATGTTTGAAGAGTCAACTGAAAAGATTACATCTCGTAGAAATTCGATATTTGACTGATATTCGAACCTGGGAATTTTTAAATTTTCTCCACGTGTGTGTGTGCAGTCGGACGTCAAGGGATGTTTTCGGTGTACGCGAGTACTATGTTTATTTGCTCTGCGCTTGCGACTCTTGCCAACAGAGAGAGTATTGATTCTTAAGTTATTGGCATTGTGCTGTGGACATTGTTGCGGCCGGGGCCGAGGATGTGTTCGACACTTTATTGGAAAACTTACGCCCCCGCAAACTCGCAACTTCTGTCAATAATGCTCGCTTGCCTGGACATAAATGTCAACTTTAATAACACACAAAATGTCATCATAAAAACTTCACAAAATCAAAAACAGAAAAATCACGTTTTTAACTATTTAACAATTATTTACACAAAAACTTGAATATATTTTTACATAAATAAATTCTACATTAATTTATTAATCTATTCCAGTAAAAATAATACTAAATACTTATTTATTAGATGAGTTATTAACAAATTAATTCCTTTAGATCACTATTCGTTACTTATGACAACTAAGTGTGTAATAAAATCAAATTTAAGAAAAATACAAAAACAAACAATGCAAATAAAAGTTGCTGATGAAGGTTTGGCGCGCGGATGTTGGCTCAAAGTGTTTGCCCTGCTGCATAAATTTTAAATTCGATTTGCAGCAAGCGAGCGCAAACAGAATTAATGTTTTATATCATGCGATGAGCTCAAAAGAGAGCCCATCGTGTATTATGTAACTTTTTAACAAAACTCCACGCGTGACCCTCTCGCAAGTCTCACCCTTGCACCACCACCACCTCCGCCGCTTTGTGCCGCATGCACGGCGAGCGCACAATATCAATTCACAATTGGCTTAAGTTGTCGTCATGCGTTTAGCTCCTCATCTAGCGCCCGGGTCCAACTCGGGGGTCTGGGGATTTTCGAATTTAATTTTCTCCGAGTGGCAAACACAACAAAACAAAACGTTCATATATACACACGTTATTCCTACTAAATATAAATACATTTGAAGTTTTTAGAGCTTTTTGTGAATTAAGTACACAAATGTAAAACGCACGCGGATGATTGATGACCGAGTGGGCTGGCCCGGCATTAGTCTCCGCTCGCCTGATATTATTGCGTTGTAAAATTATCCGTTCGAACTAATTCCGGGCTTTAAACTGCCAAACTCCCGGTTAATTACAGGCTGCGCGTTTAAAACGGTCTGTATTTACATCGAGCTTGTAATTTGAGCAGTGTCGATACAGCGCAGCATCAGACCTCTCGTTTTTTACATGGGTGATGGTCTATCTCTGGTAATCCCACATCGGACTACACTTAAAATATCAAAAACGTGTCGCGGGATTATCGTGTGTTTCAGGACGGTGTATTAGTGTCACAATGTCATGTCACTATATTCGATTAGCATTAATACCTTCGAGAGAAACGTGGTTAAAGGTTGAAATACCAACCTAACCTATATTGTGTGTGTTGAACAAGCCAGAGTCTGGTATAATGCAATCAGCTGTTCGGAGCAAGTTCTCAAATTGCATTTTGATATCACCCTCGTGTATGTATCGTGAAATTTATGATGTTTAAATTGCACTGCGTTCATTCTCATGCAATTTCCATTGAGCAATCAAAAGCCTTGCACTCAACATGTAATCGATCCTATTCATTACTTGGTTTCCTTATATCTGAATAAAGAAAACGTGATACGGGATGTCTAAATGGCTTGTTTATCCAATAACCAGCACAATACGCTTGTACAACAAAGCGTTTGTGCTTTTATCTTAAACCTAACCTCAAAATTCAATGCGTTGGATATCAATTACATTTAAAAGGTGAATAATACGTAATTTAAGAACACCACGTATTACTACAGGTATATTGCATAAGTAAATAATTAATCATCCGCCTGATGCTCTGGAGTAGGAGTACCTAAATATCATTTTTGGCCAAATTGAATCCCGAAATTAAATTCCTGCGCCTGACACATGTGCAGCGTCATCCGAATATAGTTGTTATATCATGTTACCGATACATCGATGGATAACTTGTTAGCGAAGGTGCTTTCGATTTGTTTAATGGAAGAACAAGGGGCATCGGGCAGCGATGATGACGACGTCGAAAGTGGTCTCTCCAGCGCGTCCAGCGGCGCGCCGATGACGCTGATGAAGTTGAGTGGTTTTAACTAACATGGTGTGTTTTACGTGTGCCCACGACGGGAGGGAACCCATGCCCACAGCTCGCTTATTAACCCGCCGAAGGATTAACTCCGCGCAGCAAGCGATGCTTATCGGCATTTTAGACGTCTCAATATTAAACTGACAGGGATGACAATGCAACTCTGACGATGCGAGCCGGCTCTCGAGGCGCATGTGATGATGATTATTAAAAGAGCGATCCGCGAAGGTGAGCAGGATGGGTTCGGGTGTCTTGGAGAAAAACAAACTGATGTGGCGCCATGACTTCCGGCTGATTAATGCAACAACCACACCAAGAGGGGTATATTTAGTTGTATATTTAGTTGTGTGTTGATTCTCCGTCTGCCATTTTGTGTGTGGAATCGTGAGTTTTACATTTCGCAGAAAGATCTCTATCCAATAAAAGCCCGGGTTTGCGCGGTTGGGTTTCAGTGTACACATCCAAGACTATTATTTAAATAAACACACAGAGACCCCTGCGTGTGTTAAAGTGTTTTCAAATACGGTTTCGTTGTTTTCGACTTTTAAGTGTATTTGATTTCCATTTTTCCATCGGCAGCATGTTTGAAAACAACTTCGTTTTTCTTGAGTTACATCCAAGAGATGTAACGTTTCCTCTTTACTTGTTTGGTATTTTGGGAGGGAGGCTGCTTCGGGCATGTGTGTGGATTCTACCCTCCTCGAGTGGAAATTAGGTTATGTCTAGACTGGATAACCTCGCTCAAATCTAAATACGAAAAATCAACTCGACATCAAATCAATGCTTTGTAACACAATTTCATCAACCTAACCTCAATTCAAAATAAAAAAAATAAAAATATTTAGTAATAAGTATGATATCATTGCTACAACTGGTTGAATTGTTATCAACAATGCATACTCACATTAAGCCTAAGTATGATTCATAATCAATAACATCATCTGGTGCTTGTTCAGCGCCTTCGGACATTTCGCTATATTGTATCGCACGCGTGAGTGAATGTGTCCAATGGCTGCACAAAAGCGCCCAGCAGCGATACCATGCAATTAGGGGCGGGCTGGCAGTTGCTGCCGATAGCATCTCAATGCGCTAATATTCGTACTTGTCATCCGACGCATTGACGCGTAAATTGTGTCCCAAGATGCACAAAGTACCAGTTGTGAAGGTGATGTTGATTGTTTTAACATGTCACAAAGGATTCGTGCTCCCAAGTAGGGCAAACATGAGCGCGGAAGTATTAAAAGGGATTTGCTTGCTTTGCGCTAGAAGCAAATGCATACAAACACCACCAACGAGACGAGCCGAGGAGTCTTGGGTACTACTACCACTTGGGTACAACTTCTGCTTTCTCCAAGGTGCGCATAATGCCTTCGTGGAGTGGTAGTCCGCTGACATAATGCGCTCGAGAGCCTTTACCGTGTGCTTTGTGCAGCGTTAATGCTCGACAACAGACCACCCCATGAGGGAGCTACTTTTGCAACTGGCAACTCCATCCCAACCCTTTCCTAATGAGTCCCAGGACGAGGTACTTACCTATGAACAACAAGCTTCTCACTAACTTACAAAATTTACTTGTTACATCTATAATATAAAAATGAATCGCAAAATGTGTTGGTACGCGCATAACTCAACAACGCGCAGACCAATTTGGCAAATTCTTTTTTTAAAATGTTTGTTAAAGTCCAAGGATGGTTCTTACGGCCAGAAAAATTTAAATAATTGCCGGGAAAACCCTAAAAACAGCTTTTTTTCTATAAGATAAAAGTTGGCATTGAGATTCAATCATAGTTATAGTTAAATAGTTGAATCCGAGATGGCGCGCTGAAGTGCATTATTAGCAATTCTTTATAAAATTAATTTCTTTAAAATAAAATTGCGAATCTTATTGATAAAAATATAAAAAAATAAAGTTCATTTTACACTGGGTTTTGTTCGAGTATCGATTTTCCAATTTCGACATTATGTGACGTCGCTGACGTAACCTCGTTTCGCACCGCTCATGGAACAAGGTTATGCGCCGAGCGTGCGGAATATCTGCGGTACAGTTCGGTGCGCTCATCTCTCATCCCCTAATTACCTTGTAATTGAGATTGTGGCGCCGATTAAAGCGCTCGCTCGCTCGAGATGAATGCGGCGTGTGTGCGGCTTTTGTGTCTCGAATCGTTATTACATTGCAGGTCGTCAAGCCGCTGAAAGGAAATATTCGCAAAAGATACGCGCACCCCAAAAACCACCCCTTTGCCTCTACATGAACGGTAGTCCGTTCTCGGCGTTCTCAAAACAAGTGAATTATCAGCCTCCGGCGATCATTTCGAGACGACTAACGAATATTCGAAAATTGAAACATTAAAACGAGATTTTCGCTTTAAATTCTATTAAAATAACTAAATATATAAATTTTAGATATTTTAGGTTATGATTGTTTTATTTTTATAGTTTTATAGTTTGTTGATGATCTTTCCAGCCCGCTTAACAGAATATCGAGTTAAGTTGGGGCAAACCACGACAAAGATCACACTAATTGACTTATCGTCCTCGGTGCGCTGCATAATAGCGAATTTAAATGACTATGCCGCCGCCGAGATGATGATACGCTTTTCGATTCAATTCTCCACGGGGAGACCCCACTGCCCCGCCCTGCACCCCATTTAAAATGTCATTATTTTACGCTCCAACTGCAACTGCCGAAAATGAAATTGTTTCATCAGAATAATAGAAAATAAAAAAAACAGGGTGAATTCAAGATATGCTTATATTGATTTCTGTTTTGTTTTGCTTTCAGAATGCAACAGCAACAGTTAGCCGCGCAATTGGCGCACCATGGCAGCGGGGCACGACCACCTCCACTATCACCAGCACCTCACACCTCGGACAGTGATAGTGACATCTCCCTAGGTGCACATTCGCCTCCGATTAGCTCACCAGGTCCAATTAGTTTCCGTTCATCATCGCCTAACCCACTCACAAGCTTCAGATTCGGCCCGCATTCACCTGGACCCATGCCACCGCAATTCCGCTTCGGAGGTCATACAGCTCCTCTCTTCCGGTTGGACACTGGTCAATCACCACCTTCGTTTCTTGGCCATCAATTCAACCTAGGTCAAAAATATCGACCTGACTCACCGCCTGAAACAGCCGCGAATTACTCACGCACCGATACTGATAGTCCCATCAACGTGGATTCCACTGATATTAAAGATTCTTCGGATGAACAGACCACGCTTACAAGACACTCACCACCAATGAATCTTCGTATTTCTGATCACATCCGAGGCGATATTCGTGTACCCGAACCAATGCGGCTCACACAACCGTTGAGTATACAAGTGGCTAAGCCACGACAACTACCGCCGCCGCAGACTGCGCTCACGGGGGCGCCGCACACCGGTATTGTTCGAATAGCGCCGTCCACTCCGCCGCCCATCACGCTGCATCGACCCTTCTCGCCGCCGCGCCTCACGTGATACGATGCGGACGCTGGCTGTGAATATGTGAAATAAACGATGCAATATTAATTCTTACGGCTGGTGGTAAATTCTTATAATCAACGGACAGTGCTTCAAGTGCTGAATGTTTGTGTTTGTATAATGAGATGTAGAAATCGTAATAATCGAATAATTGGATAACTGGGAGTGAAAGGTTGAAATTAAACTTTATAGTCAATGAGAGGCCGAACAATGCACACACTGATACACTGAGACACATGCACCCACACACGCACATGTATTTATGATGAATTTTTTTCAATTGAATAGTGACTTGTACATAACCCTAGCTACCATTTTAGATATATGCCTACCTATGCCGTTTCACTGCGCATAAACATAAACGATAAGAATTGCTAATGTTTATGAATAACAATTAACAATGTAACAGACGTTTGAAATTTCGAAATTCGTTTTATTTGTACGTAGAAGTATTGTAGATAGACTTGCGCATTATATTATATTGGTTATAAACAAATTATATTATTACCTAAACTATTGTGAAATAATTGTACATACTATTATCATTATAAACAAATGCGTCAAATGCATTCATTATTATATTACACAGATTGATATTAAATTCAGTGCGTTGGAAATTTATTTCACATTTTTTCATTTTCAGCGTGTTGGTGAGGTGAAACATGATATTTTGATATTGCAGATGTGGGCACAGGCACACCCCTACATTAACGCGTTAATGTTAAAAGTTGCTATCAGATAAATCCGGATATGGACCCATCCTCCATGCCGGGTGCTTTTAATCCGCGTGTTGGGTACCTATGTGTATGTTAAAAGGGGAGGGTTCGGAATGCGTCGAATATTAATCTTTAAAGTGCATCTTTTAACAGTATCAGACACCACATTATGGATTCTTAGCCATATTTCTAAATATAATCAAAATATTTGTTGTTTTTGAGGTTAAAAAATATTTTTTCTACTTTCACTTATAAAGTGCCAATTTTCCACGGTTTTTAGACACAAAAGTGGTACTTTATCAAGCCATACATAATATTCATTATGTACTTTCATTATGCACGGAACGGAGCAAGCGCCTGCGCATCTGCCTGCGGAATAGCAATTTTTATTTCAAATTTTGATGATTTAAAATAGAAATGTTGAAATATAAAACTGCAACGTGGAACTAAAGTGGAAGTAGGAAAAGTAGCATAAGCACCTCGTGGCTAAATGTTGTTAAACACTCGATTGATTGACCGCTCGCTACGCTCATTCTCAATCATATCTCGTCTGTAATGCCCTCGTTTTGCCACTTGTTACTAAATATACTTTTAAAATGACGGCGTATTTCTATGTTACTTGTACTTGTGGATCTACTAATGGAGCAGATGTTTGTCACCGCAAAGGTGACAACATTGTCATGCCCCAACGCGCCTCAAGAGACCCAAACACGTAGGGATGTTGCAAGGACCGGTAGGTAGCGACCGCAATCACAATAACCACCCTTCATAAATCACAACGTGCTACACCAACCACTCGACAACTTTATCTGACTATTTATCTAAACACCTTCGTTTGCCCTATTTTAGATAAATTCTCTGACACTGGAAAAAAAATCAAAATATTAGATGCTTACCTGTGTTTAGTTGATTGTTCAAATTCAACGGCATTTGATAATTACACCTTTACGGAAATTGCTATGCACGTAAAATATTCATAATTAACTTATGCTATTCACGAAATTAAATAACATACAGTCATCACTTCTTACACGAATACCAATTTAGGTTCAAATGGTTTTTGTAGCACAATCATTTGCTGCATTCCACTTTTTACTGTCAACATGCTCATTGGCGTGAGCACGGAAAGAGTCCGTGGGTGTCAACTACGCCGACTCGCGGCCGGATTATGCGTTGGTTATTGATAGCCCAACCGCCGCGACTCCTCCGCACATGCCTTCCTTTCGCTCGCGTGCGTTGAGAGTGTGCGTCGTCCAACGGAGGTATCACTTTCAGTGGGGCCTCGGCGGCACGCGCTCATTGGCTGTGTACACCCGCCCTTGTCGTCGCGTCCCTTTGCTGGATATTACACCACCCGCGAATACAAACAACGCCAAAAATTGCTCCAATCAAGTCTAACCACACTAAATTTTGATAGTAAAAATAAAAATATGTTTCTCTATACGGAAGTAAGGTATTATTATCTGTGGGTAATGCGGGAAAACCCTAAAATCACAACAAACGAATAATGATGTTCGTCTTTGGTGAGCGTTTAGCGGATTTGCGATTGTCAACGATCGACAATATCGTTGCAACGTGTAGATTTCGGCATGGTTGTTGTCACTCATTCGTTCCGTTGCATTAGCCTCCACAGCGCGCGTCAATGCATTCTCTACTACAGAATAGAGGGTTTGTGTAAACACGCGATTGTCCGGAGGCAACATGGCGTGCGTAATCCGGGCGCAGGGTCGAGGATTAGGACACATTTCGCACCTAAATAATGAACCAACGACCACATCAGAAGCTAGCTGCTGAAATATTACAGTGGCGAAAGTACGGATGGAGAGCATGAGAGAGACCTTAAGCCGTCTCTTCGGACGAAGATCCGATCCGGAAGGCTTTTTGTACCCTGTGGCTCCAGCCTTAGAACTAATGCAATCATTTCAGCATCGCACTGACGCTTTAATCTCTCCCTGCTTTGATATCGCCACTAAAACATTACTCCCAGCAAAAACATTAGTGTTAACGCCATATTGGACCTCAATAGACTCATCATGTCAATACTTCAATGTGGAACGTAACTTGAAACCAATACGCATAGTGGTGCATTATTAATCTCACTTGAAGCGTAATTAAAACTACCCCTATGCAAGCAGATGATGATGGTCCAAAGATTCCAAGGTCAAACAGGTCACACCGGCATGAATCTGATGGTGAATGAAGTACGCGTAGATTAATAATGAAAACGTATGACGTAAATCGAGTCGGCGGCCCGGAGGGAGCCGCGGACTGCACACTGTGAACTAATTACACCCACCGCCGGTAATCCACTTCGCCGACACACACAGCGCGTGCCCCCAAAGGTTAATTATATCTTCGTTTCGGCATTGTCTACCGAATGAAAGCAATTAGACTCGCATCTCAACAGATTTAAATTTCTGCGCATGCGCCACCCCGGAAATATACTTAAGTATTACAATAAGCGACGACTCAATCAAATAAAACAATAGCCAACGATTAATTAATGTTATTATGAATAAACTTTTATAATTTTCTCATTACCGTTGGCTGGTCACGTGACGCAATGTCCAACAATGGGTAATTCGATAATTACGGTGCGAGAATGAAAGTAATGGAAGTATTACCGACGTGTATAATTTACTAAACCATACACTCGCAAGTGATTGAGCGAAGGAGTAAAGGTGCGTTTGCATGTCGCTTATCAGCGCATGTTTATCACGAGTCATACGTATATATGTTTTTCAACACGCCAAGCAACATGAGTGAACTTAGAATATAATGAGTTTTGGTTTGAAACAATCGCGCACATGGTAATTTCAAATTTCAACATGATGTGTAGGTTATCTCTCGCAAGATGGCCGCCGATTGTTATTCGTATAGTTGTCAGTTGTGTTTTTTTTTTTGGTTTGGTTTAGATGTGATGTGGTGTGTATCGATTGTGTTTGTTGAACATTAGATGGTTGTCTGGCGCTGAGAGCGTGCGGTTGATTAAGTCGTCACGCGGCGGCGGCGCCCAAGGGGGCTCAACTCGACGACCGACGCCGGGCATAATGGAAATGCGCGCCGAATGACTCTGCGATAATTTTAATAAACGTTCGTGTCGACCGAAGTGGAACCACACCGCGTGTATCGATTTTTAAATTGTTTATAAAAACCTACCTACGTCACCATTCAAATACAATCGATAAATTTATTATATAGGTATTCGGTATATGTAGGTATTTCTATATCGTTTGTTTCGTAATTGTCTGGTCGATTTTGGGTTGTTTTGCGGTGGTTGGCGGTGAATGAGGAGCACGGTGCGCTGCGGCTAAGCGATATCCGGGCGACTCTGTCCGGGAGTCCGGGGCGCGAGTGATATTGATCCGGTGAATCCGGCGCGGTGAAAGCGCGCCGACCAATCCAACAGCAACGCCCGCCGCCGCCGCTCACCGCCGACACACACCGCGCTACCGGATTCCGAAAGCGCGCTATTGATATAAAAATTTCTACCTACACAAGGCACGTAGTCGCATGAAAGCCCATTTCGTAAATTATCGACAACAATGAATGAGTAAATGCGCTGTGCTTCGAGTGTGGCATTAACCAGATGCAAGACGTGAAAAAAATCAATTCACTACACTATACTATAGACAAAACCGAATTATATGTAGTTGTACTTTCAATAAATAAATTGTTTGCTTCTGTCGGTTTCACCATTTGGGCAAACAACCAAGCGATGGAAAAAAATTGGAGTTTTACTAATGCGTCTTTAATGATCTGGATGGCACGACACACATTCACCACAGCAAGGCACAGGTGTGAGATTGCCCGTGCCAATTTTCACATTAACCGCAAATCCCGCACCCGGACGACAAACGATCATCTCGCGGCCGGCACACGTCACACATACACACATACAGCAAGAAATATCCTTGTTCTCTGACACGCGTTGCCAGCCGAAGTAAAAAAATAATATAAATTCACTCGAATCAATCATGTCGGGTTGACGCGCGCTCACCGACACCGCCACAGCGCCCCACGGTATGTTATGCGTTTTCGTTTCGTAGGTGTTGCGACTCGAGTGAGCATTTTTCATTAGCAGACGCACGCGACGGTTTCCTTTGTTCCCCTACGCGCGATCAACCACTATATTCTTTGGGTGCGCGTACTTTCTCTCCTAACGTGGAGGAAAAAAACATCCACGCACCATCCACCACCCGGACGTGTAACCATTTATTTTATGTGTTTTTTTTTCTTTGGTAGGTATTTTGGGCTGAGTCTGCAAAAAGCAGACGAGCGCAATTTTTTATCTAAATTGTGTGCTCAGGCAAAAATTAATTAAATACATTTGTTACCTTTTACTTTTGTATCTGAGAAAATTAATAGTCTTACAGATTTTGAGTATGTAGGTACTAATTATAGATATGTAGTTTCAGCAAATAATTTTTTTTAACTGAAAATGTGGTTTGAATACGTTTTTATAGGTTATGTCTCTTGAAATAAAGTGTCAAAGTTTCAAAACTTGATAGGTAGATGTCGCTAACTGCAACAGTGGACGTACTGTTATTTTTTCTTATGTTTTGTATTTATAAAACTTGATAAAAACACAAAACAGTAAAAAAGGTTGGAATATTATTATTCATCTCTATAATAAATAATGAAACGCAAAATCTGTTAGAAAGCACATAACTCAACAACGCCTAGACAAATTTTGCCAATTCTTTTTTAAAATGTTTGTTAAAGTCCAAGGATGGTTTTTATGGCGAGAAAAAATCGAATAATTGCTGGGAAAACCCAAAAGACAGCTCTTTTCTATAGGGTAAAAGTTGGCATTGAGATTCAATCATCGTTATAGTTACCTGGGGCGCTGAAGTGAATTATTAGCAATTCTTTATATAATTAATTTCTTTAAAATAAAATGGCGAATCTTATTGATAGAATTGACATAGACTATAGTCTATGTCTACTATGTCTAGAACAAGAAAGTAAAAACGAATTACATTTTTATTAAACACTATCGGGAAGAAGTCGCAGGCAAAAGCTATCAGTGATAAAAACACAAAACTATCAAAAATATTGGAATTATAGGTATTTGCAGATCATGTTGCTGAGGTTTTGTTATTTAGTTATATTTTATAAAATGTCCACAGCTTAACCAAAATTATTATTTTTGTATGAATATCATACCAGAATATATTCCCCACCTGCGAAAACAAATGCCAGCTGAAAGAGTTGTCACTCTGGTCCACTACCAGCCTCCACATCAGATTGAACAATTACATAATATTGCAATGAATGCAGTGCTCTCATATACCACGCGTCAAACCAGTTATCCATTCTCCAGACAACATTTTATTTATTTTCATTTACAACTTAATATCTAAAATAACCCCAACTAGTTTTAAATTTATTACACTCCCAAGTAAACAAAGCAATTTACTCGCTTGATTAATTAAATATTCCTATTATATAATTCTTTTGTTTGTCCGTTATCAATCTAATGAAAATTGAATCATCTAATTGCTTCTTAGCTCTCAAATATGTTGTATAAATACAAAAACATTTAGATTCTAGACTCTCGTTAAATTAATATCGTTTCGCTCTATTATTTGGTACGTCAAAGCATTTAACCAATAAATGAACATGCACGGACGGCAGCGTTTGGAACAAAGCGATGATAAGTGCCGACAATGACTGAAATGAACAACCGAAATGAAATGCACAAAGCTCCCGACCGCGCGCACGCCGAGAGAACCACCCTTCGCGAGAGCGTAATTCAATTACGCGTTACGCTTTCTTTTGTTGGTGCGTTTGTTCGAATTATTAATATGTATTTACAAAAGGATGAAATATTTATTCAATTTGTATTGAATGCGAAACAATGCGCGTGTTATTATTATCAATTTACATTGATAACAAAACTTTGGAGACTCAACTATGATCACCAATCTATCTATAATATAAAATGAATCGCAAAATTTGTTAGAAAGCGCATAACTCATCAACGCCTGGACCAATTTAGCCTATTCTTTTTAAAATGTGTGTTAAAGTCCAAGGAAGGTTTTTACAGTGAGAAAAGTTCGAATAATTGACGGGAAAATCCTAAATTCAGCCTTTTTCTATAGGATAAAAGTTGGCATTGAGATTCAATCATAGTTATAGTTAAATAGTTGAATCTGAGATGGCGCGCTGAAGTGCATTATTAGCATTTCTTTATATTATTAATTTCTTTAAAATAAAATTGCGAATCTTATTGATAGAATTGACACATACTACTATGCTAGAAACAAGAGAATAAAAGCAAACTACATTTTTATTAAACACTACAGGACAAAGTCCCTTAAATTAACAAGTTTTTGATCGGATGACATCGTAAAAGATTCCAAACGTGATAAAATTACAGTCATTGAATGCAAGACAGTAATTTCCGCGCGCGCAGCAATCTTGAAAGATGCTGTGCAGGTTGAAGATGGCGCCAACGAGTGGTGACTCGACACTTTTCGAAAGCCTCGAGCAAACACCGATCCATAACCGATTGAACATATTGACAAACAACGCTGACATGAAAACGAAAAGTATTTTCATTTCGATGAAATATGTTGCGTTGTTCGAAATGTGTTTTCATAGGTTATGTCTTGTTTTGAAATGCGTCATGTGTTCAATGGAATGCTAAGTGGTTAATGTAAAACCTTTCCGAGCAGCGCGTTGATCGCAATAGGGGTTGATTAGGTGGAAAAGGAAAATATTTATGTTGAGCATTTAAATAGCCGATGTGTACCTACGCTAAGTAGTGCGTTTGTGCGCCCTTTTGCGTCGTCGTCACCCTCGTGTTTGCATTCGGGACCAAAACTCATGACAACGAGGAAAACAAACGCGGAATGCATCGTATATTACTGCATCCAAGTTGCCAACGTTGCCAACTGTCCCCGGGTGACATTCGTCGTTATTTTTTGATGACATTGTGTGCAATGTACGAAAATTTGTAAACTCTCCCAATGTCCGAGCCAAATGTCGAAATTTCCAGTGATAATTCACAAAATAGTAAGTATCATCCTCATTTTCCACTATAAAACCAAAATTTTTAATTTTTAAATTTTTAATTAGTGTATATGCGTGATGAAGCCGTCGAGGTAAGATCCAGCTCTGATAAACCCCCACCAGTTTTCGCGGAGGTGCACAAATGGTTCAACACGGTGGGTGATGACAAACGCGGCGGGAAAATCACTCCTAGAGAATTACAAACCGCGTTTGAAGTGTTTCAAAACCGGCACTTTTCCGACAGCGTTTGTAAATTCATCGTACGTCTGTTTGACCTTGACAAACGCGGCGGGTTGGACCTGAAAGAGTTCGAGCAGTTGTACTACTACGTCAAGCAATGGGTGAGTGCTTTCCATGCGTTTGACTACCAACGCACCGGGTACCTCGATGAAGAAGAATTTGCTGGTGCTTTGAGACATCTAGATATTAAATTCAGCGCGGAGTTTGTGCGTTATTTAATGAAGCGGTCTGATCCCGCCAAAGAAAAGATAGCCCTTGACCAGTTCATCATGACCTGTATACAGATCCAACGATATACTGAGGAATTCAAACAGCGGGATGCTAACTTCACGGGTGAAATTAACCTCAAATACGAAGATTTTTTGGAGATGATTTTAAAATGTATGTAGATGCGCAGATAATTTGTGTTTACGCCATCTGGTGGAGATGTTGTTAATGAATACATAACCTAAATGAATATACAAAATCCAAATCGTTTTTACCGATTTTTATGTTTTATAATTTGTATTACACTACACTGTGAAACTAGTCAGGTGTTGTGCATTGCATCAACACGTTCTGTTTTAAGCCACATTGTAGTTTTAATCTCTTGCAATAATATTACCACTAGAGCTTAATCTCTTAGTCATATCCAGTGATCCCTTCCGAAGAGAATCCGAACTAAAAAACGTATACGAATCTTTATTAAAACTTTATGCGGCGAATACTTAAACATAAGTAATGGTAATACTTCCTTTCTACTTAGTAAAAACTAAAAGTTTCGAAAATTTTCCGCTCAGAGTAATGTAAAAGTTGTGCGCATGAATAAAACATTTTTCTTCACTCACAGCCGGCTCCTTCACCAAGTTTATAAAGTAAGCATCAAGTTTACCGCAGCTCGTGTTTTCATTTTTTTATTTTTCTAGTTAACTCGACTCCCAGTATATTATAATCTAGAATTTTGCAGTGGAGATATTTTGGTACTTACTGCAGGATTGGGATTCATGAGATAAAGCCAAGAATTCATATATGTAACCAGTTATACAAGCAGTTACAAAATGTTTCAGAAATATTTTATTAAAATACAGTATTTATTAACAATATTTAGATTTATTAATAGTATTTATTAATAATATCTGTATTTATCAATAAAAACAGTGTTTAAAGACTAAAAATGAAAAATAAAAATTTTTAGAGAAAATTTTACTGCAACCGGTGTATGTTTGGTTGCCTATGTCAGCAAATCACACATAAAGCTTACAGGGTGGTTAAATTTTATGTTTGATAAAATATTGCGCAAAGAATAAGTCAATTAATGCAAATTTGAAATCTAAATGTTTGTTATTTGTTTACGCCTGAAAAGCTTATATTGCTTACCGAATATTCGTGCATGTTTTGCGTCTATCTCTGCGTTTGCTTCAGCGTGAAGTTCGTTTAATATTCATCAGGCGTCCGTATGCAAAACGTCTGTCTCTCTACGCTTCCATGCTGATTCGTTGCGCGTTAAATAAATTCAAACCCGTCTCACACACAACACCGCAACCGAGATTAGACTTAAATCAAACTCTCACATTCGTGCTGGCAGCACGGTTTTTTTTTCAGCTACCAGCAAATTACCGGTATTTATCAATCTTCATCACCTATAATTACCGAACGCATGCGTTTGATTTAACGCTTTTGACTCTGTCAGAAGCACTCTTTAAGAGGCATTCCAACTTACTCAGATTGAATGTTTTTAGAAAGGTCGTGTTTTGTTGTGTTGTGGATGGATTAAACTTTTATGCTTTTAATATGTACTACATAATTCGTGGCTGTTGCATTTGATGTTTCGTAAATCACGTTTCGGCGGACGTGATGAGCCGTCCAGTGAGCGGCGCAGTTTTTGGTCGGTTTCGGTGTGGAAAGGACTCTGCCATCCGGGATCACTTAATTCCGGCAGCGCCTGCTGTGTCAACACCGGCGCGGTCCCGCTGATTACTTATGTAAACATGATCTCGGGGTGTAATTGCGCGTGCAATCAATGGCAGTTTGCGCAACCCTCCCGAGAGAGCGCGAAATTTTAAAATTTTAAATTTAGTTGATTCGGAGCTACGGGGTTGAACTTCAGTATGGTAATGCATAAATTTACATTGTTACCAGTGTGAAAAGGGGGAATTTCTTGTGCATTTACGCATGCGCAAGCAATAGAACTTTAGTCACGGCCGTGCATAAAGTAGTTAGTAGTAGAAAAAATTATTTTTAGATTTTTTAACTTGTAATTTTATTTTAAGGTTAAAAAAGCATGTTTTTTTACAAATTTCAACTAATATTGTATTTAAAATACAATGGCGTACAGTATAGCGTACAGTAAGTGTTTACTTAACTTTACTTAGCTAATATTGTATTTTAAATTTTACAAAAAAATATTTTTGCTTCTCAAATGTCAAAAAATTCATTCTTTTACCTTTAATTTAATTTCTAAAACCAAAACTACAAAAATTCACACTTTATGCACGATAATTCCCAAACCAAAATAAAAAACCTCACTGGAATCTTTTTCCGGCCGTAATAATCTTGAGCTATGTGCGAATGTGTGTGTAATTATCGGTGCTATCGCCTCGATCCGGCACCGACTTGATCTCCGAAAATAATTATCCTAAAATATCGATGTATCATTGCCGGTGCGCGCCCGTTTAACACCTCCGGGGTGCAGCGCGCCGCTGATCCCGCCAATTACCGACTGTAAATTAGAGCAGAGATAACACCGCGGATGACAAGCGCAAGGCGGAGGCGTGCATATATTCATTTCTTCGAATGTGCTTTCGGAGCAATCCTCTCCGAGATAGGTGTACAATGGAAGCCGCGCCGCGCATGATACCCGGCTGCTGCATATTTACGCCGTTTAATGTGTCGGTGGAAATTATATAGAGATATCAATACTGCCCGAGGGATAGACACCAGTGAAAAAATGCAAGCGTTTACGTTTCTCTATTACCGATTGCCACACAATGATATAAATGTTTTATGTTAATTATTATTCCTCCACCTGCATGCGTGGATATTTTTTGACTGGAATATTTCGCAATTGCTTCTCTCGTAATTTCATGCGGCGAGTTCACTTGTAGTCTAATGAAGAAAATGAAGACATCAGTCGTGAGCGGCGCGAATTGGCTGAAGTATATGGCCAATTAGAATGGAATGTTTATTGACGCATTGATTGTGCAAAAACCGCACGAGCGCTTTTCGACAAACCGAACTTCTTACAAAGTGCAACAAAAACACCGGCTAATTATCCACAAGGCAGTAAAACATTTATTTAAAACACAAGCGAATTAATTATAGGTACAACGCATGAAATATGCATCTGCAAAAAATATTAAATATAAATCGAAATAAACATGGATTTGATTAATTATTTAAATTATTTTACTCTGTGTGACTCGCTGTGGTTAAATATGCATCAATTTTTCTCTGGTACAAAATGGCGTATTGTGTAATCTATATTGTTATTGAGCGATAGAATCGTGTAATGGCGATGGCGGCGTACATTGCAACGACATGAACACAATGGTAATAACGCTCTGGATGAAGACGCGACACAATGCGTTGTTTAAGTCGTGCGGAGCCTTTCGACACGTTCTCGACGTTAATTGTCCAGTCATAACACTGCCACACGACGTGAATTATGTCACACTCGCCACTAATATTTGAAACATTTTAATTGTTCAGCCTGTCACTCGTTTATTAACTTTTTTCTTTTTTCATTTAAAAGAAAAAGATACGCATAAATGTAGGTAATAAGTAATAAGAACATATGTATAAGGTAATTTATGAGAGATTAAATATATTTTAAAAGGGTGTAATTATATAGGTAGATATTCGTGTTTAAAATGTTAAAACACACAGCTGAGGTGATGTGAGGTGAGCGTTTGGTTTTTATGACGCTACAAGTCAACCTTTTTGTGTTTTATGTGAAACTTCACGCCTACGTCGAAAGATATGTATCCTTTTGTGTTTCTTATGTTTCTGGTGCTAAGGTAGTCAATAAATCAAATTAAAACCGGTGTCTAAAGAAAAACACAAGTTTTTGACGTAATTAATTACTTGCTGAACACAAATTTACAAGTTTTAGGTTATGTAAGTCATATTTTTAATCTATAATATAAAAATGATTTGCAAAATGTGTTGGAAAGCGCATAACTCAACAACGCCTTGACCAATTTTGCCAATTCTTTTTTTAAAATGTTAGTTAAAGTCCATGGATGGTTTTTATGCCGAGAAAAATTTGAATAATTGCCGGGAAAACCCTAAAGACAGTCTTTTTCTATAACAAAAAATTTGGCATTGAGATTCAATCATAGTTATAGTTAAATAGTTGAATCCGAGATGGCGCTTTCAAGTGCATTATTAGCAATTCTTTATATAATTAATTTCTTTAAAATAAAATTGCGAATCTTATTGATAGAATTGACACATACCATTTCTAGAACAAGATAATAAAAACAAATTACATTTTTATTAAACATTACCGGGTCGAAGTCACTAGTTTTTGATAAATAAATAAAAAATAAAAATTTTGGTTGTCTTTTTGAAACCGATTACAATATCGACTTCTTCCGGCCGGAGTCCCGACACAAACATAACGACGGCCCAGCTTTTGTTGTGGGTTTTCTCGGCGTTTTTTTTCTGTTGTGCGCACGTCGCGCATTCGTACGTGGAAGCCGTAACCATTATCCGTCTCCGACATGACATAAAACTTCTCATAACAAATGATACTCATATCCGAATGCCTTCATTCTTTCACCTCGCCCGAAAAATTCTTCCACGTCATGCGCACCTTCATCATTCCAACTGAAAACAACACAAAAACATTAAACAGAATAAAATTTAATAAAAAAAAATTAAAATTTGAATCAATAAATAAATGTGTTATGAATTGAGGTTAGGTTTGTATATTTACTTTAGTGACAGGCGTCTTTCTGTTACAACTTATATAAATATAAATAAAACTGCTGCGCATTGCTCGAATCGTCCGCATCGCATCGCATTACATTTCATTTCATTTCATTTCGAATATCGTTAGCGTCCGCTCGCATTCTGCGCAAAGCATGTTTGTTTTATTTCCTTGCATTTCCTTTTCGCATCGGCGCCTACATTTCCCCGCCACTTATTTGTTGTTTTTGTCTTACACAATTCTTGGTTCATGCGTCGGTGAAAATGTAACTTCCGTTTAATTACACCTGTTATTATATCGTGTTCATTAATCGTCATGTAATTGTCTCGCAGTTGTATAAAAAGATCCGCGCCGAACAAACACACGCACGCTTCGCAAGACGCAATTAGGCAAGACGTAAAAAAATGTTATATCCGGAAACAATAAACAGATAATGACATGTAATTAATTACTTATACCAAATGTTAGGTTAAAATAAGTTAGGTTATATTTTTTGAAGAATAAAACCAAGTGTAGTAGATAATTCGATTGAGAATCGCAAATTCTGCTGTGATAATAATGTTAA